ACTTTTTTTTATTGTTCTGGAAAATAAGGATTTTATTAATGTTTCACTGCTTCACAGCTGCTGATGTGCCTTAATTTTTCACTCACCATGTTCAGGCAAGGGTGTGTTTAATAGCAATATTAGCAAGAAAATATACATTTAGATTTCAAAGAAAATATCTTAATATTAAAAAGGAAACTTAAAAGTTTGATCTAATCAATGTCATAAGTTAGAATTTGATTATTTAATATTTATAAAAGAATCTGCCCTCTAAGTACCCACATCTCTTTTTCTTCTTCATCTTTTCTTTTTTGTCTGGTCTTGTTTATAGAAAACAAATATTAAATAAAATAACTTACATTGAAGGAACTCATTCCTGTTCTTGTATTCGGAAATGGGAATCACGTTGATGTTTCTCACTAAAGAAATAAACATATTTATTGTTAGAAAAAATTTATTTCTCATTTATTTGTACTTTTCAGCAGTTTATGATATTGACACTTCTAAGACAAAATTAATAGTGTCAATAGTATACTTTACCAATCCGAAATATGTTTTCTTGTTCAACATTCAAAGTCTGCTGGAGTTTCTCATTTAACTCAGAGACAGATGTTACCAAATCATCAAAAGAGAGATGAGAACTGATGCTGGATGAGTCTGTAGATCCAGGAGGAACAGAGAGAGACTGGAAACTCTACACAAACACACAGGCAAAACAATAGGAATATTAGAAAATCAGATACTTATACATTATAGAACACAACATGCTTTTTGTCAGATCTCTGTTACCTGGAGGAAATGGATGTCATTGTCTGTGCATGAAAGCTGCTCCAGCTCAGTGTCTCTCCTCCTCAGATCATCAATCTCCTGCTCCAGTTGCTCCAGTCGTCCTTCAGCTCCACTCACTGCAGCCTTTTCCTGATCTCTGATCAGCTGTGTCACCTCAGAACAACTTCTCTCAATGGAGAAGATGAGCTCAGTAAAGATCCTCTCAGTGTCCTCCACTGCTGCCTGTGCAGAGCGCTGTTTGGACACACAGAGAGAAGCAGCAGAATCAGTCAGTTACTCTGCTCTTACTGCCTCACACAGCCTGTTCCCCACAGGGGCTTTAGTGAGACTTAAAGTGCTCCAGCACTGGGCTCCTCACTGACTGACTGCAGGACAGTCCTAACTGAGTCTCAAACAGCTCTTCCAGCAGTTGATCTGCTTACAACTCACCTTGTGAGAATCTACAGCCGCTCTCAGCTTCTCAAACTCCTCCTGTCTCTCCTGGATTCTCTTCTGAAGTGTCTCTTTAAAATGTTTCTATAAAACAGAAAAAATACAGTAAACCAGAATGCTAAGTAATGTTTAACAATTAATAATTTAATAAAGCATTATGAACATAATGGTACAAATACAGATCTGGTCACAACCATGTTTGTTATATTATAGTGGATTTTCACTCTAATTTCAATGCCTTTTTAAAAAACTATTCGTTCTCCTCTGCAATAGTTGTAAAAGTTTTGTTAATGTTTTTATAAAGTAAAATATTTTAATGGCAAAGTTTGAAAAAAAAAAAAAACTTATTTAGAGATAAACATTAGTACTAGGTATCAATTTTACCTGTTTCTCTGCTCTCTCTTCAGCTGGCAATGCAGTTTTATGGGTTTTGTGTTCATTCATCAAGCACAGAATGCAAATACAGCGCTGGTCAGTCCTGCAGTACATTTCTAGTAGTCTGTCATGTTGAGGGCAGATCATCTCCTGCAGTCGTCCAGTGGCATCAGTCACTTTGTGTCGCTTTCTAGAGTGAAGTTCCTCGTGACGATCAAAGTGAGTCTGACAGTAAGAATCCAGACACACCAGACAGGACTTTACAGCTTTATATTTTTCCCCACAACAGATATCACACTCCACATCTTCAGCTTGTAGTTTTGTCTTTTTTGGTTTCTCCACCACTTCAGTCAGCATGGTGTTTTTTCCTAAAACTGGTCTTGGAGTGAAGGTCTGTCTGCAATGAGGGCAGCTGTAGACTCCGTTCTGCTCATCCTGATCCCAGCAGTCTGAAATACAGCTCATACAGTAACTGTGTCCACAGGGAATGGTCACTGGATCCTTCAGTAGATCCAGACAGACTGAACAGCTGAACTGATCCTGAGCCAAAGAACCACTGGATTCTGCCATTTTTCTACACAAACAGACAAAATCAAGAGATCAACTGAGATAAAACAGAAAGCAAAAAGTGCAGTGCTGCCAAGTAAAACCCGCGCAAACGGAAAAGTAAGGTTTCATTTTCACTAAACTGAAAGTAGGAGTGTCAGAAAGAAAGATGTTTCTAGTTAAGAAAGAAGAAAAGGTTTCTTTATAAATAAAAACATACATTCATATAATTATTTATTATAAAACAACATCAAGGCATCACGGTGGCGCAGTGGGTAGGAAAACAGTGTGTTTCATTTGTTCATTTATTGATTCAGAAAGACTTCAAAGCATGCGCCCGTGACCGAAATGTGACCTCCGGTGGACAGTAGCAGCCTCTGAAATGAGACGCATATTCAAAGTTCAACATGAGGTTATTAAATAGCAAATAATATAAATATTATGAACGTAAACATTAGGTCTCAACAACGCGCTATGTGACGAGATTTGCAGTAATAAGCAATTTGGCTGTTTGCAGCAGACAAAACATGACAGAAATTTAAATACAGCCATTAAGAAGCACAGAATATGCACTCACTAATGAAATGGTAAGGTTTATAATCTAATCAGTACATATTAAACCTCTTTAACATTATTAAATGTAGATGCTGAATCACTGACATGTGCTGGTTTACAAGTCACTGTTCTAAAGTTCAATTTCAAAGGGTTTATTGTATTTTCAAGATCTGAGGTGAACTACCTGCTGCTGCTTTCAATAGTTTGCCAATAAGTGTAGTTTAATATGTTAATTTCGAGAGGAGTACGTGCTTATGATTGACCCAACTGGCTCATATTAGCTAATTACGATCCTCCAATCAAAGAAGTTTATACATATATCGTCTTTTTCTCTCTACAAGTATCTTTGTCTTGAAGAAAACACCCCTCCTCCCCTTTTTCCACCTTTACCCAGAACGGGCGGCAAGGTGGCCCAGCGACCAGCAGGAACTATAATGGCTCTGGCTCCTTGCTGGAACGTCTGGCGTTTCTGCGTGGAGCTGGCGCTTTTTTCCCCATTTCTTTCCCCCGGGTTCCCTGGTTTCCTCTCAAGGCCCAAACATGCTCTACATTATAGACCAAATAAACCTTTCTCTTTTATCAGACGTCTCACTCTCAGGAAGTTCACTTTGGCCTTAGCTGCGGGGGAGCTCTGCGAGCAGGGGCTGGAGTGGGCGTGGCCAGCAGAGCAGGGGAGAAAGAGGGGAACGAACAACTGTTGTCAGTGGGCTCACAAAATGAGACACAAACCGGGAGACCCATGATGATCTTATAGTTTACAAAGTTAAAATGCAAAGAAATAAGCAGTAATTTAATGCCCTGCTACATTTGTTATTCGTAAATTCATATACACATAACCACAATTTATATCATTATAAAGATAAGCCTGTTTATATAAACACTATAAATGAGGAGGACTTTTCTCCTCCTCAATTCCTGGGGCTGAGTGCAGCTGATCTCTTGCTCTGTCTATTTCAACCATTAGCCCTGTCGGTGATCTGGAGGACTTTAAACATAAGCGAACACAGAAGCACAGATATAGGTGCAACTAATAAAAGACAAAGTTCGCCATTCTCCAATTCTCGTACAGCTTTCTCGACAAAAATTCTTGCTGCAAACTAACAGTTTTGCTGTATCGGCCCTGACTGCATCACAGGGAAAACATGCAACAAACACCGTGGATCATGGAAACAAACACATACGACCCTTTACAAAAGGCTAAATGCTAAGAGGTGTATACGGAGTCCGTGGATGCGGTCTCACCCAGTCATTAGCGTAGGGCAGTGTTGCCAACTATTTCCAGTGAAAAGTAGCTAAAGCCTGCCAGAAAAGTAGCTAAATGTTGCCTGATGTCGTCACACTAATTTGCATATCAAGTAGTGTCTGGCAAGCGTAAGCCTGTCATGTCTCTACTCTCTGAGGCGTCGTGTATTATATTATATTAAAACATTACATCCACATGCACACTAACTAGGTTGTTATTAACATATCACTTTGCGTGGTAATGTAATTGCGTAATCGCAGCTCAAAACTACATATTTATGTAGGATACGAAACAATTAATGTTTCAATTGACTGGACATCTCAGCAAAAACATTATTTGAAATATGTCCATTTAGATTTGTATGAAAAAATAGGTGACTATTTTTAAAAGTAATACGAACACTTTGAGAAGAATTAATTTTTTAATATAACACTGACAATGAACAGTTACATTCTTTTAAGCAATCACAGCTTGTGTACTTATTTTTAACTTGTGAAATTAACACATTTGTAAAAGGGACAACAATTATAGCAATATTGGAATTTATTTTGTTTTATTATTTTATTTATTTTATATATATATATATATATTTGTTAATAAATATCAGTTAATGAACAGTTATAAAAAAACAATCTAAGCTAGCGATTTGTGAGTGAAGCGTGCAGTCACTGCTGTTTTGTGTCATTTTTAAAAAGATTTCTAAAAGTAGCCAAATGAATGTTAAAATTTGCTAAATCTGTTGCTAGGTGCTTTTTTGAAAATAAAAATAGAAGTTGCTAGGGTAGTACGAAAAATTGTTTAATCTAGCAACAAAATTGCTAAGTTGGCAACACAGGCATAGGTTATAGCAGCTTGGCAGGTTTGTCTTGCCTTCGGAAAGCACGTGCAGTCATGAATAATTAAGAAGCAGGGACTTCTCATAGGATAAGAAAACTCCAATACTAATAACAACGAGAAACCGCCACTAGCAGATTCGTGCTACGTCACCAATTTTTATCCCACTTCAAAAATGAATTTAAAGCCGAAAGATAAAATTAGCTGACAAAAGCTCAAAATTATCCTGTTTATACACAATGAAAGCTGACAGCTGCTAACATTTTCTTAACTGATGCTTAACTGATGCACAACACACACAGTACTTGAGGGTTTCTTGAATCTTTAAGCATGGAGTGTTGATAAAGAGTCTGATGCATGTGGAGAGGACAGAGTGTGCCAACTTTTTTTCTCTCCTTCTTTTCTCTGTCATCCCCTACCTTTTCCCCACTGCTGACCATGGTCATTTAAGTTGCATTTTTATTTTAATTCCTAGGAAGACTTGTACTGAAAGAGCGGTTTAATGACCCTTTACCGTTCTCATGTTGTGGAATCTCTTAAGATCTTCTTAATGATGGTCAAGACGGGAGATCTAGGTATCAAAGTAAGCTTTATTAATAAAAATTTTTGCATTTCTCAAATGTAGCCCTGGACACATATTTCAATAAGCCTGTGCTGAGTTTGACAGTTGTTATTGACTCACCTCTAGCACTATGGCCCTTCTGGGAGGTGTAGGGTTCACCCATCTTAACCCTTTAATTTCCATTTACATCTTTCTGCATGTATCCATGACCTACTTGTAGATTTCTAGTACTTTCCCATGCTTTCACTTTTAGTCATGGAAAGCCCCTTACATACAGAACTGATATATGTTTTATTCAGTTAGTTTATAGAGGTTTTCACCAGTAAACATATTGATATGGATGGGTTATTAAATGGTGCAACAGATTGCAGCATATAGTTACTATAGTTATATCACATATTGAAGTTATTTTAATATTGTTAATTAATTTTTATATAATAAACAATTACTTTTTCGGTCCTCTTTCATTCTGTCTGTTAGACACTCATGCCTTCAGTGAAAATGAAACTCAACACTTTTTCCGTTTGCGCGGGCTTTGCTTTGTGGCTTTGTACTTTGCTCTCTGCTTTCATCAGGACACACTGTTTTTGATCTCTTAATATTCTGTCTGTTTGTGCAGTAAAATGGAAAAATCCAATGTTCCTTTGCTTCAGGATAAGTTTACGTGTTTGATCTGTCTGGATCTACTGAAGGATCCAGTGGCCATTCCCTGTGGACACAGTTTCTGTATGAGCTGTATTTCAGACTCCTGGGATCAGGATGATCAGAAGGGAGTCTACAGCTGCCCTCAGTGCAGACAGACCTTCACTCCAAGACCTGCTTTAGGTAAAAACCTCATCCTGACTGAAGTGGTAGAGAATTTTAGAAAGAGAAAACTACAAGCTGCTGGTCCTGCTCAGTGTAACTCTGAATCTGTAGATGTGGAGTGTGATGTTTGCACTGGGAGAAAATATAAAGCTGTGAAGTCTTGTCTGGTGTGTCTGGAATCTTACTGTCAGACTCACTTTGATCGTCACGAGGAATTTCACTCTAAAAAGCGACACAAAGTGACTGATGCCACTGAACAACTGCAGGAGATGATCTGCCCTCAACATGAGAAACTACTAGAAATGTACTGCAGAACTGACCAGCGCTGTATTTGCATGCTGTGCTTGATGAATGAACACAAAACCCATGAAACTGCATTGCCAGCTGAAGAGAGAGGAGAGAAACAGGTATAACGTTACAGAAATGTACTAGCCCATTTCTCTTTTATTGATAAACATCCAATATTTTGACTGAATAAGAATTGACACAACAGCTTCTGTGTCATCTTTGCAGTAGAGCAGGGATTTCAAACTTAATTCCTGGAGGGCCGAAGCCCTGCACAGTTTAGTTCCAACCCTGCTCCAACACACTTACCTGTAGGTTTTAAACAAGCCTGAAGGACTCAATTAGTTTGATCAGGTGTGTTTAATTAGGGTTGGAACTAAACTGTGCAGAGCTGCGGCCTCAAGTTTGACACCTGTGCAGTAGAGGTATAAAAAAGCCTGAATAACTGATACAGTAGGGGAAGAGATATATCATTTTGTCTATCAAGCTTTTGTGTAATACATATGTTTGTATTATTTTGTTTTACTGTAATTTCTTTGTTCAGAAACATTTTAAAGAGAAACTTCAGCAGAGAGTGGAGGAGGGACAGGAGGAGCGTGAGGAGCTGAGAGCGGCTGTAGAGTCGCACAAGGTGAGTTTTGAGCAGAAGATCATCTGCTGAATGCTGGAAGAGCTGTTTCAGACTCAGTTAGGACCAGTGTTGGGCATGTTACTTAAAATAACTTGTTATAGTTTTAGTTATAGGTCGCTGGTTCGAGCCTCGGCTGGGTCAGTTGGCATTTCTGTGTGGAGTTTGCATGTTCTCCCTGCATTCACGTTGGTTTTCTCAAGGTGCTCTGGTTTTCCCCACAGTCCAAAGACATGTGTTATAGGTGTATTGGGTAGGCTAAATTATCCGTAGTTTATGAGTGTGTGTGGATGTTTCCCAGTGATGGGTTGCAGCTGGAAGAGCATCCGCTGCGTAAAACATATGCTGGATAAGTTGGCGGTTCATTCCGCTGTGGTGACCCCAGACTAATAAAGGGACTAAGCCAAAAAGAAAATAAATGAATGTTTGAAGCAGTGAAAATTAAACCACACTGAACTGAACTAAACTGAACTCAACTCTGAAAACTGGACTGACGCTGTTTCAATATCAATATACTAGAACTTGTATGTTAAGCTGCTTTGACACAATCTGCATTGTTAAAGCACCATAGAAAAAACAATTAATTAAATTGACTAAACTCTGACTAAAGCTTGTCTTTTCCAGTAGGGTTGGGCGATGTCAACCAATTTGGCATTGTATGATGTTTAATGTGAAACATTGCTATGGACGATAGCATTATCATTGTAGGCGGCGATGATTTAATTATTTATGAATCTTTAATTAATTCATAACAAAGTAATTATTTGTAGCCTACCGTTTCAACTACCTGACCCACATGGCCTTTGTTCTATCCATCACCAAATCATAAATAAATAGATAAGGCACACACAAATGACCACCTTTAAACCACTTTTTACGTGAGAGTCTGGCTTGAATAGGCAGAGTGATCTGTGTCATTATAATGGTGTCGACAAACTTAGTTGGTAAAATAGTGCACAACTAACAGCAACCAACCAACAGTGTCTGAGGTTTTTGCTAAAAAACTAAGTATAAGTGTGAAATTGAAAGATTGAAGCAGTGTACTGATGCTGCGACACATTACCTGATAGATTTAAAAGACTGAAGAGTCGTTAGAGAGATGATGAATTAAATATCACGTTTAACAACTATAGTGAGAAACGATCCAGCGGTACATCCTTGATAAACTGTCCGATGTGCACTGCTCTCTGGGGTTTTGAGCTTAAAGCACTCGCTGACTGATGGAGCTCAGACACGCACATATGCTGCAGCGCATGACCGAGTGTGTGTGGTCACATGATGTGCATTTTTTGGGGTATAGTGTGAAAGGAGGGCTTTTCAGAAATGCTAGCTGAAACACCAGTTTGGACATGGATTGTTTTAGTTTTAAAATGCCATGTTAATACTAAGATGAATTAGTGTAAACTTGGCCTAAGTGTGTATTTTTTGCGAGCGGGTTGCTGCTGCGATGGGGGCAGGGCGGAGGTCTGTTGGCCATCGGCAAGGGAGGATGGCACCGTCTATTGACCCAACCCTATTTTCCAGTTTACATGACATTCCAGCAGTTGTTTAAAAGAGTGTGCATAAGAAATATTAGATGTAAACTCATGTTGACAGAAAGACAGGCAGGAAACAGGACTGGCTAGTGAATGCATTCAAAATGAAAATGGTGCATGTAAACATCATATTCAGAATATATAACGACCATCAAATCTTTCATTAAGTCAAAATGACAAAAAGGTGTACATGTAAATGTGGGTAGTGAGGAGCCTGGTGCTGGAGCACTTTCAGTCCCACTGTGGGGAACAGGCTGTGTGAGGCAGCAGTTAGAGCTGAGTGAATGACTGATTCTGCTGCTTCTCTCTCTGTGTGTCCTAACAGCGCTCTGCACAGGCAGCAGTGGAGGACACTGAGAGAATCTTCACTGAGATCATAAGCTCCAATAAGAGAACCCGGTCTGAGGTGATGCAGATGATCAGAGATCAGGAAAAGGCTTCAGTGAGTGGAGCTGAAGGACGACTGGAGCAACTGGAGCAGGAGATGAATGATCTGAGGAGGAGAAACACTGAGCTGGAACAGCTTTCATGCACAAACAATCATATCCATTTCCTCCAGGTAACACCAATCTCTGACAAACAGCACATTGTGTTTAACAATATGTATGTCTCCGATTTCCTAATATTCCTGTTGTTGTGTTTTTTTTTTTGTCTGTCTAGAGTTTCCAGTCTCTCTCTGTTCCTCCTGGATCTACAGACTCATCCAGCATCAGTTCTCATCCCTCTTTTGATGATTTGGTAACATCTGTCTCCGAGTTGAAAGAGAAACTGCAGCAGACCGTAAAAATAGCTAAAGAAAACATGCATCGAAAAGGTAAAGCTTTGAAGCATTAATGTACTCTCAGAAGTTTCAAAATTTAGTAAAATCAATATAATCCCACAACACACAGTTTAAAAATTGTTGAAAATTATTGTTTACTTATATTGAAGATATTTGTTTCCTTAGTGAGATACATCAATGTGATTCCCACACCAGAATACAAGAGCAGGAATGAGTTCCTACAATGTAAGTTTTCTTTTTTGTTTGTTTGATTTTTATAAACAAACTATCTAACAATAAAAAGGTTCTAAAATATAAGCAAATCTAAATATAATGAAGAAATATGCTAACGACGTAACACCTATTAAGTTATGTTACTTTAAAAAGACAAAAAAGAGCTTTTCTTTTTATGCCTGTTGTGATTTTTGATTGCATTAAAGCTGCGGTCACACTGCACATTTCTCCCCGTAGACTTCCATTCATGCACACGCAAATGCGTCAGACTAGAGACACAAGCACAAACAACAAGTTTCGCAGTTCGCTGTGTTGAAAAGTTCAAGCTTGGTGAACTCTGACCTGTGAAATTGCATTACATGTTTGCGTGAGACCAATCTAAGATCAAAACATGACCTCTCTGGGCAGGAATTTTTTATTGTCTAATCATTGTTTAATCCCTCCCTTTTTCACAGCGCTGTACAACAGAATTTTGCACAAACAAACTCTAGTGCAGGGGTGGGGAACCTTTTTTTCTATCAAGGGCCAATTACATTTTTGTAACATTGTTTAGGGGCCATACTAAATAATTAGGCTGCTTGATTATAAGAAAAATCATAATCGCATTTATTTTGGTTATAATTGTTATCACGATTATTCAAAACGATTATCAGTTAAAGTCAAAATTATTCACCCTCCTGTGAATTTTGTTTTTTTATATATAAATATTTCCCAAATGATGTTTAACAGAGGGATTTTTCACAGTATTTCCTATAATATTTTTTTCATCTGAGGAAAGGCTTATATGTTTTATATCAGCTACAAGAAAAGCAGTTTTTAATATTTTAAAACCCATTTAAAGGTCAATATTATTAGCCCCCTTAAGCAATGTATATTTTTGATTGTCTGCAGAAGAAACTATTGTTTTACAATGACTTTCCTAATTACCCTAATTAAGCCTTTAAATGTCATTTTAAGCTGAATGTCTTAAAAAATATCTAGTAAAATATTATGTGTTGTCATTATAGCAAAGATGAAAGAAATCAGTTATTAGAAAAAAAGAGTAAAACTATTATTTTTAGAAACGGGTTGAAAAAAATCTTTCCATTAAACAGAAATTAGGGAGGAAAGAGTTGCTAATAATTCAGAAGAGCTAATAGTTCTGACTTCAACTGTATATATACAGTTATTTCCCTATCGGTAAATAAGGAAAGGGAAATAAATACAATAGAGTAAAAATATGAAACAAACTGTGCTTTAAGCATCTGCACTTGTAAGAAAAAAAAAAACACTTTAATTATAGCTACAAAAGTCTTTCAGTCAAGAGCAGTGAGTGATTTTGTCCTTTTGTTGTTTGATTATTAATAAAAACAGGCAGCAGCAGGAATATTGCGCACTTTCACTTTAAGAATTGTGCGGCTCTAATATGGTGTAACTTTCACATGTCTTTTGATTCTCAACTTGTTTGTTTATTAAACAAATGAGGTTTAAAATAAATAATCACTAAACACCGCGTTCTGACACAAATGTATATGTATTTGACCATTAAAGCGCTCGCATTAAGGATGGCGTTAGATGTGTGTGCTCGTCTCCAAGGCTAAGCGCGCACACACACAGAAGCATGCCATACGGTCTTGTTCGCGCTATTAAAAATATGAATGGTTCGAACGTACATCAATGAATGATGCACATCCCGTGCTGCAAACGTTACAGTACAGCACATGCTTTTAGTCTATTTCATGTAAAACTGAGCTTTGCAGAGCAACAAATGTGTACAACTGTCACTTTCTATAACAGAAATTTTATTTATTTATTTATTTTATTTTATAATTTTTTTTCTGCATACGGCCCGGAGGCCGGACGTTCCTCACTTCTGCTCTAGTGTGACCGCAACATGAATCCATCACATTTCACTGATGAAAACATCATTTTTATCTGCTGTTAATCTGCTGTTTTAATGGTTTCCAGATTACCAGCAGCTGACACTGGACTCAGACACAGCTTATGAATGTCTGCGGCTGTCTGAGGGGAACAGAGTGGTGACTAGGATGAAGAAACCACTGCACTATCCTGATCATCCAGACAGATTTGATAGTTTTGCTCAGGTGTTGTGTAAAGAGAGTGTGTCTGGATGCTGTTACTGGGAGTTTGAGAGGACCGGCAATGGAATGTGTGTATCCGTGTCATACAAAACCATCAGCAGGAAGGGACCGGGAAGTGAGTGTAGTTTTGGATATAATGATCAGTCCTGGAGTTTGTACTGCTCTGACACCAGATGTTTATTCAGGCACAATAGTGAAGAGTCTAAACTCAGAATAGTGTCCAGCATGTCTAGAATAGGAGTGTATGTGGATCACAGTGCAGGAGCTTTGTCCTTCTACAGCGTCTCTGACACAATGAGCCTCATTCACAGAGTCCACACCACATTCACTCAGCCGCTCTACCCTGGGTTTGAGGTTTACAGTTTTTCACGTGTAAAATTGTGTGATCCACCTACCCTGGGTTTGGCAGTTACGGTGATTGACAAGTAATATTATGTGATCAAGCATAACAGACAAGCATATTCAAACTATCTCAAAATTCCACACGGTCTTGTCCCTTAAAGACAAGTATGATCACAATGTAAATTTAGACTTTTGACTCAGAGAGGGCAATCATCAAGTATAGCAAGGTAAAGTTAGTTTTAGTCTTTAACTGTTTAGTTTAGTCTTTAGTCCTACACCATAGTTGATTTTCATTTACAAATGTTCAAATGATCATAGAAATGCTGGGATAATAGTTTACATTTTGAATATAAATATTGATATCTACCCTAGCATTCAAAATAGAACTTAAAAAAAAACTTGGTTGGTTGAACCAACACTTCTTTCATGTTGTCGTAAAGCAAAGCAAAAATACTAAATCTTCCCAGATCTCTATGAATGTGTCACTAAATATTCATTCAAACTAAGCTTTAAAAATTGAAAATTTTATTCATATTAATATAGATTTTTAAAGATGCAATATAATAAAAATCTGGATATACCTACACTGTAAGAAAAAGAATTGTAAAAAAAAAGTCAAATGACTGGCAGCTACGGCTGCCAAACAAAAACCATAAAATTACGGTAAAATGTCTTTGTTGAAATAAAGTGCAAAAAATAATAAATCTACAGATATTTTCATTAAAATGTTTACAGAAAAACACTGTTATTTTACAGACTTTTCCTAGAATATTACGATCAAATCCGTTCAATAAAGGTATACACTAAGAGTTTTACAAAGAAACACTGTTATTATACAGACTTCTCCTAGATTATTATGATCAAACATCATCAATAAAGTGACTGCACTAAAAGTTCAAGAGAAAACAATGTTATTTAAAAGAATTTTCCCTAAATCATTACGATTAAACACCTTTAATAACATGCCAAGACATGCTCATGATCGTAATTTAACAGTTTTATTTTGGATCAAAATTTTTTGGAAAAAACAACAAACGAGATACAACTGATTAAAATTCTCACAACTTTAAAATTACAGTTGTTACATTTTGTTGAATAGTGTTTATGTAAAACGTGTAGAGGTTTAAGTTATATGGAATGATTCAGTTACAGATCTTAAATGAAATGGAACTGTAACATGAAGTGGACGCTGACAAATGAGTGCAGATCCAAAGGCAAGCAACAGTCAACACAGGGGCAAACATATGTAACATTTTGCAGGGAATCCAGAGTCATGGTCAAATAACAGGCAAATGGTCAGTCCCGGCAGCAAACAACATAAACAATTAACAAACAAAGCAAGGCAAAAGAAGCGAACCGTGTCATAATGTTCACAGTAGCAGTATAACAAGACTAAGCAGTTGGTGCGTGCGCGTCTGTGCTGCTTTTAAAGTGCATGTAATCAGTTCATAACGATCCTCCGACTGTGTGTGTGCAATCAGCAGAATCTGAAACAGGTGTATGTGAGCACTCTTAGTGTGTTACTTTATTAAATGGATTTGATCGTAATAATCTAGGAAAAGTCTGTAAAATAACAGTGTTTCTCTGTAAACATTTTAATGAAAATATCTGTAGATTTATTATTTTTTGCACTTTTAAAAAAAAAAGAAATTTTACCTTAATTTTATGGTTTTTGTTTGGCAGCCATAGCTGCCAGTCATTTGACCTTTTTTTACGATTTTTTTTTTTTTTTACAGAGCAAGTAATTACAATTTATTACTTTAATTTTACATAATTTTAAATGTACTTAAAAAACAGGAAAAAAAAACACTGTGAATAATATGTCATTTTTTTGTAAAAAACAGACACATTGCTGTAATTTGTCATTAATTATATAGAACATAAAATAACAGTCAAGGCGTTAATTTACAGATAATGTTTGTAATTTTTTATGAACTTTTGAATATAATTTAAAATAACAGAAAAAATACTGTATAAATTATACTGTTATTTCCCTGTATAAAAAACACAAATGTCAGTAATTTGTCTTTAATAATAAAGTACCTAAAATGAAAGTCAAATGGTTAATTTAGAGAGATTGGTTGTCATTTTACTAAGTTTTGAATATAATGTAAAATGACAAAAAATTACTGTAAAAAATTTAAGGATATTTTCTGTAAAATTAGATATTTTTTTTTACAGTGTAGGCATAGTTAAATAATAAGAGTTCAGTACATGAAAATGGCCATACTGTGAGCCTCAAACACCATTGCTTCCTCATTCTTATTAATTAACACTGGCTCTAGCTCAATTCATGTTGAACTCCAGTAAGTAGGGTATTTTATTCACTTTGAGTAAAGTGATTTTCTTTAATGTAGTTGATGCAGACTCATTCATAAGTTAGTTGTGGCAAAAAAGAATCTGCTAAATTAGAAATTAAAATATTACAGTTAACATTAGCTTGTTTACAATAGCTTGCTGCGTAGTGCACTGCAACTAACATGCCAAAGCCGTTTCATATGCATTGTATTATTTGTGATGACTTGGCATAACTTAACTTATTAACATTAACATCAACATTAAAGGCCACAGCATAGATGTTTAAATGTAATTACAATACATCCAGATAAATAGATTTAAGCAATTATTTAGTTGTTCAAGTGTAAAATGAGATGAAAAACTGGGAAATGGAACTTAATACAGTGCTTCTTGTCTGGTCTGAGACCCACTTTACATCATATATCTATCAGGCAGTGATAATCACTGATTTTAAAAGAAATCAGACCCTAAATGTGGTAATTTTATAATGGAAAGTTCATTGGAAGCGCTGAGGCTGGCTGCATGAAATTAAAAGTCAGTGTACATATAGTCTATTAGCATATTGTTGAGCTGTGCATTTACTAAATGAGCATTGTGCCATAGGACTGAAATGACCCCACTGTATTTGTTTTCTTTTTTCTTTTTTTTGTATAATAAATTTCTATTCTGCTCGTGTCTTAATTAATTTTAAATAAAAAATGTTACATTTTTAATTTCTTGTTTTTATTGGTTTTGAGAAGAATGACAAATCAACAGAAATATCAATCAGTGAAAAAACAGATTCATCTCTCACCAGCTCTCGCTGTCTCTTACTGACCAGCTGACCCACCTGCACCCTTCCCCAATGATGGAAGCAGTGTTTTTCACTGTGAGGACATATCTTAATTTGACTCTATTTTTTGTAACATTCACTTTAGATGGATGGAATTTGTCTGAGAAGTGTGATTGGATTTTTAATGACCACAGAGAGTCAGGACCTCAGTTTAACATCTCATCTAAAAGACGGCGCTCACTGACACTGTAGAGTTCTGTTTTCTACTAAACAGTCATATCGATGACTCTGGTGTGCTTGGGCTTGGCCTTGGAAAGTACAATGTATTGTAAGTCTACGTCTACAATGTAGACTACATTCCAGATTAATTTGAAGTCTTAAAATGGTCCATGCCCACAATAGGGTATATGCCGAGCTAGTGCAGCTCCCATGCTGATACACTTCCGGTGACCTGTTATTGTAAACTTTTTACCATTTTATACGGTTCTTTATACGGCATCGATGTTGTAATGTCATTAAAATACATTCAGTTAAATAAACTTTAGCATTTATTTAGTTGCTCAAGCGTAAAACGAGACAAAAAGCTGTTTACTCGCACGCGCCCGTCAGAATCGGCAGGCTAACGCAGAAGTTCCATTGAATATACTGGGGTAAAATAAATGCTCATATTATAAAGATATGACGGGGGAAATGTAATTTAATGCAGTGCTTCTTGTACAATCTGAGACCCACTTTATAAATCGGATATCACTCAGCTAGTGGAGATCGCTGATTTTTAAAGAAAACAGACCTTGAACGCACCGGATTTTGCATTGGCATTCAATTCGCCGGAAGCGCTTTACCCAGGTTACTGGCAAATTAAAAGTCCTATTAGCATGCTTCGGCATATACCCCATATTGTTTTCAGTTGATTCCATCATCCACACTTAAACGAATGAAACGCTTTCGTTCATGTACTGCACATGTGCACAGACATGAGAGGATTTTACACATCCGGCTGCGGTTTATTTACTCTCTTTGAAACGTTGTGGCAAAATGTTGCAACTGTAGTCTGCTTCCACTACTGAACAATAGCTTCCAGTAAATATTCTGTGTCCTTTAAAGAGAAATATGGAGAATGTAAAAACTGACATTTATCTTTATTAAAGCTGTCAAAATGCACATTCAAAGCTTCTGCTTTACAGTGTTGGCCAGCATGTTAGCTGACTCGCATGCAGTGGTGTAAAGTAACTAATTACAAATACTCAAATTACTGTAATCGAGTAGTTTTTCTCAGAAATTGTAACTTACTAAATAGTTTTAAAAATGTGTATTTTTACTTTCCCTTGAGTACATTTTTAGTGCTGTATTGGTACTTTTACTCCACTACTTTCCTTCAACCTGCAGTTACTACTTTTTCTTGTTTATGGGGATTAGAAAACTCAGTCCTGTAATTCCTGTCCAATCAAATCACACATAGAAGGTAAATCGCATCATAATGAACTACCTCAAGACATGTACACTTTACATTGCAGCAAACTGTTTGGAAGCAATAAGTGTCCAAAAAGATGTTCAAAATCTTTACACGCATTGACCCAGAGACTGTTTAGATCAGGGATGCCCAAACACAGTCCTGGAGGGCTGATTTCCTGCAGATTTTAGCTCCAACTTGCCTCAACACACCTGCACGGATGTTTCTAGAAAGCCTATTAGGAGATTGATTAGCTAGCCCAGGTTTGTCTAATTGGGATTGGAACTTTGTAGGACATCAGCCCTCCAGGACCGAGTATGGGCACCCCTGGTTTAGATGCATGTCACTGATGAGAAGATGATGTATATTTACTGTATGATGACCAAAATGGCCTTAAACACCCAGCAGGCACAAGACGTCAACGTGCCGTCAGATTGAAATTGTACCCTAACGTCCAACGTCCAACCTAAAACCAACCAAATATCAATGTCTAATGATGTTGTGTCAACGTTACCACCATGACATCTATCAGATGTTGAATTTTGATTGCCATAACTGATGAATAAATGTCAGTATTTGACGTCAATAGGGTGTTGGTTTAAGATGTTGACTCGACATTGGATTTTGGTCACTTTCTAACAACCTAAAATCAACTAAATATCAACGTTATTTGATGTCATTAATGGACATTAAAATAATGTTGTCCTTAGACGCTGGCTAGACATTGAATTTTGGTCACCTGACATCACAACCTAAATCTAACCTAATATTATTGTCTTATGACATTGTGTGCCTGCTGGGCAATAGCTAAATGCACTACATAATGTTACAATTACACACATCCACAAATGACATGTAAATGCATCAACTTTTAACAGCATAATACTTACTACTCATGAGTACTTTTAAAAGGGCTACTTTTTACTCCTACTTGAGTAACATTTACAACAGGTACTTTTACTCTACTCCCACTACATTTTTAGGCAAGTAATGGTACTTTTACTTAAGTATGCTTTTTCAGTACTCTTCCCACCACTGCTTACATGACTGCATCACATGAGTAAAATGCATTGTCATTTTCAAAAGCCTCAATTTTTTACAGTCCACACTGCTTTCAAATTTATCCACTTTGAACAGCGCTTTCAAACACATGGCCTAAATGTGGCCCATCAGGGGAAGAGGGGAGCTGGGCTGGGTTAAAGGCAACAGTACATAGTTTGAGTACACGTAGTGCCCTTCAAAAGAAGATATTTTGGAGAAAGCTGGCAACCTGTAACAATTGAATTCCATAGTATTTGTTTTTTCTACTATAGAAGTCAATGGTTACAGGTTTTCAGATTTCTTAAAACAAATCTTCAGTGTTCAACAAATGAAATTAAATGAAATTAAAATTTTTGGATGAATTGTACATGTGTTTGATGTTGGGATGAAAAAAATCTCCCAGACGCCAAATGAAGAAGCATGTCTACTGATCTATATATATAGTTATAGTTGTATCACTGTTTTTATATGATTAATACTATATATATAGTATTATATATATATATATATATATATATATATATATATATATATACTATATATATATATATAATACTATATATATAATATTAATCATATAAAAAAACAGTGATACATTTCAACGATGAAAGAATGTGAGGTAGGATGTTAGATGTTAACTGTCTTACAAAAGTTTAATTATTTACTAATTTAGGCTACGTGATCGTCTTGTGTGTAAATATAACGTTTTATATTTAATAAAAAAGCATGGATTTTAACGCATGCTTTTACTTTCATGTCCACGTTTTTTCATGTAACGAGTTTGGTGCAGGTCTGAGCGTGCAGTTTGGTCTCCGGTCCTGCAGCCTCAACGAGAAAACAAAGCACGTTCACCATATTCAAAGATAAAAAGGTCCAGCAGATGGCAGCAGATAGTTAAACTGATATGGGCCTAATTTCACTTTTTATTAATTGTTTTGCAATAAATAATTAATTAGTTTAAATATTATGAATAAAACTTCTGACAATAAATATTAACAAAAAATAATTATATTAATGTATGTTTTATGTATGAATGTGCAGAGCTGAGAGGCCTTTCTTCAGGAGTCTTTTAGACACTCCTACTTCATTGAAAAGAAAGCGAAACTTGATTTCTTTTTATTTGCGCGGGCTTTACTTGGTGGCTTTGCTCTTCCTGCTTTGTTTTATCATTTCTATCTTGGGAAAACTGTTTTTTTGTTCAGTAAAATGGCAGAATCCAGTGTTTCTTTGGCTCAGGAGCATCAGTTTAACTGTTCAATCTGTGTGGATCTACTGAAGGATCCAGTGGCCATTCCCTGTGGACACAGTTACTGTATGAGCTGTATTTCAGGCTACTGGGATCAGGATGAGCAGAAGGGAGTCTACAGCTGCCCTCAGTGCAGACAGACCTTCACTCCAAGACCTGCTTTAAGGAAAAACACCATGCTGGCTGAAGTGGTGGAGAATATCAGGAAGAGAAAACTACAAGCTGCTGGTCCTGCTCAGTGTTACTCTGAATCTGTAGATGTGGAGTGTGATGTTTGTACTGGGAGAAAATATAAAGCTGTGAAGTCTTGTCTGGTGTGTCTGGAATCTTACTGTCAGACTCACTTTGATTGTCATGAAGAATTTCACTCTAGAAAGCGACACAAAGTGACTGATGCCACTGGACGACTGCAGGAGATGATCTGCTCTAAACATGACAGACTGCTAGAAATGTACTGCAGAACTGACCAGTGCTGTATTTGCATGCTGTGCTTGATGAATGAACACAAAACCCATGAAACTGTGTTACCAGCTGAAGAGAGAGCAGAGAAACAGGTAAAAAAAACTGCTTATTTTAAACAGTTTCATTGCAAATTTTTTGGCTGAATGAGAATTAATCCAGAACACCTTCGGTCACCTTTGCAATGGATATATGAATTGATTAGAGTTGTAAAAAGGATTTTGATTTCAAAATTGTATCTAAAAACATTCATCTTACAAGACTAATACAGTGAACGGATCTGTATTTTTTGCATTGTGTATAAAGCTTTTCAGTCGTTCAGTTTCATATACATATGTGGTTTACTGCAATTTCTCTGTTCAGAAACATTTTAAAGAGACACTTAAGCCAAAAATGGAGGAGAGACAGGTGGGGTGTCAGATGCTGAGAGCTGCTGTAAAGTCTCACAAGGTGAGTTTTGAGCAGAAGATCACTTGCTGGAGGAGCTGTTTGAGACTAAGGCCCCGTTTACACTAATGCGTTTTAGTTTGAAAACGCATAAGTTTTGCTACGGTTACGCCATCCGTCCACACTACGCCGGAGTTCTCGAGCGCCGAAAACGGAGCGTTTCGAAAACGCTGGAGAGGCCGTTTTCATTCTAAAACGCTGCAGCTCCGTCTCAGTGTGGGTGGGGAAAGACGGAGACATCTGAAAACGGAGGCGGGGCTGCAGACATTCGCCTCTCTGATTGGGGCTTTTCCTCAATATTAAGTAGCCTAACACACAGTTCAGTCCTGAATCTTCTCCGTGTAAGTTCAGACTTCGCAAGTTTGATCAAGGCTGCATCTCTTCTTCTCAGTTTGATATGGAAAACATACCGAGGACACGCGTCAATCTTCACAGGGAACAGTGTACTTTATAACTTCATTCACATCACCTTGGCTACGTTGTTTCACTTTCTCAACAATAAAATGTAAACTTGATATAAGGAACTGCCTATTTTTATTTTAATATTAACAACTAAACAGACAGCAGAAATGTTGAGGCGTCGTGCTGCATGAGCGTCATCTTCACTGTCTGCATATTTATAACAAAACGGAGCCGATAACAACTGCCTCCTTTCAATTTCAGTGAAAATACGAAACACACCCTCTCTTTTGCTGAAGTTTTAATAATCGATAATGGCCATTATAAAAGTATAACATACAATAAGTTTATACATTATAGGAAATAAAGGCTAGCGATCAGTCAATATACAGAATGTACGTGCTTACATTAATCATTAACTTATCTTTGCGCTCAGCCAAAACACGTTACCTGAGAACAAGTAATAGATTCCAGTGACCAAAGTCAGGGAATATGTCGTTAGATAAAGACAACAAGATGAATGAAATATCCCGTTTAATAAATATAGTGAGATTAGATCCAGCGGGAGATGCTTGATGAGAAGTCCGACTAGCAGAGCTCTCATCTGGGTAGATGGGCTCCAGCGATTGCCAAAGTGTGTGTGTGTGGTCACGTGATGTGCGTTTTCAGCGTTTTGGTGTGGACGGAGAGCAGTTCAGAAACGCTGGGTAAAACGCGAGTGTGGACGCGGATCGTTTTCATTCTAAAACGCCGTTTTAAAACTAATACGCACTAGTGTAAACGGGGCCACTTAAGCCCCTGTGGGGAACAGGCTGTGTGAGGCAGTAAGAGCTGACTGATTCTGCTGCTTCTCTCTGTGTGTCCTAACAGCGCTCTGCACAGGCAGCAGTGGACAACACTGAGGCAATCTTTAATGAGCTCATCCAGTTAATAGAGAGAAACCGCTCAAAGGTGACACAAATGATCAGAGATCAGGAAAAGGCTGCAGTGACTGGAGTTGAAGGACAACTGAAGCGACTGGAGCAGGAGACTGATGATCTAAGGAGGAGAGACGCTGAGCTGGAGCAGCTTATATGCACAGACAACGACATCTACTTCCTCCAGGTAACACAGAACTGACAAACAGCACATTGTGTTTATTAAGGTGTCTAATTTTTTTTAATGTTCTTCTTGTTTTGTTTTTTGTGTCTATGTAGAGTTTCCAGTCTCTTTCTGTTCCTCCTGGATCTACAAACTCATCCAGCATCAGTTCTCATGTCTCTTTTGGTGATTTGGTAACATCTGTTTCTCAGCTGAAAGAGAAACTGCAGCAGACTGTTAAAGAAGAGATGAAAAAGTTATTTCAAACAAGTAAATCATTGAAGCATTAATTCAGTGTCAGAAGTTTCAATATTATGAACATGATAAACAATGTAAGCCCAAAATACACTGTGTAAAATGTATAAATATAATCATGCAACACTGAAAATGTTTGTTGGTTTTCTTAGGGGAATGCATCAGTGTGATTCCCACCCCTGAATACCAGAACAGGAACAATGAGTTTCTACAGTGTAAGTACTTTTAATAGTTTTTTGTTTGTTTGATTTTAATAAACAATAACCTAGACATAAAAAGAAGATAACAACAAGCAGGTAGGCCTACTAAAATGGCAGGTCTGTTTATTAAAGGGCTTCAATTTTGGCCTTTGACAAGATATAAAATAAGTGTTTTATGTCTCTAGAAAAAACCTATCAGATCAATTATTATACCCTGCAAAAAATTACATTTTGGGCTCAGAGGAAATAAAATGAGCTGGTTCTTCCCGCCCACTGTTGGACCATTTGTTCAAAGTGAAAGATAACCAGGGTTGATGACCACAAATAAGTAATGAGAAGCACCTTTCGTTGCATTCCAAACAGTGTATATTGCCCACCAAAGGGCACTTTGGAAATGAAAAATCGTGGCGCCATATTGTCAAGTGTCATTTCTAACTGCACTTCAATTCAGAAGGCCTCGTCTCTGCTATAATCCAGGGATGTCAAACTCAATTCCTGGAAGGCCGCAGCCCTGCACAGTTTAGTTCCAACCCTGCTCCAACACACTTAAGCTGTGGTCACACTACAGTTTAAGTTAGCAAAATTCTGTCATACGGCGCTGTGAAAAGGGGCGGGATTAAAAAAGATGATTAGACATTAAAAAAAGCAAGCGATTGGTCCATATTTAACATTTCTGTACAGAAAGGTCATGTTTGGATCTTTGATTGTTCTCACGCAGTCAAGTGATGCGATTCCGCAGGTCAGAGTTCACCAAGCTTGAACTTTCCAACGCAGCGATCTGCGAAACTTGACGCATGACCTTGAGTTTCCGGTCTGATGCATATGCGTGCATATGAATGGAAGTCATTGGGGAGAAAAGTCCAGTGTGACCGCAGCTTACCCTGTATGTTTCAAACAAGCCTGAAGGACTCAATTAGTTTGATCAGGTGTGTTTAATTAGGGTTGGAACTAAACTATGCAGAGCTGCGGCCCTCCAGAAATTGAGTTTGACATCCCTGCTCTAATCCCTTCAGAGTAGGCGTCACCAACCAGCTCCAACCCTGATCAAACACACCTGAACCAATTAATTAGCACCTGAAGCACTTGATAATTACATGCAGGTGTGTTTGGTCAGGATTGCAACTGAAATCTGCAGGAAGGTAGATCTCCAGAAACAGGGTTAAGCTGCGGGCACACTTGACTTTTCTTCCCATAGACTTTCGTTCATACATACGCAAATGCGTCAGACTGGAAACGCAGGGTCATGAGTTAAGTTTCGCAGTTCGTTGCAAAGTTCAAGCTTGGTGAACTCTGACCTGCGAAATCACGTCACTTGACTGCGTGAGACCAATCAAGGATCAAAACAAGACCTCTCTGGACAGAAATATAAAACATGAAGCAATCGCTCGCTTTTTTTAATGTCTAATAATCTTGTTTAATCCCGCCCCTTTTCGCAGCGCTGTACAACAGAATTTCAGACTTTGGATATATTTTCTACTAGTGATACTGCTGTCCTAAAAAAAAAAACATTAATAAAAATACTCATACCTCAGAGACGGTGTAGCAAAACCTTGACTTTTCCAAACCACGGTTATCGTCCCATGCGTAAGCAGGAGTGCTTAATCCTATTCCTGAAGATCTACCTTCCTGCAGTTTTCAGTTGCAACCCATATCAAACACACCTGCCAGTAATTATAAAGTGTTGTTCTGGTCCTATTTAATTGGTTCAGGTGTGTTTGTTCAGGGTTGCAGCTGAACTTTACAGGAAGGTAGATCTACGGGAACAGGGTTGAGCAGCCCTGTGGTATAGGGATGAACCCTTACAAATGGAACCCTCTGTGTTTCCGGTCATGTGTGTTAAGCTGCGGTCACACTGCACTTTCCTCCCCATAGACTTCGATTCATGCACACACACAAATGCGTCAGACCGGAAACGCAAGCTTGTGTGACAAGTTTCAAAGTTCACTGCATTGGAAGGTTCATGCTTGGTGAACTCTGACCTGCGAAATTTCTTCACATAATTGCGTGAGACCAATCGAGGATCAAAACATGACCTCTCTGGACAGAAATTTTAAACATGGACATATCGCTTGCTTTTTTAAATGTCTAATCATCTTGTTTAATCCCACCCCTTTTCGCAGTGCTTTACTACAAAATTTAGCATGCTCAAACTCTAGTGCAGGGGTGGCCAACCCTGTTCCTGGAGAGCCACCTTCTTGCAGATTTCAGTTGCAACCCATATCAAACACACCTGAACTAATTAATTAGGACCTGAACACCACATGATAATTACAGGCAGGTGTGTTTAATACGGGTTGCAACTGAAATCTGCAGGAAGGTGGCTCTCCTGGAACAGGGTTGGCCACCCCTGCTCTTGTGTGACCACAGCTTTAGATCATGTGATTCCTTTGTCTCTCTTCCCACCATCACCAGTTTTTATTAGTTACAGGTGCCCCTCATTATGTCATTGTGCATTTAGGCCCCGTTTACACTAGTGCGTTTTAGTTTTAAAACGGCGTTGTAGAATGAAAACGATCTGCGTCCACACTCGCGTTTTACCCAGCGTTTCTGAACAGCTCTCCGTCCACACCAAAACGCTGAAAACGCACATCACGTGACCACACACTCACACTCTCGGGCAAGCGCTCAAGCATTTCTACCCAGATGAGAGCTCTGCTTGTCGGACTGCTCATCAAGCATCTCCCGCTGGATCTAATCTCACTATATTTGCTGAACGTGATATTTCATTCATGTTGTTGTCTTTATCTAACGACATAGGCCAATTCCCTGACTTTGGTCATTGGAATCTATTAAGTTACTTGTTCACGGGTAACATGTTTTGGTTAAGCGCAAAGATAAGTTAATGATTAATCCAGGTACATTGATTGATCGCTTGCCTTTATTTCCTACAATGTATAAACTTATTGTATGTTATACTTTTATAATTATCGTTTATTAAAACTGATATTCAGCAAAAGAGAGGGTGTGTTTCGTATTTTCACTGAAATTGAAAGGAGGCAGTTGTTATCGGCTCCGTTTTGTTATAAATATCCACACAGTGAAGACGACGCTCAGGCAGCACGACGCCTCAACATGTCTGCTGTCTGTTAAGTTGCTAATATTAAAAAGAAAATAGGCAGTTCCTTAAATCATGTTTACATTTTATTGTTGAGAAAGTGAAACAACGAAGCCAGGGGGATGTGAATGAGGTTATAAAGTACACTGTTCCCTTTGAAGATTTACCCGTGTCCTCGGTATGTTTTCCATATCAAACTGAGAAGGGGGAGACTGCAGCCTTGATCAAACTTGCGAAGTCTGAACTTACAAGAAGAGGATGCGAGACTGAACTGTGTGTGGGCTACTAAATATTGAGGAAAAGCCCCAATCAGATAGGCGAACGTTTGCAGCCCCGCCTCCGTTTTCAGATGTCTCCGTCTTTCCCCATCCACACTGAGACGGAGCAGCAGCGTTTCAGAATGAAAACGGCCTCTACAGCGTTTTCGAAACGCTCCGTTTTCGGCGCTCGAGAACTCCGGCGTAGTGTGGACGGATGGCGTAACCGTAGCAAAACTTGTGCGTTTTCAAACTAAAACGCACTAGTATAAACGGGGCCTTAGATTCCTAGTTTTTCAATTTTCCTTGTCCGGCCTCTGGGTGCTTCTTAATATCCTTTCTCGTTTCTTGTGTGTTTCTACGTGTTTCTTTAGTGTTTCCATCTGCTGTGTGTTGATATATTATGCAACTGTGACCAGACAGTTTGTGTTTATTTCTTCTGTTAAAGAAAGAAGATATTTTAAAGAATGATGTGTTTGTTTCTTACAATGTATGTCAGTTTTTACAGTTTAAAAATAACAACATTCTTCAAAATATGCGTTTAGCAGAAAATCTATGCCTTCAATATTGATGAATCCATTTCAGTCATTTGATTTATTCAGTAAACAATGAGAAATAATTGACATTGCTAAAAATGTAATCTAGCTGAAGTAGTTGAACTGAAAAACTATTTTTTCAGAATACGTGTAAATGTTGTAGACATACTTAAAATTAGCAGATAATGTTACTTAAATTCATTCATGGTAAATTAAAACGACAAAAAGCTTTTCTTTATGTCTTTTTTATATTAAATTGAAGCCATTACGTGATTTCACTGATGAAAAACGGATGAAAGCAAGTTAATCTGCTGTTTTAATGGTTTCCAGATTACCAGCAGCTGACACTGGACTCAGACACAGCTTATAAATCCCTGAGGTTGTCTGAGGGGAACAGAGTGGCGACCAGGTTAAGATATGCTCTGCGGTATCCTAATCATCCTGACAGATTTGATCGTTTTGGTCAGGTATTGTGTACAGAGAGTGTGTCTGGACGCTGTTACTGGGAGGTTGAGTGGAGTGGCAGGGGAGTGTGTGTATCCGTGTCATACAAAACCATCAGCAGAAAAGGATGGGGAAATGAATGTGTTTTTGGATGTAATGATCAGTCTTGGAGTTTGTACTGTTCTGACACCAGATGTTTATTCAGGCACAATAACCAGGGGACTGAACTCCCAATAGTGTCCAGTTCATCTAGAATAGGTGTTTATGTGGATCACAGTGCAGGAGCTTTGTCCTTCTACAGCGTCTCTGATACAATGAGCCTCATTCACAGAGTCCACACCACATTCACTCAGCCGCTCTACCCTGGGTTTGAAGTGTACAAGTGTTCTGAAGTAAAATTGTGTGATAAAGCATAACGGACAGACCTTTTGCATATTAGGTGCTTTTTGTATTAGAGCTGCTTGATTAATTGTTAAAACACTGCTATCTCTCAAATGACAGCAATTTGCATATCTATTAAACATTTGACAAGTATGATCACAGTGTTAGTTCAAATCTGATTTGAACTCTAACAGAGAGCAGTTGTCATGTATAGTTATGAAGTGTCATCCCAGCAGGCACAACGTCATAAGACTTTAATAGTAGGTTAGACTAAGGTTGTGATCTCAGGTGACCAAAATTCAATGTATGTTATTTTAATGTCCAATACCGACATCAAATGCTGTTGATATTTGGTTGTTTTTAGGTTACGTCGATAAATGACCACAATCCAATGTCGAGCCAACATCTCCAATCCCAACGTCATATTGACGTCAAATACTGACATTCATCAGGTATGACAACCAAAATCCAACAGCTGTCATAGTGGTAACATCCAACAAAGGCTCATTCTGATTACGTACTTCTATATACATGTCTGGAGACCGCCAAATACGTGCCAGGAGCTACTGTTTTTTGCCGTTTTTGTTTTCGTGAATCCATGAGAGATCTCAAATATCTCTCGCGACTGTTATTTGTGCCTGCTGTTCTCGCGTAAATCCACCAGAGGCCGCTGTCGACTGAATGTTTGACTGACTGAATGACTGACTGACCGATTGACTGACCCACCCAACTCCCTGAACCCAACTAACAAATTTAAAAAGCAGTTCAGAAAAAGAAAAGCCCTCATCTGATTTTTACCATGTTTTACCACATTCTCGTCTTGTTATTTACTCGTTTATTTTATTTTTTGACTTATGTTTTTTTCTTACCTGCTTTCTGGAGACGTTTTTCCCTGGACTCAAACCCTGTCGTCGTCGTCATCTCCTCTCTGCGTCTCAAGTCCACCATCATACATGGTGAGCTAACTGGACAAACTAGTAACAGCGGGGAAAGCCATCCAGAGGTAAGCGGTCAGCTAGTATCCGCGGAAAGGAATGGTGTCATACCGCCCCGTAGCGTGTATTTAAAAAATTCAGTGCAGCCATATGTACTTCTGGCTACATAATTCACGATATCCAGAAACATTTATAGGGCTACGTTTTCAGAATTAACCCATGTTACAACAACGTCAAGCTGTAACATCATTAGACGTTGATATTTGGTTGTTTTTAGGTTGCATTGGAAAGTGACCAAAATGTATTATCTGTCTGACGTTGGACTCTGACGTTGGTATGACGTTAACCCGTTTCATTTCCACCAAAATGCAACATCCCATGGTTTTTTTTTTACCTTACAAGTGTTCAAAATAGAGCTTGAAGATTGTATCAGTAATATGCAAGTGGCAGCAAACAGGGGTGCATTTGTTCAAAAATACTTTATACTCTAAGTGAGATCTTTATGAATAATACACTGAATCTTTCCTTCAAACCAAGATTAAAAGACATTGAACTTAAAGGTGCAGTAGGTGATCTGCCAAAATGCTAATCGGATAGCATATTAGCTTTGGACGGAAGGGAGGGACTGTGTTTCAAAGCCACGTCTTTTGAAAACACGAGCGCGCCCACCGCGACACCACAGCAGACAACCCAGTTCATTCGCCAGTTGGAAGTGTATGTAGTGGTTGGCCGGGCGGCTTGCAGGAATTTCGCTTATAACTAAGCCAGACTTACATGCTATTTTAAACTGAATGTTCAGAGTGAATGTAAACAATATCGGGAGTACGTCACAGGCTGTCATTGTTCAGAAATGACCCAATGTGAACATAAAAGCAACTTCAGCTCAGCAAGCAGGCTAGGCAGAATAGTGCTGTGTACTGATGTTTTGTTGTTAAACTGAATATAAATCTACATCATCGATGCTGTAAAAGCTTACTTATGAAACTAAAAATAGTCACATCTAGCTTCCACCGGGAGATTTCAGTGGCTGAACTACACGTCTGCATAGAACCCATTCATAACACAATACACTCTGCATCAGCTCTGTGTGACTAATATAGTTTTAAAACAGAACATTACCTCTCAAACAGAAATACTTCAGCCATGGTGTGGTGTCTTCCTTCCTCCAGCGTGCAAAAGTAACTCCAATACTGATTCAGGAGTTTAAAAAGTTTCAATTCAGCATTTGATTTTGCCGCAACTGACAGTCTCGCATGCACTTGTCGCTCATCTAGACGTGCAATCGCATCAGACATGCACACGCTAATGGCGGATATGTGTGACCAGAGATGTGTACACGCCCAAATCTGCATTTGTTAACTGATAGTTTGAGTTATTTATCGGAAATATGAGAGATGTCTGTCCGACTCTATTTAATTGGATGAACATTTTTTATCTTTATGCCTTACCCAAAATAAAAAAACATATATAAATACATTTAGATCATTTACTGTAATCATCACTATTGGACTGTGAAGAGACTTTCAACCAGCACAACAAAAAATGTTTCTGAATACAATCCCCTACTGCACCTTTAACAGCTGTATAAACTGAATTGTTCTTAAAAATGTATTTATTTTTCTGTGTTGCTGTCTATTTTAGAACCATGTGAGAATTGTGATCTCTAGAATCAGTTTTAGTGTTATTGCTGTGTGTGCTTCACACACACACAATGAGTTTGTTTTGGCTACAGAAGCTTTCAGTGTACATAAAGTGACAAGTGACAACACAAAATAAATCTGGGGAAAAGAAATGCAATAAACATTAAACAGAGATGCAGTTAGTCAAGGATGTTGAATTGTATGTACAGATTTGTTATAAATATTCAGGTTATACGGTGCTGTGCACAAATGCGAATGGAGAAAGTATTGCATTGTATATTGTTATAAGGTGCTGTGTACAAGTGCGTTTTTCAAACAAACTTTTATTCACAGTTTCTCTAGAAATGTGCAGCTCTGTTTTCCACATACTGCACTGTTTTGGGTACAGGAGCTCTTTGAATGTATTGCTTGATGTATATGTAATGTTATGTGATGTGTTTTTATAAGCTCTTTACTGATGTCTTTCAGAGGTTGAACAATGATTCATGTGAGGTATGGTCATTCTTTTTGCTATTGTTGTTGTTATAAGTGAAAATAAATGGATGATCATATTTACTCATTCTCTGCTGCCGTTTAAACGTGTCTATACAAGACTAAAGAAAAGATTGTTACACTGTAAACAAATCCTGGTTGCCTTCAATTTTTAAGCTTGTGAGTTCATTGAACTTATATTATGTTAAACTGACTTAAAACTGTTCGCGTAATGTATGAAATTAAGTTAGAACATGATTAACTAATGCTGAGTTCAGACTGCATGATTTTCAAAGTAGTCGTGTCACAGATGATTTTACACTGCATGACTATCTGGGCTTGCGTTTTGTCACTGCTTTGTTTACACTACAATATGGATCGGCAACAGGGACTTTTACATTGCATGAATTTACAATAGGAAGAATCAGCGACAACTTCGTCCAAACTACGTCTCACAACCAAACACACGTCGTATATCTTTTGTTATTAACTACATAACGAGAAAGAAGCCTTTAAAGGTAGAAAATGTACATATTTGCTTACCTGGGTTTGAAGGGAATTAACAATTTCTCCTCAACATTTTTTCTTTTTTGACCCAGTTGTAATATTGCTCACATGATGACCCGTCAAACAGACACATGAGCTCCAGCAAAAATTTTTTTTTTTACTTTTCCCCCAAGCTCCAGCTGGCCTGCAGATACCTACGCTAGTGGATGCTGCTCTCTCATTGGCTGTAGGTGATCGCGGATGTTATTTTTAATCAGAACTCAATTTACATGGCATGATTTGAATCGCAAACAGCTCCAGATTTTTAGCATGCCAAATATCTCACGAGCGTTAATGACTCATCAGCGATTCTTTCAAATCACGTCTTTAACAGTTCACACTGTGGGATTGTCACTCGCGTTCACAAGGACCGATTTGCCTGTGATTTCAGGCATTTGTCTGCGATTTCTTAAAACCTGTCGGCGAGTCAAAAACGGGGCTAAAATCATGCAGTCTAATTTCGGCATTAGTTTAACAAGTTACAATGAACTAAAAACGTGCTGTCTGAACTTATTGTTTATATATTTTTTACAGAGTAGAAAACATGTAAATCAGACATATGGTGTGTATTAGAAGAAAATAAATTTGCCTTGTTTTTTATGACTATTTGCTCATTTATAATAAAATTTTAATGAAAATGTATATATTCATTCTTTGTAGTGGATTTATCAGTACTGTAAGCAAAACAGTTTACTTTCCTAATATTGAATGATCTGCATGTTTACTACAACATTGATAACTCATAACAGCTAAGAATAATAGATTTTGAGACAAAACTGTCAGAACTGTAAACTGTCAGAAAAACAACCCGGGAGACAACAATTTATTCTATGACTTGTGGCAAATGTGTCATTTCTAATTACAGCTTATATAGTTATAGTAAGTAAAATAATAGTAAAATAATTTGGGATCATAATTTTAGATCATAAATTCGCTAAACAACAAAGTATCCTGTGCATTTAGTGCATCTGTTTCTGCGTTTGTGTATTTCATGTTGAATATATCAAGATTCTTAAAGGTGCCATAGAGTTCATTGGTTTAAGTTGTTCTCTGATATCTTCATAGCTGGTGTGTAACAGGTTGTAATTGTAAAATATGCTCAATTATAACCCCAGAATCTCCCCCTAGATAATCGGAAGCTATGGTTTGACCATATTTGGAATGATCATGAATATTGTTGAGCTCTGTTCTGAGGTGCAGCTAGTGTTAGTCTCTGCTCTCTCTCTTTTACTTCATTTAGACTAGCAGCGATTATACAACCGGCCTCTGAGTGAGCTGAGAGACTTACGTGGGCTCTACTGGTGCTCCTATTGGCTGACGCTCAAGAAAGTCGCTCTTCATTTGCATAAAGTTGAAGGATTCTCAACTTTGTTGCGCCGCTTGACACACCCACCTGGTCGCCAAAGGTCGCTGTCGCTCGCATAGATGGAGATCGCCGGAAGTTGCTGACTGTCAAATAAGAAGCTGACTCTGAATTTCTGAAATGTACACATGCAAACTAGTCATACTTAGTTTGTTAAATTATAAATATGATATTTTTATTTTTCCACTTGCCAGTTAGTAAAGTTGACAACAGTAAACTACATATTCAAACAGAAAGGATATTAAATGACCCAACAGATAGTTATACTGTGAAGTATTTACTTATAATTAAATTACTCTTCTTACTGTGAGGTGACAGTGCTATAGTTATAACCACTGAGCCACCGTGGTGCCTATAATATATGTAAAAATTATTGTAACAGACTGAAGGAGGCCAAAAAGCATTTAACAGTTCAAACTTATCTTTTAATGAACTTTTGCACATTTTAGACAGATGCGTAATACATTGCTGGAACAGCATCAACCGGCTCTCTCAAAAAATATGTTTTTCCCCTTTTGGAAATCCCCCTCTCTGGAGTGCCCAGACTCACTTTTTCCCATAATCACGCCCCTTAAATCCCTACATTACACCACATAATCACACACAAACATGTAACACAGGAACTATAACTTTTCTAGCATGCTACATTATATTAAAAATGGTTATAGATTAATTAATAAATATAAATATTGTGAATATCACCATAGTGATGAGTATTTATATTAACTACAAATAAATAATTATATGAATGTATGTTTTTTGTATATTTGACAATGCAGAGATGAGTGATCTGTTACATACTTTGTCTGATAGACGCTACCTTCAGCTCAGTCAAAAAAGAAACTCGTTACCTTTTCCGTTTGCGCGGGCTTTACTTGGTGGCTTTCCCCTTTTTGCTTTCTGTTTCATTGTTACTAAACTAGGAACATGCCATTGGTGAGCTGTTGAATTCATATTTGTGCAGTAAAATGGCAGAATCCAGTGTTTCTTTGGCTCAGGAGGATCAGTTCAGCTGTTTAATCTGTCTGGATCTACTGAAGGATCCAGTGGCCATTCCCTGTGGACACAGTTACTGTATGAGCTGTATTTCAGGCTATTGGGATCAGGATGAGCAGAAGGGAGTCTACAGCTGCCCTCAGTGCAGACAGACCTTCACTCCAAGACCTGCTTTAGGCAAAAACACCATGCTGGATGAAGCTGCTCGTCCTGCTCAGCATAACTCTGAATCTGTGGAGTGTGACATTTGTACTGAAGACAAAAATAAAGCTGTTAAGTCTTGTCTGGTGTGTCTGGAATCTTACTGTCAGACTCACTTTGAAAGTCATGAGGAATTTCACTCTAGAAAGCGACACAAAGTGACTGATGCCACTGGACGGCTGCAGGAGATGATCTGCCCTCAACATGACAGACTGCTAGAAATGTACTGCAGGACTGACCAGCGCTGTATTTGCATTTTGTGTTTGATGAATGAACACAAAACCCATGAAACTGTGTTACCAGCTGAAGAGAGAGCAGAGAAACAGGTAAGCTTGTTTCTTTTTGATAAGCTTTTTAAAACTGTCATTGCAATATTTTTGACTGTATGAGAACACACAACAGCTTCAGTCACCTTTTTAATGGAGATGTGAATAGATCAAATGTATTTATCATAAAAGTGCGATATGACAGATTTGTATTTATACCTTTGTGTTTCTAAAGCTTTTGTGTCATCATTTAGTTTTATATACATCTGTGGTTTACTGTAATTTGTCTGTTTTACAGAAACATTTTAAACAGAAACTTCAGCAGAGAGTGGAGGAGAAACAGAAGGAGTGTGAGGAGCTGAGAGCGGCTGTAGAGACTCACAAGGTGAGATTTGAGCAAATATCAACTACTGGCTCCTGGAGGAGCTGTTGGAAACTTAGTTAGGACTGTCCTGCAGTCGGTCAGTGAGGAGCCCAGTGCTGGAGCACTTTGAGTCCCACTGAAGCCCCTGTGGGGAACAGGCTATGAGGCAGCAGTAAGAGCTGAGTGAATGATTCTGCTGCTTCTCTCTGTGTGTCCAAACAGCGCTCTGCACAGGCAGCAGTGGAGGACACCGAGAGGATCTTTACTGAGATTATATGCTCCATCGAGAGAAGCCGCTCAGAGGTGACACAGCTGATCAGAGATCAGGAAAAGGCTGCAGTGAGTGGAGCTGAAGGACGACTGAAGAAACTGGAGCAGGAGATTGATGATCTAAAGAGGAGAGACGCTGAGCTGGAGCAGCTTTCACACACAGACCATAACATTCATTTCCTCCAGGTAACAAAGATCTGACAACCAGCTCATTGTGTTGAGATATAATATGTAGGTATCTGATTTTCTGATATTTCTGTTGTTGTGTCTTTGTCTGTGTAGAGTTTCCAGTCTCTCTCTGTTCTTCCTGCATCTACAGACTTCTCCAGCATCAGTTCTTGTCTTTCTTTTGATGATTTGCTAATGTTGGTCTCTCAGCTGAAAGAGAAACTGCAGCAGGCTTTGAAAGAAGAGAAAGAAAACATATTTCACACAGGTAAAGACTTGAAGCAACAATTTTCTCTCAGAAATGTCAATATTTTGAATATAATATAGAAAATAAAATCCCACAACACACTGCCTAAATTTACAGATGAATGGGATTTAAAAATGTGACATTGAACATGTCTGTTGGTTTTCTTAGTGAGACACATCAGTGTGATTCCCACCGCTGAACACGAGAGCAGGAATGAGTTCCTACAATGTAAGTCTCTTTTTTCTTATAATAAACAAACACACAGACATAAAGAGAAGCCATAGAGAAGAAGGTATGTTAAGGACTGGTTTATGAATGTTAATGGTTCACATTATTCAGTCATTTGTTTTATTCAGTGCACAGTGAGGAGTAATGATAGCTTGCATTCATAATAATTTAATCTAGTCACGGTTTGCAGAATTCTTTATTAACCCTATACAATTCTTTTATATAAACTGGTCATAAAATATTCTTTCTGAGTAAATGTGTAATATACAGTTCGTATGCGGTAGGCATACTTAAAATTAAGTACACTAAAAAAGTTTGTAATTTTACGGTTTATTTCCAGCAGCTGTGGTGCTGGAAAAAAAAAGTAAAATAACGGCTGTTAAATTACAGAAATTTACCGTAAAATAATGGACCTCTGTTATTTTACAGTAAATTTCTGTAATGCAACGGTTGTTTTTTACAGTAAATTTCTGTAATTCAACAGCCGTTATTTTACAGTAAATTTCTGTAATTCAACGGCTGTTATTTTTGGGTAAATTTCTGTAATTTAACGGCTGTTATTTTACATTGAATTTCTGTAATTCAACAACTGTTATTTTTGGGTAAATTTCTGTAATTTAACGGCTGTTATTTTACATTGAATTTCTGTAATTCAACAACTGTTATTTTTGGGTAAATTTCTGTAATTTAACGGCTGTTATTTTACATTGAATTTCTGTAATTTAACGGCTGTTATTTTACAGTTTATTTCGGGCTGGAAATAAACCATAAAATTGCAGATTGTTTTTCCAGTATAATTAACAGAATTGGATTTAACCAACATTTTGCCAATGACAGGTCAATTGACAATTTAAGTTTCTAAAAGTAAAGATTTAGGCTAACCAAGTAACTCTTCAGAAAGAATGTTACATTAAAAAAGACAAAACATTTTGGTAACACTTTATTTTGATGGTCCAGTTGATTATTAGGAGACTGTCTTTGATGGTTCTTTAATACGTTGATACTGCTCCTTCAACAGACATTGAACTGTCTATAAGAAACTTTCCAAGTACATGTCAACTTACACTAACCCTAACCCTTACCTAACAGTCTACTTATAATCTATTGAGAATTAGTTGGCATGTAGATGCGATGTAATGCAAATTCACCAAACGGACCATCAAAATATAGTGTGGCCAAATTTTTTCTTTGTGTCAGGTGTGACCTTTGATTACGTTTTACTGATGAAAACGTGGCAAAAAGTTAATGTCCTTTTTTCTTTTGGATTTCCAGATTACCAGCAGTTGACACTAGACTCCAACACAGCTTATAAATATCTTAGGCTGTCTGAGGGGAACAGAGTGGCGACTAGGTTGCAACATGTTCAGCCATATCCTGATCATCCAGACAGATTTGATGGTTCCTGTCAGGTGTTGTGCAGGGAGAGAGTGTGCGGACGCTGTTACTGGGAGATTGAGTGGAGAGGTTGTATAGAAACATCAGTGTTATACCAGAGCATGAGCAGGAAGGAACGGAAAAGTGAGTGTAGATTTGGACGTAATAATCAGTCCTGGAGTTTGTACTGCTCTGACTCCCGATGTTATTTCAGGCACAATAACCAAGAGTCTAAACTGCCAATAGTATCCAGCCTGTGTAGAATAGGAGTGTATGTTGATCACAGTGCGGGAACTCTGTCCTTCTACAGCGTCTCTGAGACAATGAGCCTCATTTACAGAGTCCACACCACATTCACTCAGCCGCTCTATTCTGGGTTTGGGGTTTACAAGCAATCACGAGTAAAACTGTGTGATCAAGCATAACATTTACACATTTAGTGTTTATCTGTTAGAGCTACCTGATTGAATGGTTTAAAATTTTGCAGTGACTATTATAATATTGATTAAAGAATAATAAAATATTGCAATGTTTGGTTTTTCCCACATCGTGCAGCCCCACACAGTACATTTGGATTAACTTTTTAATATTACATCCATCTCTGACAGCTGTACTGGTACACATCCCATACATACACACATCACCACTTACCTTTATTTTTTTCCTCCATCAGCTGTGGATGTCGAGTGCATGCACCATCTCACCAGCATCCAGTCATTTCCTCCACATTTCCATCTTTCCCCCAGTTGCACAGAGCATACACCTACACCAGGGGTGTCCAAACTTGGTCCTGGAGGACCGGTGTCCTGCAAATTTTAGTTCCAACCCTAATTAAACACACCTGAACCAGCTAATCAAGCTATTTCTAGGTGTAGAAACCTCCAGGCAGGTGTGGTAAATGAAGTTGGAGCTAAACTGTACAGGACACCGGCCCTCCAGGACCGAGTTTGGACACCCCTGACTTACACACACCCATTGTCTTTGCCTATTTGTTTGTCTGGGAATGTAGGACTTCAGCGCGGGGCTGGCCAAACTGAGCATAGGATTGCGCAGGCTTATGACGTCAGAAGCCGCACCATGGTGGCACCACATGCTGAAGTTTGACCCAACCATTGTTGTTTATGCTTGTTTCCATGAGCCGTTTGTGTATTAGACTATACAACTTCTGTTCTAAGGATCAATAATTGCGTATACCCTCGTTATACTCTCTTGTTTTGCTGATTAAACTTCCAAAACTTATGTGTTTTCGTGTGCCCTTTAACTCTATACCAAATGTTTTTTTTTTTTTTTTATATATATTTTTTAAAATTGCGCCATTCCCCGCCCCCTGACGACCGCAGCAGCTGCGAAAAAATTTCATGAGAGTTTTTCGAAAACTCAGTCATCTAAATGATGTCTTGCTGTAACATTCAGGTACAATGATAAAACAACATGGGCATCGCTTTAGCCCCCTATATTTCTATTCAGCCCCCCTAAAAGTTTAGTAATCACTTCGTGAACTGTACAATAAAACATTCCCTCAGTCCTCTTTAAAGCCTATTTCAGGGTCTGTTAGGGCACTATTAGCTAGCCATTAATCATTGAACAGGATTAAACTATTAGCAACTGGCTTAAAATAAACAAATTTGTTGAAATGTTTCCTTTTTAAATGGATAGTGCACCCAAAGAAATAAAAAATTGTCATCATTTACTCAACCTTTAGGGGAGCGTGGGGCACAAAGTAAGCAGGGTTAAATGTAACACAGAGTTTTAAGGTATTTGCTCAGGGTTGATCATGGCATGCTTCAGAGGTTTTCAAAATCAGTGAAAGTATGAACCTAAAATCTTATATTGTAGTGATCACCGTTTTCTAGGAAGTTTCATTAAAGATGAAATCATTTTGAAAGATGTATAAAAAAAAAAACTGACTACTATCCAGTTTTTCAGGAAAACAGGTCACAGCGGGGTTAGATGTAACAGGGTGTAACAATTAAGCCACACCCTGTTGGACACCAACTAAACTAACAAAATATTTTTTTAATTTTGAATGTAACGTTGAGAATGTTTTTAAAAAAAACATTTATAGAATTTTTTTTTTAATAGACAAAAAATATATATTTTATTGCTAATAATGGAAATAAATGCATTGTATAATAATGGATAATAATCCAAATAAATCCAAATGTGTTTATCCAATACATAAATAAACACTGTGCTGTGTAGAATAAAAAAAGAAATGAGCCAATTTACAGTAAAAGTGCCTATTTAAAGTAAACAGAAATTAAATTAACTGTGTGAAATCTGCCTTTGTAAGGATGTTACAACTAACCCCGTTACTTTGTTCATTATTTTGCCAAAACAAAAAAAGTGTTACTTTGTGCCCCGCTCTCACCTACTTCTTCCAAGCGGCTTTGTTTATTTTTTATTCTGTTAAAGCTGGAAACCTGTAACCATTGACTTCCATAGTATTTGTTTTTTCCTTCTGTTGAAGTCAATAGTTACAGGTAACTTATGTTGAATAAATTTATTGCTAATGAATCAAATAAGCCTTAATTTTCGTCTTTTCTTTGCCCACTTTTAAAAATGGGCTGGGTGGGTAATAGTACGCCACCTTTTTTTTTTTTTTTTTTTTTTTTAGGACTACACCACTGATTAGGAGGTTATATGTCAAGAGTTTATTTCCAAAAACCAGCAACTGAGCAATTCCAGCGTTGTGGATGTGACATTTGCAGTAAAATTTCAAACATAAATTGACAGAGGAAGTGTATGTTAACATTATATTGAAGCATCTCTTTTTATTTCTTCAAAACAACTGACCAGAGTTTTGGGAGCAGAAAAATATCAATCTGTAAACGATTTTTATATTTTAAAAGAGTAAAATAAACATGCATTATGGATGTGACCAAAAAAAGGCTGCAAGTTTACAGTATACAACATACTTTGTAGGAATTCTGTGAATTAAATTGCATAACTCAAAAGAAACAATGCTAATCAACAGGAGAAAAGTCGGCTCACTAGAGAACAAACATGACTGATTTTAGTTGATTTGACATTTTTGCATTTCTTAGGAAAAAGTGTCGTTATGGATGTGACATCTCTTTGTTATGGATGTGACGGATGTGAAATTGCCACGAGTGACTTTGGTAAATCAAATATAATAGTTTGAAAACATTGACAGAAACATTTTTGAGTATTTTTAAAGCGCTGTAAAATACAAACCTACACAAAAAAACGCACAAGCGGTTTTGCTATTTTGGCCAAAACTTAATTTTTCGCATGGCAAGGTTGACATTTGCATGGAATTGCTCATCTCCATTTTTAGTCATTTTGAAAATAAATAATTATTTTTTAAATAAATGTCTATGTATTTTGGCCTGGTCCTGCTTCCTTTTACATAATTAACTTTTTATTGGTAAATAATATATAATTGCGATAAGATACATACCAGCACATCTACCGTCATATAACACAGAATGAGCTCATCTGTACCCTCAAACATCTCAGAGCTTCAACAAAAAAACAACTACTTTAAGACACAAAATTCCTCAAATAACTGTTTATTTCTATTAAATACAACACAGACAAATCCAGTTAGTGCTTCTGCTGTGACTAGTTGCAAATATATATGTATAATCTATATCTAATTTAGATCATAGCAAACTCTCAAAACAACATATCCTGTACATTTCATGTAGCCTTCATCTGCTACTCCGTTTGTAATCCTGGACCACAAAAACAGACAAGTGTCAATACTTTGAAGCTGAGATGTTGTAAATAAGCTTTCCGTTGATGTGCGATTCGTGAGGACAGGACGATATCTGGAAATCAGTAATCTGAGGAGGGAAACATCTAAATGTAATAAATGAATGAATGAATTCCCTTTAAAGATGTATTAATGAAATGCTGAGCACTGCACATTAATAATCAAATCAAATTTAGTATACTTTTACAGTAGGAACTTTGCTAAAAACCTTCATGGATCATTTTTAACGGTATAAAAAAAAAGGAACAATTCTCGCTTATGCTAAAAGTGTACACTAGTGCAACACCGCAGACACACGGTTCAGCACACACAGTCCAGGACACATGATCTAGGCAGGGGGGAACCATATAAGGTTAATGACAGACCAGTCTTCTATTTTTATCTTGTTTAACAAAGACCAACTCATTAGGAGCAGTATCGCCACCTACTGTATTTCACAAATATGGCGATCGAGACCATACGTGACTGAACAGTTTTAACAGATTGCGCATGTGCGGCTGAGATTGCATCACTCAGAATGCGCATGTGCGGCTGAGATTGCATCACTCTGAATGCGCATGTGCGGCTGAGATTGCATCACTCTGAATGCGCATGTGCGGCTGAGAGTGCACCGGTCTGAGATTGCATCGTGTCTGCATACAGACCCTTCGCAACAGTTTAGGGTTTCCCATTTCAGTTATTAGCCCCTTTCACACATACAGACCTTTCCGGAAAATTACCGGCAATTTTCCGGAAAGGTTGTATGTGTGAACAGGCCCTTTTTGAAAATACCGGTAAATTCGTTTTGGCTATTTTCTGGAAAGAGAAGTTGTAACATTACCGGTAATTTGCCGGAATGCTGCGCTGTGTGAATGCAGAAGGAAGATTGCCGGAAAGAGCGCGTCCACGTCTAGAACGTGCTGACGTGAGACACCTGCTTTAGCCAATCAGAACAGTCAGACGCATTCACGTGCGCACTGTTTATGAGAATATTTTTCCAGACTCCTTTAGCTGCTAGATGTTAGTCAGATAACGTTTCTATGTTCCTTCTTAATGCTTACTGTGTAAATAAATATCGATAAAACATTTATGATAATCCGTTGTTTGTTTACCTTCAAGCTTTGCGTGTGCCCGTGAGCGCCCATAGTGCCAGCACACACACATATCATGTACATCTCGACATGCGAAAGTGTTCCTCTATATGTTTTCATTGAAGTTGTACTCAATACTGATCCATTCAAAGAGTTTGTAATGTAGTCAAATGTTTACAAACACAAGCGAAGCCGTTTAGAGGTCATTTCTGGTTAATGATGTCAAAATTTACCGGTATTTTGAAATGGATGTGTGAATGCTCTTTTCCGGAAAAATTCCGTAACGTCCTCGCCTGTGTGAACAGCGCCTTTTTGAATATACCGGTAAAGTCGTTCCGGAAATTTTCCGCATATTTACCAGTATCACTGTGTGAAAGGGGCTAAAGTTTCATTATTATACCGTAACGATCATTTTAACATCTGTGCACTTTTGGTACTCGTATTATTTATATAAAAATAATTAGTAAAACACGTATGACTATTATTTAAGCAGATAAATAGTATTCAATCGCTGGAGTACAATATTAATATAGTGTTATACATTTATTAAATGTAAAGATTTGCATTACATGTAAAGATGGCTTACAGCCTATACATATTAACCTGCTATAATTTCCTTCATTCTAATGAATCCATTATATAAATAAATGAAACCTGTTCAGTTTAACAATGTTTTTTAGCAAATCTGCTATTGACTCTGTCGGATGAATAATGACTGATAGAGAAGTGTGCAGTCTGTTATATTGAATGCTGATCGGCAACAACATGACCTTTTTGCCTGTCTCGATCGCCGTATTTGTGAAATAGAATACACTATTGTTTATTGTGTACACTATTTATCAACAATACATATAAAATATACTGATGATGAGATCTGAGAAGACGTTTATAACATTAACATCCGTCATAACCATATATGGCAACGTGATGGCAGTGGGTAGCACTCTCGTCTCACCGCAAGAAGGTTGCTAGTTCAAGCCTCGGATGGGTCAGTTGGCATTTCTGTGTGGAGTTTGCATGTTCTCCCTGCGTTTGCGTGGGTTTCCCCCACAAGTCCAAAGACATGCGCTATAGGTAAATTGGTTAAGATAAATTGTCCATAGTGTATGTATGGATTTTTCCCAGTTATGGGTTGCAGCTGGAAGGGCATCTGTTGTGTAAAACATATTGGCAGTTCATTCCGCTGTGGCGACCTCTGATTAATCCAAAAAGAAAATAAATGGCTGCGTCTGAAACCGCATACTTTCATACTATACAGTACGCTAAAATCAGTATGCGGGCCGAGTAGTATGTCCGAATTCATAGATTTCGAAAATCAGTATGCGAGAAGTACCTGGATGACGTACTACTTCCGGCGATATTCTAGAGTGCTCATCCCATGCATACTGTGCTATCCCATAATGCCCTATGAGGCTAAATGGAAGTGACGCAACTGACGCAGGTAGGTCATGTGACCATGACAAAACGGCGGATGTAGTATGTCCGAATTCCATTCATACTTTTCACATTCATACTGTATAAAACGTACTTTTCTAACGGTCGAGTAGTACGTTTAAATTCAAATGCAGTACCTACTGAGTAGTAGGCGGTTTCGGACGCAGCCAATAATGAATATTCATATATGCTTTACCTCTGGCTAGATTGTGCGTGTGTCTGCAGCTGGATATTATTGGTGCAACTTGGCAGGGCACAAAGGTTTTAAAATGTTTTTTTTTTTTACGTGTTTTGTATCGACTATTTTATTTAGTTTTAAGGGCAACAGTATCTCCAGCAGAAAAGGATCCTCCACATCAAAATCTACTGGTCAGCCCATGATTCAGAAAACATCTGAAAAAACAAATCCCTTGTGCACCAACATCCAGGCCTGCGCTAGAGCTGAACAGTGCAGCGGCTTTACTTTATATCCAGAGATGCCTTTTTAAGGTGTTAACAAACCTTTTTTGTTTTTGAAACTAATGAAGATGATTTATTTGAATTATTCAGCCTGACATGTTTATGGTCCCAAAATATTTTGTTTAGTTTCTTAAAATATAATATATTATGAGGGAAAATGGTTGTTCTTTTTTACCCAGACAATTATAAAAAACTAATTTTAGAGCAGTGATCACAAAACCGTGATACCATAAAACCATATTTTTATCCAAGGTTATGATACAATCAGGGCATACCCACACTATGCTATCCAAACCATGCCCAGGCCCGTTTCCCAGATCGTTTGAGAAGTGAGTGTTCTGAATCAGGCTCAAGCACGGTTCACGTGGCCGGCCCTGGCCCGGTTGGAAGAGGTGTGCCAGAGCGCAGTTCACTTGGGCTTTGACATGGTACGCTTGTAGTGTGAGTGCAAAGCGTGCCTGAGCCCGAAACTTAAGACGAGACGTGACTTTTAGGGGATTGTTTAATATGGATTTATTAATCATTCTTTCTGTTCAATGAACACAAACTGTCGTAGATTATTAAAGACGAAAACCCCTTACTGCACGACAGCTGCACCTTCAGCAAACCTCCTAATTCCTGCAGCACGAGGACTTTATGATTGTTTATGAGCTTCAAAAGTGGCGGATCTGTTCAGCGGAATATATAACTGCGCGTCACTGCATATCAAACAACTAAAACAATATAACTAGAGAAATCTCCGCTGTGCTGAGCGAAAGCGCTTACTGAACTGCGCATCATCGGTGATATAAGCGTGCCCGAATGTAATGTGAGTGCGGGTAGACTGGGGAGACGGGAGGGGTGACAAGCGTGCTTTGGCCTGGTTCAGGACAATTGTACTTGGTTTAAGTACGGCCTTATTCTGGTCCATGCCTAAATGCATCACGAGTCTACTTCTGTGGTCCAGGATCACATTTCACGCTTAACAAATCAGTGTCCTCATGTGCTCACATCATCCTGCTATTGCACGCCTGCTGTCTTCAGTGTGTTTCAATGCATCTCACTGCTTAATTTGATCAAAATAAAGACCTGGGAAAAGTCCTGCTACAAAATGACACTCTGGAATATGAAGGTCTTTATTTGAAACTCTTCTCAAGACACCTCTAGAATCTAGAAATATCTACAAACTCCCTGAGGGTAGTGTGTCCTGCTGCGTTTGAGACTGTAGTTGAGCGAGCGCGTGCAGGTCGGGATGGTGTTTTTTAGTGTGAATGCGCAGGTACTGTTTCCCGGCGAAGCGTTTCCCGCAGCGACTGCACTCGTACGGTCGTTCCCCGGTGTGGACGGTCTGGTGCGCCGTGAGGTGTCCGGACTGTGTGAAGCGTTTCCCGCACTGCTCGCATCGATAGGGCCGCTCGCCTGTGTGTATGCGCATGTGTGTGTCCAAACTCTGAGACGTGGTGAAACTCTTCCCACAGATTGAGCAGATGAAATGCCGCTTGCCGGTCCCGCATCCGCGTAAAGCGCCCAGACGCCCGTAGAGCCCCAGCCCAGACACATTCCCAAGCGCAACCAGCCTCTGCGCAGCAAACAACGGAGAATTATGGGGCACAATGGAGTCTGAGCCGCCGACTCCCTGTGGAGAGTTCTGTAAGTGTGCCAGAGTGTTACGTACTGAGTGTGTGGCCCAATCAGAAACCGGATCCAGGTCCGTCTTCATGCACAGGTCCTCCTGAAACACTCGGTGGAGGTGAGCGGCGCGAGCGTCTGATGCAGCGGTCTGAGAAAGGGAGAAGGACGCATTATCAGAAACAGTCAGATCAATGCTGGAGTGCTGAGACTCGTCGGCGCCAGAGTGAGTGTCTGCAAACGTGAGTGTGTGAGAGTGGGTGTCTTGGTCCGGAGAGTGCGAGAGTGTGTGTGAGTCTTGTCCTGACAACTCAACTACATCCGCTTTAGGAGAGTCGTGAGTCGCTGCGGAGACGCTTTCACCTTCGTCTTCATCCTCATCCTCATCTGTGGAGAAACACACGCATGATCAGCTCAGGTTTGCTGGTTATTCGTACATAATGTATCTTCCAAAGTTAGCATCTTTTCAACATCTGAAATTTGATGCCGTGTATTAAAGGTCCTGTGAAGTGCTTTGAAATGTGAATTTTTTATTCAGTTTGACGTGATCTCAACTGAGAAACGGTTTTAGAACAGGGTGACACACAGAGTAGCTCCTCCTTCCCTTTAAAAAACAGCCAATAGCGTTTCATTTTTATCACAGCTCCGCCCTTGAGTGGTTGAGCTCAAGTGCGTCAAATGAAAAGAGTCCTCAAGGGGCGAGGCATGTCTGATACGAGAGCATTTGATTAGTGAGAATTAATTTTTTTAATTGTGTTTTAACAATACAATCATATTAACCATAACAATGGGTGACATCTAGTACAGTAATAAACAAGAACAATCATAAATAAATAAAAATAATACTAAAATGAGATAATAAAAAAAGTTTCAGTTTTTAATTTTTTTTGCTGTAAACACATTGTAATGTGGTAATTAAACCATTTAAGTCACAAAGAAAATTCTGCAAATTAGGAAATAATGAAGAAATTTTACATTTGTGAAAATGTTTACCCAATAAAACAAAAAATGTAATGTTTGTCATGAGAAAAGTAACAAATTATATCAAAAAGAAAAATCTTACAATTTTATGTAAAAAAAAACAAACTGATCAATTAGACTAAAACACTTTAACGTGGCCATTTGACAAGAAGAGGATCTATCGATTCGATACTTGAGTTACAAAAGACACAATTTGAATTAGGATTACCAAATTTAAATACAATCTAGTTTGTATAGATTGTATTATAGATTGAATCTAGAGTATATACTGTGTAACACTTTTAAATTCTTTATCTTTGTTGGGAACACCAAATTTGAAAGGTAAAAACCAAACTGTTTTTCCAATTAATTTGATCTATTAGATAATTACAAAGAAATTTCCCTTCGGAGTGATTTTTTTCTTTAAGTGGAACACATTTTTTCTATTTTTATTACTACATTTGTAAACGCATTTGTTCAACTAAAAACCTTGGTTCTTTTTTAGCAATCACTTTTGGTGAAATGAGTTCATGAGAAACTAAAGACAGACATAAAAAAGACATGAAAAAAAAACATTGATCCATTTAAGTGACAAACTACGAGCTTTACATGTTTATATCAGTTTATATCTTCTAAATGTGAAAATTGTCACTGTTTTAGAGCACACTAGTTTATAGATATCTTAGAAACTAACAATACTGATACTAACATCTAAAACACTTAAAAAGCAATTATATTTAATGCCATTAACAAATGTTCTGGGTTATTTGTAGTCCTGTATTTTCTTTAATTATTTAATTTTTTTTTTCTTCATCTCAAATGTGACGCCACATATTCAAAAGCTAATTGTTATGGTGCCATAAAAACAAATGATTAAAGTATAGATTTTGATATAATTATACATTACATTGAACTTTCAATACATTTACATAATTCATACAATTAAAGTGTGTAATATTCATACTTGTCACCACCCTTGGTTTGGTCAGTTTGTGCTTAATATGTGACCCTGGAGCACAAAAATCATGTCTTATTTTGCACTTGTGTGTTTGTAGCAATAGCCAATATGGGTCAAAGTTAGGGCTGCATGATATTGGAAAAATCTGACATTTCAGTATTTTGGGTGTTTTTTTTTTTTTTTTTTTGCGATGTATACTGCGATATGAGTACAATTTGATCAGAAGACTAAAAAATCTTTACTTGGAGGGAATTTATCATTTTGAAGTTAATTAATATGGTTCCGTAAGGGAGGGTATCTGCATAAAATATATTAAACAGTCTAGCATAGATAAACACAATAAAGTAATTAAACAATAAAAATAACAGTTTTTTTGTTTTCCACAGAGTCTAACAGTTTTCAGGTATACAGTAGTTCAATAATCAAATTTAAAATATATAATTCAATGAAATTAATAATAATTAAAGTTACAAATGGAACAACTTCTTAGGCCTGAATGCTTTAGAAATCCTCAAACATTCACAGGCCTCAAAAACCCATGCAAATGATGAATTATAATCCAGACTCAACATCGCATATCCTGTGATGTGACCATGGAGAAAGATCACATTACCATATCGATGCTGAAATGATTTATTGTGCAGCACTAATTTTCTTTGCCAAAAAATTATTAGAATTTTCTACAGTAAATAAACAGAATTATAACTTTAAAGGCCATTTTCCCAATATTTAGATTCTTTTTTCCTTTCAGATAGCAGATTTTAAATGGTTGTATCTCAGCTAAATAAAGTACTGTCATAACAGAGCTTACAGATTAAGTATAAATCTCAATCAAAATAAAAATGACCGGTTGTGTGGTCCAGTGATATATTTAGTAAATATTATTGCATTTTCACAATCAGATGAGAAACTGATTAGCTGAATAAAGACATTTTTGGCCTCTGGAGAGCTGCTTTGTTGCTGAAACTGAAGTTGTTTTATAATTGAAGAACTAAATGTTGACACTGAACAAACCTGGAAATGACTTAATACTGGATGAACAACAACACTGGCACTTATTAAATATATAAAGTGGACAGCATAAAAAATATAAACTGTTAAATGTCAGAAGTGTTTATGGTTTAAGGTTCTTTAGCCATTACTTTACATTAGCTACATATCTTAACAGTTTATTTTAATTATTTGTTAATTCAAGATTATTCATACAAGATTTTGATGCACTAATATACTGGATCATTTAGAAAAAAAAAAGTAAAATGCTCATTTAGTGTATTAGGGCAGTATATAATAACCATTACATACATTTTTTTTAAAGGAAATCTAATTATAAATAATGGAAGATTATAATGCAAACATGTATATTTAACCATCCAACATATGTACATATTTAGTTGTGTAAATTGCTTCCTTGTCCTCATTTGTAAGTCGCTTTGGATAAAAGCGTCTGCTAAATGTAAATGTAAAATGTAAATACTTTGTGTGATTCATTTGATATGTTCCTTTGCTGATGTCTAATAAAGAAAATTAACAATAATTTTAACTCCAGGTAACTCACCTTCCAGTGGCGGATGCTCGAAGCCTTCCTCTTTGATTTGCATTTGGATCAAATCTCCTTCCTCACGAAACTCCCGCACCTGCAATCCCATCAAAAACAAGAAAACTGTAAATTATATGCATAAATGAAATTTTAATTACAATATTTCTTTTAAAAAATGGCAATATATATATATATATATATATATATATATATATATATATATATATATATATATATATATATATATATAAAAACTAATTTTTAAATTTGCTGTTACCTAAAAACTGAACAAACAAGAAAATATGGTCCTTTTTGTTGTAAGCTCAATTTTTTATTTGTAAGGAACATCAGTAGTTTGAGTAAAACTATTTTTTTAACTATTTTAATAACTTGGAGCCTTTAGTATAAAACAAACAAGCAAACAGATGTGATGTTTCATCCGTACCATAATTTTTAGACAGCACAGTACTAATGATTCAACTTTAGTAGAGTTAAGACATTATTATTTGTTGGAATAATCATGTTTTTGAAACACAACAAATGAAAACATTAATTTTACCAACAACTTTTATTGTCCTAAAAAAATCTAAATGACTAAATTTAAATGAAAAGAGAGACTGGTATACCAGCGTCAAGTGGTCTCATGATTATTTTCAATGACTCGATATATAAACAGACGGTCATCTGACCTCCAGTGCTGTGGCCCGGCTGCTCGACTCTCCTCCTCCGGGTGTTTTCCGGTCTAGCAGCGGTTCTCGGGCACTGTTGTCCCGCGTTACCGAGCTCTCCTCGCTGTACCCCCGTGCCGCCACGATCGACTCAATGAGCTGCAGTTTCCGCCGGAGCTCCTCGTTCTCCTTCTGATGGCGCGAGATCTCGATGTGTAAAACCGCGTATCCGTCGTCCACGAGCTCGCAGATTTCCGCCACCGCGGCGCGAGTCAGCGTCTCCATGATGGTCGCGAGTTGGGTGTGAAACGCCCGGTAATTCGCCATCCTACACGGTCCTCTGCGTTGTGGCCGCCTGTAGATACAGCGGTCAAGCGTACTCGTTAGTGTACACACTTAAAATACGGTGACAGATGATTTCTCTGTAGTAAAAAAGCGACACTGACCTGCGTTGTTTTGATTTTTGGTCCAAAACCTTGTAAACGTTTGGAGACTGTTGTTAGTGGAGGCTGATGTCGTTTCCGGTGGGCTTCGGTCAGATGTTTCGTCAAAATAAAAGTCATGTGGACGGTGTTCAAAACAAACCCCCCAACATAATATAAAAAAATATAGCGCTAACTTAGGCCCACATGTAATCTGTGCGCATAGAAATCATCATATTTTTAGCCCATGATTGAGTCCATGTATTTACTTGTGTAAATTAATATTTTTTGTTTTTAATTTCACTGATGTTACTGCGACATAATAACAGTAATGTTAAAATGTTCATATGACTAACAATAGTTTTAAATTTATCTTTTCTGTATATAAGTGGATCTAATTGACTTTGCATTGTAAATAAAGTTACAAATTTATAATTTTATTTCATATATTAAGTTTTTAGTTATGATCATCTTAAAATGATTCCCCATAAATCCGTGGATCTGGCCATATATAGAACTAATCTATAGTTAAAGTATTACAGACAACTAGAACAGATACGGGTCAATTATACATTGAACACATTTTTCCTCCTGGGAATTGTGTTTTTGGTTACTCTAAAGCTGTCAAATTCATGATCACAAAATGTAATTAAGTCTATTGAAATCCATTATATGAAGTTGTTCTGCACTTGTGAGATTTTGGAAATTTATGGATGCTTAAGAAAATGTGCATCCTTGCGCAAAACAAATATTAAATCGATAATTTTTTATAGTTCACATAAAATGAAAATTGTGTCATCTACTCACCCTTGACTTGTTTCAAACTAGTTTCGAAAAATGAAACCAGTAGCCATCGACTTCCATAGTGTTTGTTTTTCATACTGTGGAATTCATTGGTCATGGGTTAACAGTCTTTAAAATATCTTTTGTGTTTAACAGAGAAAAAAGTATTAAAAACAAGTCAAGGGTAAGTAAATGACACAATTACAATTTTTACATGAACTACACCTTTAAAGGACTGTAGCATAAAGTTTAGAAGACCCAGTTACACACAAGAATCTAAAGTTTAGCAATTGAGGTGGTTTATTTGACTCCCACTGCAAACAATTACTTCAGATCTTTTGTTCTGTAAATAATGAACAGTTGAAAATATCATGATCCTGTACAGGTCCATTATCATTGTGGATGATTTCAGTCACTGAATGATGCCTTACATACGTTTCAAAACCTAACATTCGTTCGTGTTTACAGATGAACGATCACCAGCATCAGAGAGAACTATTAAATGTAGAGAATATAACATTTATTTATCATGGCAGAAGGACAGATATGAGTACATCAGATTGAATAAGGCTTAATTTATCTGCGGCTGGTGGAGCCAGATTTCCTTTTTCCAGCAAGCAGATGTTTGGGTTTGACATCAAACACGTGACGATCAGATTCACCCTTTCTGCCCTCTCGGTTCATCCCCTTCTGTGAGCTCTTCATCATAGTCTTCACCTTCTTCAGCATCTGGGAGAAATAAGACAGACCAGTGAATATATATGAAAGATCTTTCTCCATTCAGCTTTTCACCCATAATGCTTTGTGAATTATAAGTTCTGTTTTTTTTTTACTGGCTACAATGGAGGTGGTGTCATTCTCATGGTTCATACAGCCAATATTAATAAGCAACCAATTAAAATTAATTTACAACCAGCAGACTATGAATAACCCAAAATACTTTTTAGAGCTACATTAAGGATGTTGAATATCACTGTACGGTAGTGATGGCTACTTTTCTTCATGAAGCGTCAAGAACTTTACGAATCTTTTGTTGTCTTTTGAGCGCATATCAAATTGTTAAGATCACATATTTCAGTAAACGGCTTCATGATGTTACTACTGTTAAACAGGACTCCATGATGTCACTACTGTTTTGAAAAATTCTGAAAATCCAATAGATCGCCATTAGAGGGCGACCTGTGCAAGTACAAAGTTCACATGAATCATGCAGGTTCATTGAGATCGGTCTCCATTGGTGAATCCCTGAACTCGGATCAGTTTTACAGGTTTATTTTAAGAGACATTTGTAAATGAGAAGGAAAAATAATAGTTAATAGTCTCCTGAGGTCCTGTTTAGCAGATCCCACAATGGAACAAATATGTGGAGCCAGTTCAGTGTCAAAAAGAAAACATTTCCGAAATAAAAAATTCATACATGCACAGCACAACTGGCATCAACAAAATCTAATTTGTAAATACAAATAAATGCAACACACAAAATGTGAATTAGAGTAAAAATCCTAAATATTTTTACCAAATGAATTAGATTTGTGTATTTGAGTATTTTTTTTTTCAATTTAAGAATTAGATGTGTTATTTTGAATTGTTTTGATATTACAAAATGGATTTGTGTATTTTTAAATCATGTTTTAAATTTATGAATTCCATTTGTGTATTTTTGAATTGTGTTTTGAATTTACAATTAGTGTATTTCTGAAACGTGTCTTGAGAGTACGAATTGTGTATTTCAGAATGGTGTTTTGAGTTTATGAATTGGATTTGTGTATTTTTAAATCATGTTTTGAATTTACAAATTGGATTTATGTGTATTATAAATGGTGTTTTGATTTTACGAATTGGATTTGTGCATTTCTAAATCGTGTTTTGATTTCACAAACTGGATGTGTATTTCTGAATTGTGTTTTAAATATGAATTGGATTTGTGTGCTTTTGAATCTATTTAGAATTTACGAATTGGATGTGTATTTTTGAATCGTGTTTTGGATTTGTGTATTTTTAAATAGTGTGTTGAATTTACGAATTGGATTTGTGTATTTACGAATTGTGTTTTGAACCTACAAATTGGATGTGGTAAATGTGAATTGTGTTGTACGAATTATAATTTGAAAATGTATTATTTTTGAGATTGATCTGGCTCCATACAAATAAGCCTTTAAAACTTATAAATGAATGGAAATTATTCAGACACTTCAAATTTAATGCTAAAAGAAGAAGCACATTTCATAGTTTATATTTTCAATATTACATTTGCTGTGCTTGAAAGAGCCAAATTGAATCCACGTTTTGCCTGTGTATTTGCTGCATTTACATGCTTTACACCAGCAGATGTCACTAGCCTGTGGGCATTTGGACGCTTCAAAACAGTTAATCATTTTGCAAAGCAACTGCTTCAATTGTTTCCAAGTTTTTTTCTCTAATCACTACTGAAGGGAAAACTGAGAAAATAATCTGATCAAACAAAAAACAGTGAACCACCAGTATTCTAAAGATACTTAGGTCAAATTAAGATACTAAAAAGATATACTTTTTCAACGGATAAAAAAATAATGGACAAACTCTGACTCTTGTTTTCACCAAGATGTCAATTATTTGTAAGTGCAACCTAATTATCTGAATTAAGACATTTCAGGTATTCTGAATAAAGGTTTCCTAAACCGAAAGTGCACAAAGTTGAATAACCTGCTATATGACTAAACTCGCATAGCCTCATTTGTGTGTCCTGTACATGAATGCAGCCTAAGAATCTGATTGGTTGACGAAGGCTCTACCTTGGCATCTCTGACTCCTGATTGGTCTCTGGGTGGTCTGGATGCGCTTTGGCTGCGAGTGCGTGATGTTGGTGGAGCGGAAACTTCCCTCTTCCTCTTTCGGACCAGAGAGCGAGACCTTCGAGCATAGTGGCTCTGGATGGACAAAGTATAAACATGCTCATTGCTACAGAAACTGATCATGATAAACAAACTGAACTAAAAGCGTTAATAACAGTTATACAGTGACAAAAGATTGGTTCTTACATCATCTTTATTGTTCATGTCCAAACCAAGATCAGACATCTCCTTCTCCAGAGTCGCTCTCTCCACCTGCAGACACAAACCACAAAACTTATCAATCATCTTACAGGATGCTCAAATATGGTGTGCGATTTTGACAAAATAGTAATGTGACCATATTACTGATTTTTATGTAGTATTAATTGCATTAATGTTTTTTATAGTATGCTTATTTGAGCATGTTTTATTTATTTATTAATTTTTTTAGTGCTGGTACCTTGACTGATTTAGGCAAATATTAACATGATCCTAAAAGAGCCAGCATATGGCAACTGTCAACTGTTTTGGTAAACTATAAATTCGGTATCGCATTTGTAATCAATCTCACAGACCGAAAATCAAGAGAAAGCAGGTAATATAAATACTCCACACCTCTAATGAACAGCACATTTTGAAAAAATCAAAAACTAACTGGAAAAATTACCCGTCTAATTTAAAACATAAAAGCATTTCTTCAGCAACGCGATAAAATGACATTTCTGGATCAAAACCAATTTATGATGCATTAACAACCAAATTATTAATTAAATTAAATCTAATCCATTGATTTAATTAAATGCAATAATCTATGCTCAAACTACAATGCAGTTGCACAAGCACCACTTATGGCCAGTTTCCACTGAGTGGTACAGTACAGTACGGGTCACCTTTATCAGTCTTGCGTTTCCACTGCCAAAAGCAAGACAAAATGTCAAAGTAAAGCTGTATGGATCGTTCACATATCATATGAGAAGCACTTCTCACAAAACAGAGGCTTTATACACAAATACTTGTGTATAAATGTTTGTTACTAACCTTTCTATGAACATGATTTGATTATAACTGCAGATCGATGATGGTGTGAAATAGCCTACTGAAACGTCTTTGATTATATAAAGTAAATAAAAGAAATTCAGCCATGAATGCGTACCGAACCTTATGGTGCCACTCAGTGGAAATGGGCCATTAAAATGAGTGCAAGGCAGTTTGTCAATTTACTGAACTATTAGCTTTTTTTTGTTGTTCAAATGTAAATTCTTCCTGAACAGTTTAATTCAATCCTACATCAACAAAGCGAAAAGCTTATGCAAAATATAATATTCATATATTTTTACATTTATTATGTTTATTAAACTAGAAAAATGATGGTATTATTTATTTACTTTAAATAAGTTACTACATTAATAACGCATGTCGCACCACTATTTATCAAATTACACATAAATCCATAAAAATCATCCTGACAGATTTTTAACTTTATTTTTAAAATGACCCACCTAATTCAAACATTTTTAGCACTTTCAAAAAACATCTTACATTTATCTTGACATCTTTTTCCTCACCACCTAATCTTTCTATTTTATATCTGTTCTATTTTAATTGCTTCTATTGTCCGATTTGTCAGTCTTTAGTCATTTTTCTTTTTTATGAACATTAAATAAAGCAGCTTTGGTCCTCTTTTGGTGCAAGAGCTCTAAAACTAACTGCTACAATTGACTCCTTCAAAAAAAGATAGATAGACAAAGAAAGACCTTCTTGGCGGTGCGAGGTAGTCTTGGTCCATTGGTGTCTTTCTCTTTGGATGCGATTATCTTGAGCTTGCGTTTTTCCCGAATCTGACTGGCCAAATGACGGATCTCCTGCATCTCTTCATCCTCGCTCTCCTCCTCAGAGTCGTACTCTCCAGCCTTCTCACGCAGCTCCTCCTCCTGCTCCAAATCCTCCAGCCTCTGAACAAGAGAGAAACAGAAATTCAACATTCAAAATCAACAAGGATGAAACTGGAGAAAAGACATGAGTGATAGGCAGGCCAGAATCTGCAGATGTTAATGGTCATTTGAGTGCATAATTTTAAAAAATATAATAATAATAATAATATATTTTTAAATCTTTGGATTTGGGAGTAAACTAACTAAAAACTTAAAACATGAAATAAAACAATAACTTGATTTTTTTTTTGTTGAGATTTATGATGCAAAATAAAAGTCTCTTATTCATTAACTCTACTAAAAGAAATAAAATACTACTTTACAATCATTTGAAAATTAGTCAATAATATTATTATTACTATAAAAACTAAAATAAATACATTTTACAAACACATTTACATAAATGAATAGACTTAATGATTGGTTAAAAATCTGCATAATTCTGCGTGCACAGATTCTATGAGGGACTAATGATAGGAAGGTTAATTTTATGGCTATGCTTGTAAAAAAAGTTTATTTTGTTGTAAAATGCATCCACATTAAATAAATAAAAATGTACAAATGTAATGCATTAAACTTTGACTTTCTCAAATGGCAAAATTCTTAGGCCGAACGCTTTTAGAAAAGTTAAATATGCATAAGAAACTACAACTTTTTAATTTCACCTTTAATTCAGCATGTCACTTTTTGTGTCTTCACAATTTGTAAAATGTAGCAGGTTAAATAGTTTTAAAGGAAATCATTCTGGGAGGTTTTCTATTGCTGAAAAATGTATAATAAACTCAAACTTGCTCATTCAGCATTTACAAGCCACAAGCCCTGTTTTTGACCATTTTAATATGGCTATAACATAATTAGATTCTGACTAATTACAATATAATGTTTTGTATATAATACAAAACATAATATAATTGCAATAAAATAGTAGGAATTTGATTACTTTTACCATAAATTACAACTATAAAATATAAAATATATCTGCCCGTCTACACCTTTAAAAACTAACCAATCCAACTCTTATTATTAAGAGTTGCCTACAATAAAAAAAAATGCTCCACTGGTAACTCAGTTTTTTGTTGAAAAACTCAGTAAGAATTTTTTACCAAATAAGTAAAGCTCTAACACTACCAGAGACCTCTGTATATGCAGAATCATTCTGTCAGAATCATTCATTCTTACCGGCACGGATTGATAAAACGTATTATGTTTGGAGGAAAAACGGTTTGTGTTTAATCAAGGATCTTTAAGTAGAGGGGCGTTTTGCTTCCTTCAGTCAGTTAAGAGAAAAATTTGACCTCCTTCATACACATTTTTCCGTTATTTGCAAATCAGGCATTTTGTGAATTCCAAAATTGGAAATGACCGTCACCCCCCTCATTCCAGAACTGGAGACTCAGATTTTTACAGACTAGCTCCACGAGAAAATTTTTGGCTACTTGGGGTCAATTTCTTGATTTATTTGACAAATCTACATCTCAAGAGCAATCCACTGACCCCTCTGAAGTTTAAACTATACACCCTCACTAGTTTTGATAGTGTTTTGTGACTATGATTTTATGATCTGTTTTTTTGTTGTTGTCTCTTTTCTTTGTTGTTTTCTTTTATATTGTCTTTTGTTTGTCTAAAGTACGAGCCAATGTTTGTTCTTGTTCTGTGTGTGTGTGTACACATATATAAAAATGCTTAAAATAAAGTAATTTAAAAAAATGCTCCACTGGTTTTAATGTAAATCTTGGCACAGTGTTCATTTAAACACACAAGCTACATTTCCAGCCTCTACAATTTGAAAATCACAGTAAACTATAAAGATTTTATAAATTACAACAGTAAAATGTATATCTAAATGTCTTCACCTGTAAAAACTAACCAATCAAGCTTTTATTATGAAGAGTTGCCTGAAATCAAAAATATGTGCCACTGATTTCAGAGTAAATCTTGACACAGTGTTCATTTAAACACACAAATCCCATTTCTAGCCTCTGCGATTTGACAATCACAGTAAACCATATAGATTTTTTGCAAGATCAGTTTAATTTGTATAACTCTGCAGCCCTAAACCAAGTGTTCAACACTAAGGCAAGGTAAATAGTCACCAAACAGTCACTCCAAATATCAGTAGTAATGGTCCTGAAATGTGATTTAATGCATTAAAGCTTGAAGTTCTGGCATTTGTTTCATACCTTCATGATCTCCGGGTCGATGTAATCAGCAATATTGTGACCCTCCCAAATCTCAGGAATCTTATCCTGCTTCTCGTCTGGATTCATCAAATCCCAGTATTCTGAACACACAAGGCAATGCATTTAGAGTCATCTGAAATATGTAAACATTTGTGCAATTGTGTGGGTGTGTGTCTCTTACTCTGTAGATCCAGTATGTAATCGTCTCCCAGCTCGACTTCCAGGTCTCTCTCCAGTTTGCGTTTGGGAGCATCTGTTTCCATCGCCTTCTTACGGAGCAAAGCACCCTCAGGAATAAATGGAGGTCTTGCCTACACAAAACCAAATCAAAATCCTTACAAACTAACATCAGCAGCATTTTTAAAGAAATACATTTATGACCAGGGCTAGACAGAATCTGCAGACACATTGCTTTAACTGTGCAGAATTTATGTGAAATGAATTTGAGTGTGTAGAAACTAAACATTTAGCATATGAAATAAACAAATAATAACTTTTATGCTAATCTAATTAGAACTGCATGTTTGGTAAACAAAGACTCTCATATAGTATATACTTTATACTATATACTATGTCACGATACTGGAATTTCTGACTTTGATACGATACCTTGAAAAATATCGATACTTGATACCATTTTCGATACAGTGGGTGAACAAATTCCATAACATTAAAAATATGCAAATTAAGGCAATAAATTACAAACAAATTAAAAATATGCGATTTTCAGAATAAAACAAAATGTGTTTTTACTACTATATACAAACTTTATTGTACAGAAATCATATGAACAGTTGCATATTCAATATGACTACAGAAATTAATATAAAAAGTGAATCAAAATATTTCAACACATTTGTATAATAGGCTTAATAATGGGCTAAAGAAAGTGTCAGAAATCTGCAGACTTCTGGACAAGCAGACATTGGTCTAAGCCTCATACCTTCTCATCTCTCTTAGTGGGAATCGCCAGGTGGAGTCTGTTCAACACATCGTGCACCTTCTTGCTTTTCATCTTTGTGTCTACACGGTGAGTTAGTAGGCGATCACATGCCTGTAAAAAAACAAACAATTACAAATCAACTCAATCACCAATCCACAAAAGAAATCCGCAGATTACAGTGAGTGAAACAGAGAGTGAGAGATAGAGCCCGATACCACAAAGCAAGTAAAGGCTGATTTATACTTCTGCGTCAAGCGCTAGCGTATGGTTCAGCAAAGCCTTTGCGAAGTCACATAGCTCTCGCCATGGCTGACGCTGACGCTAATGTGCACCTTTCAAAAAATGTAACTACTTGCCGCAATGCATAGCACAAGCTCTGTGATTGGTCCGCTTGGTAGCCGTAATGAGCATGGGTGGTGCTAATAGCCACAAGCCTGATGGAGTGAGTGTTAAGTGTGGAGTCCCGTTAAGGAGCTCCAGATGGAAACTTTTGTTTTGCGTTTACTTTATGATTAAAGTTGTTGCACGTCTGCCAGTTCCTGCCTCTGAATGAGCAAACTTTAGCGACTTGTAGCGTTCAGAAAAAACAAAACATCCGCAAAGAAATTTGACACAACATTAAAACCTACTGCCAGCTAGCATTTTGAAAGTGTAATTGCAGAGCAACACATACAGCGAGCAGAAGTATTACTACATGACTACACGCAAGGCATGCGCCATGGGGATCAATCGACGCAGAAGTGTAAATCAGCCTTAAGAGAGAGAAGCTGATTGGCTGATTTTTCGGAGTTTGTGCGAGAGATAGAGAAGCTGATTGGTTTGTTCTTACCTCAGTCTTCACCTGCATCACTCCCTCTTCTGTCAGAGAGCTGGTCTCAATTACGTCGACCCCCTCAGCGGTGAGATCGGCAAAGATTTTCTACACATACAACAAGCTCAGTTTAAAAATGCTGCTCATGATTTTAACCAACAAGCTGTAAACAGTCTGAGATTAAATCTAGCATTGGACTTAGATGTTAAGATAAAAGCTCAAAGTCACACTCTGCAAACTATTTTTTGTTAACAAAAACAACACAAAAATATTGATAGATGCTGAAATAGCATTATTATAAGGCTAGAGAGAAATTTGCAACAAAAAATATAAAATATATAAAAAAATATAAATATAAAACTTGTATATAATATATATAATATAAAGCTAATATTAAATATAAAACTTCTGGTAAACTGTAAATTTTCATCTTTTAAACAAATGTTAGGCATATTCAAAAAAAAATGCAAAAATCATTCGCACATATATTCTTATTATTCTTTTGTAACATTTTTGTTCAGTTTAAAGCATTGGGTTCACTAAGAGTTTTCATTGCATGGAAGAGATTAGTGTAAAGATTCCTCAAAAAAGTCATATTTCATAAAGAATAAAAAAACAGCATACAGATATTTGCAATGAGGATAAAGCAATAGTGTATGTAAGAATTTATGCATTAACCATTTAATAAAGTGAGAACATTTTGTAAAGGATCAAAGTCTTCCCGGGTTGTCTATTGTCAGGTTTCCATCCAAACATGAAGCAAGTCTTTTCAAAGTTCTCAAAACAAAAAAAAAAACAAAAAACAAAGTGCCATTCGGTGCTTCAATGTCAATGTGTCATGCAAAAGAATTAGATTTTACCATTTAAAAGTCTCACAAAGCCAGATCAATAATATTTAAAAATAAACTATTTAAACTTTATATTTCACCTCAAGAAACTGAATAATCTCAGTTACCTGATTCTCCTCAGAAAGTTCACTGATCTTCCTCACATCACACTTATTGGCCATCACGATCAGAGGCTGCAACAAACAAATCATCAGCAATGAATAAAACCAAACAAAATTATTTGCTGTTTACTGCAGTTATTCTGTGTGTGTGCATACCTTGTTGGCAAAAAGTGGCCGTATGTTGTTGAACAGCTCTAGCTGTTGTGAGAGTGTGTGTCCGCACTGCTCTGAAACATCCATGACATAGAGGACAGCAGCACGCAGATGAGCCAGAGCCGTGATGGCCTGCATTTCTATGGTGTTCCTTTCCTCAAGAGGATGATCCAGAATACCAGGGGTGTCAACCACCTACATGCAAAAATTCATATAATATTATATATATTTAATTTAAAAAGCAGAAATACACTCACTGGTCGCTTTATTATTCACATCTTGCTAGCACCGGTTGGGGTTGGGTTGTTTAGAAAAGCTCTTCAGCGGACCACGGTTGTGATGACTTTATTTGAGCTACTCTTTCTACCTCTTTCTACCCTTTCTATCAGCTAGGGCTGTGCAATATGACAATATAATGTATATCGAACGGACAAAAAAAAGTTTCATATTACGCTTTTAGTCATATTGTGGTGTCACAAAATACATTGTTCACTGTAATACTTTTAAGAATTTGTATGAGAGCATAATATGGATTTTATTTAGCAATATTTTATGCTGGGATTTTTATTTCACTAATATTTATTTTAGATTTCTTCATTCTTAATCAAACATTTGTCCTAAAGCAATAAATAAAGTGAGGAAATTATCAAATATGAATGAGTAAATTTGAGTATATACTTTAAAATGCAGAAAAAATAATTTGTTTTTTTACATGTAGACAATAAATATAAATTATGAATTGATTACATTTGCAGAAAAGACTCTATATTGTGATAAACATAACATTATCAGGATTTGAATTTACTTATATTATGATATGAGCTTTTTGTCATATCGCCCAGCTCTACTACCAGCTCAGAATAGTCAATTTCTCATCTGACATACACAAAAATACGCAAAACAGCAATAGGTTTTTTGTAAACATAGTTGTGTTTTACTATTACTCACCTGCCAGCGCAAGTATTTATAATCCATATGACCCACAAACAAAGATTTGGTGGTGAAGGCGTACGGCTGGACCTCAACATCAGCACGGGTCACCTGTATACCAATAGAATATTGTTTATATATTAAAAAATAAATAAATGCATTAAGCATTTCACCACTGTACACATGCACACACAAACCTTGTTGATAAAGCTGGACTTGCCGACGTTTGGGTATCCACAAAGCAGGAGAGTTCTGGTGTTTGGGTCAATAGTGGGCAAACGGGACAGATGCTGACGAACTGAGATGAAATATACTTGCAGTTACTATGCGGAAATGTGCACCAGATGTGAAAGTCTAGACTAAGGATTCGAATAAATGCTTATGCTCTTGTTCAAAGATTTTTGGTTTCATAAATAAATACAAATATTAAGCTGCCTAAAGCCTGATTTATACTTCTGCGACAAGAGACTGGCGTAAACCACGGCGCATGCAACGTGCGCGGCTGTCGGTCTGCATTAACACTTCCGAAACGCTAGTTGGCAGTGAGGTGTAAATGTTCCTCTGTGTCGAGTTTCTTCGCTGCTGTTTTGCCTTTCCTGAACACTTCCGGGATGTACAAGTGGCTCAAACTCGCTCATTTTAAGGCAGGAACCGGCGGACGTGCAACAACTTTAACTATGAGGTAAACACAAAACAAAACTTTCCATCCGGAGCTCCTTCACGGGACTCCACACTTGTAAACAATCGCTATATCAGGCCGGCACCATTCACGCGGCTCTCGGTCCCAGCCCAGACTCATCAGCGCTACCAAGCCGACCAATCACAGGGCTTGCGTTACGCGCCGTTGCGACGTGTAGTTACATTTTTTTGAGAGGTGCATGTCAGCGACGCCGAAGGGCTGTGCGTAGCATATGCCGGCGTTTGACGCAGAAGTATAAATCAGCCTTAACTGATTTTAATAATGACAATAAAAATGTTTATGAGTCAGCTAATTAGCTTATAAAAATTATTTCTAAAGGATTATGTGACACTGAAGACCAGAGTAATAAATGCTAAAGAATTAGCCATGACAGAAATACATTAAACATAATTAGGCCTGTCACGATAAGCAATTTATTAGTCAGGGTTAGTGTAAGTTGACATGTACTTGCAAAGTTTCTTATAGTCAGTAAAATAGCCGCAGTATGAACAAATATTAAGCAGACAGTCTACTAATACTCAAATTGACCATCAAAATAAAGCGTTTACCATTTTAGTTTCAAAACATCTTTATCTCTATTGGAGGTGTCATTGAAAAAAAAAACACTAGAGTGTTTAATATAAAATACAATAACATATTTCTATGTTTATTATTATTTATTTGCTTGTTTAGGATATGCGTTTTATGCTGATGCGTTTCTGACTCCAATACATGAATATTAAATTGTTAAATGACTAATTGAATGAAAAATTCTTGAGAATAAAATATTTTGTGTTTTGGAAGAGTGTACTTGCATAGTGATGACATTATATTGTCATTCTGACATTACATAATTAGAGGCATAAAATGGTCTTAAAATCACATTAAATAATATTGCAATATATTATGGTGTAATATATCCAACAATATCAAAAATAGAAATATCATGACAGGCCTAAACATAGTAAATCACAAAATTAAAACAATTTTTTACAATATTTGCGGCATTTCCAAACCAAAAAGAACACAGCCTTGCTGAGAATATGTTTTTTTAAATGTATAAAATGCTGGAAAATATGTGAGCATTTAACTGTTCATACCTTGCTCTAAATACTCCAGGCTCTGTTTCTGTCGCTTTAAGATGGTGCACATGCGACCCAGAGCGGCCCGTTTCAGCTGTTTACAGCGATACAGCGAGTCTCCATACTTCATCAGACGAACATAATCTTTAGCAACACTAAAAAAAAAAAATCAGAAACTGTTTGTTCGGTTACAAGAAATTCAGTCACAGAAATTAGCAGTTATTATACTGGATTCAGATACAGTCAAGCACGAAATTATTATACACTGGTGGTGAATGAGGAGATCCCCCTTATGTGTGTAAAGCGCTTTGAGTGCCCAGAAAAGCACTATATAAATGTAAGGAATTATTATTAAGCAATTAAAAGTTACATTTATTCAACCGATAAGTGTTTTTTTATCAGAAATGACACTGGCTTTACCCAGTGGATATCAAGATGATGTACAAGCGTAATTGTGGACTAAAAAAAATATTTCTCAGACATTTGAACGAAAGGTGTTATTCCGCATTTGCCAGAGGTATGAATAATTTCAGGCTTGACTGCGTGTTTGAACAATAAATGAAGTGCTAAAGTTATACATATAAACAAGAGACTCACTTATCAATGAGGTTCTTAGCAATGTTGATCTGACCCAGGGCCAGTTTATAATGATCTTTATCGTACAGCACGTTCATCAGATCAGCGTAGAATGGGTGGATGTCCTGAGAAAGACACATAGGAAGTCATTTATGCATTAAGCGAGATGGAGGACCAGCGTTGTGTGATCTTTGTCCCGAGTGTTGTTGTTGTTGTGAAATGTGACTTACGTCTAGTTTGGGGAAGTCTGTGAGGATCTGTGACAGTCGATCGTGGTAATTCTGCTGGGTGAATTTAACTTTGCGCATATAGAAATGTCTTATTCTGTGGATCTGGTAATGTTTGTGTATTACAGTGGGGGTTTTCCGCTGGGTTTTCGATAGAGTCACATCTATGAAGTCCTGAATGAAGAAAAACAAGCAAAGAAATAGTTTTATTATTCCTTAGAACGTCACTTGTACTTAACTTTCCAGCCAGATATTTAGACAAGAGACTTTTTAAGATTTTTTTTTTCTTGACAATATTTCCAGTCAATTTAAAGCAGCATTGTATAACTCATTGTAAATTTTCAAGCCAATAAATTACATAACATAGATTATGGTCCATGAATAGAAACTTTATTATTCTCTGAAATGACCAGGCTCTCCATTATCATAATAACCTTGGCACACATTCGCATCTGAAGACTTCAGCAGAACAACTGACAATACAAATCAGGAGATCAGTTATTTCAACCTGAGACTAATTGAACATCTGATCTTGTTAACACTCCAAATATATTAACCCCCATAAATCAGTTTCACACATGACGTCAATAAGATGTTATGTTATTGACTGTAACGGAGCAGATGAAATACAACAGATGACTAGTTAAATGGCTCACGGCGCACGCACGTGTGTACAGAAGAAGAAACAATGCTGTCAGTGTCTGCGTTTGACAGCAACTCCGTTAACTTTGTATATAATTTACACTCACAAACAAAAATGAAATAACGGCGTTAGTTTCCTACCTTTGCGGTGGGAACCACCATAATCTTTTTAAAGTTGTAGAGCGCCATGATAGCGGCACACGCGTCGCCTCTACAGAGCACGCGGAAGGGCCGAAACACGCAGCGGACGCGTGTCACGGAGAGCAAAACACGTGGAACACCGATGACGCGCTCACAGCGACATCTACCGGAGGGAGGAGCACCAAATTACTTTTATATGGGTAGTTTACCTAAAAATTAACATTTTGTCATCATTTTCTCACTGTTCGCTTGTCACAAACGTGTTTCACAAATCTTCTTTTGTGTTAAACAGATAAAAAATACACTCATTAAGGTTTAGATCCACTTGAGGGTGAGTGAATTTTCATCAAGAATTGACTATAACACCCCTGAACTATACTATAATCACTTCATCAGTAGTTTATAGAATATTTTTGTCAATCACACTAATATTGTAATTTATTTAGGCATAAACAAAACGCATGACATGATTTATGTAATGTTTACACTTATCTTTAGACAACACAATACCAATGTTTCAATTTGAGAAGAGTGAAAAGTTAAGAAATTAATATTTTAATGAATAATCATGGTTTCAATAATGAAAACATTTGCTATTTTGACCAACGATAACTTTCTGGGAGGAAAATTATGTATTTGAGTGTATATTAGTTTCATTATAATTGTACATGTTGTATATTGTATTATGTATATGTTTTTATTTAAAAAAATTGGTAGAATTATCCAGGCTCGGCGCCAGGAAGTCAAAACTGAGGGGGCACTTTAAATCCATAGGGGGGCAGTAGACCTGGTGACTGATTTTGGTCTCTTGTTTCATTTAGGCTATTTATTCACTTTTATTAATACTTTGCATTACTGCCTATGTGTTATTCTCCTTATTTACGTTTTATTTCAAATAACAGGCCTATGAATGTTTAAAGTTTTAGGTAAAGACGTCAAATTATGCCCACACACACAAGCTGACCCACGATCAGACTATTCATATAACCGGTAAATAAATAAGCCTATAGTGAAATCAGCTTAACTGAGTCATCCCGCTTCACGTAGCATATTATCCAACCAACATCAGTGTTAGGGAAAAGCTAAATGTTACAATCTAATGTCATTTAAAACAATTACTTAGTTACATTTTAAGGCATTAGTGTAGCCAGAAAAATATCTAAAAAAAATTCACATGTTATTACCGTGAAAATTGGTTACATTTTGGCATGGATAACACGCAACTCAATATGCTATGTAACTTTTTTTTAATCATTTTAAATGTAAAAACAAAGATTTATCTTAGGTTATCATAAGTGTGTTATTTTCGTGATATTGTAAACCATCATAAACCATTAGGTTACTGGCTTACCCGTCATTTTATTTATTAATTATTTAATTTATTAAGCCTTTTTTAATAGCTTGTTTTCAGGGTATTTTCATTTTAGGGGCATGAGCTACAAGTCAAAACAAACTCGATATGTTGTATTTTACCTCTTAAAATAGATCTACAATGTATTTTATGTTGTTTAATTTTGCATGAGCAAATAGCAGTATAGCCTAAATTACATATTTTTAAAAGATTATCATTCTGCCTACCTGCAGGGCATGTGAAGGGTTTCTCGGTTGATCCGCGGTAATTCCACTTAAGCACTACACCTATTCCATTTATTACACTGCAAACTTGACTTCGCAGGTCGATCATCTTTAAACGCAAAAGGCATTTATTATGTGTTATACCTTGACTGCTGCTGCATAATGGGATGTTTCTACACACCTGTAAAAGTGCGCTTTTTAGCAAAATGAAAGCAAACTTTCAAAGGGTTCTGCGTTTTGTCAATTTTAGCCTAATTGTAATAATATTAATAATAATATTAATAAATAAATTTAAATATTATTTATAGTGTAGCCTACTGTTGGACTGTGCAGTAAACTATTTATTTTTATTAAAACAATTTTATCAGGCTACATCTTCCCGAACTAATAAATGACTGGCAGTTGCGTCTCAGCTAAATTTCTTATGTGTTTTTTCCTTTTAGAGCTCAAGAGAGTTGTGTTTAAATAATTAGTTAACCAAAACATGTAATGAATTAAGCTGCTCGACTCATGTCACACACTTTTCTCCCTTGTGAGTTGTGCACCTGACCTGATGCGGGGACCGGATCTCTGGACTAGGACTAGCTTTAATCTCACCATTCTCATAATTCAATTGCTATGTCATATATTTTAAAATATTTAAATGTGTGTTCTAAAGGTTGGAACGACGGGGGTGTTAATAGGCTAATTAATAACAGAAATAATTTTCAGTTTGAGTGAACAATCCTTTATAAAAACTGGGGGACACAAACTCTTTCTGAGGGGGTAATGCCCCCCTTTGCTAAATGCTGCAATGTGTAACTATGGTGCACAGACGGTACTGCAACTTCATATTTGCCTAAATATAATTCTGAAATCCCGCCAAGACTCTCAAAGAGCGTAAAAGAGTAATAAGAGTTGAACATGATATGACTACTAGTTAGCTCCCATAGAAATATACATTGGATGTCGCCTACCCTGATGTTGTCTATTGGAAGGAATGCGTCAATAGAGCCGCCATTTTAGTACAGGGTAGCGCTCCTTTGAAATGAACGCTCCTTTTAATTGAGCGCCATCTAGCGGTCATATAATCTAATGACTAAATATTATGACAACTTGTTCAACTTCTTTTATAAACATATATAACTTGATATTACTTTTTTTTCCTCACCACCACACTGGTCTTTTTCAAAAGACAAAAGGTTGTTGTTGGAAACTGTATTTTACATACTTAAATTTGACTTTTGCATGCTAAAAGTACTTGAGTAAGACGTTTTAATTGATTTGGGTCATTAAAAAAAACTGCCTATGACGTGTAGCCTATACCTGCTGTAGTCAACCTAAATCCTACTGTAGGTTGACATAAAACCAAAACCCATTCTTGTCTTAGGACATTTTATTAAGCAAATTTTAAAATAACAGTAAGTTCATGAAATGTTAAATTTATAGTATAATTTCCTGGTTTTAAACATACAGAATAATAATAAATATAGTTATGAAACAACCATAACATAACCCTTATGTCTTATGATATCTTTGAATAACTTTTTATTACCTACACCAAATGTTGACTAATGAAGGTACATTTATAACAACCATTTATTTGTTAGACTATTGTCAAACCATGTTGCATACAAATGCATTCAACAGACTTACATGACAGTGCATTGCTGTAGAGGACAAATAAAACACGAGACAGGTGTTTAGAAATAGTATAGTTTACTTAGTTTGACATGCAAACAAGACAAACTTTCAGAAAACAACCTGGAAACATTATAACGCGCGCGCTCGTGAATATAACCCGCGGTTGTCTTCAACTGTTGTCTTCAATAGTCCTTCTTTGCTCAACGGCTTAGCTGAAAAACAAAGCAAAACATTACAACAGTCAGACAAAGAGCAAAGAGCATAGAATTACCAAGAGGCGACACTCTACAATTTGGGAAACAATAACGCGCTTTTTGAATAAATTAAATAAAAACAAAGCAGCAGCTTTCCATTGCAACAGCAATGAGATCCAATGGACGGCCGATCGCTTTCACTTCAAAATAGCGGAATCCGGGGCTGTTGCTCTTGGTCATTCTAAGCTCTTTGCATAAAGTTAAATCATAACAGTTACCATGGTGTCTATTTCAAACTATAGTAAACTAAAGTTTGAAACTATAGTTTAAAATAGACGATGAGTGGGCCTCGCTACTCCCACCCACCATAACCCTCGCAGCGAGGTCCCACTACCGGCCCCCCGTGTTTCCCTGAGGGTCCTCGGGGGTTGTTTGTTCCCTGCCTAGGGCTCAAAGGCCGCCTCGCCCCAGGGAGTGCACGAGAAAGACCGGGCGCCAGGCCGTGCCAGTATTCACTGGATGTTGCTCGGCGGCACATTTCGAGCAACAAACACGTAATATTCCTTGCGATGTTACGTTTATGTACGCAAACCACAAGGAACTACAGCACAGACGGGCCCGAGTGAAGCTTCACGAAGCGGACTTCGTGAGATTGGCGTGGCTCCACTCGTACCGTCGGTATTGAACTCACCTTGGTCAAGTACAAACAGCAACACCAAGAGATAGAGAGCACATGAGCTTTATAGGAGCGCAGATGCTAATTTCTACAAGGCACGTCACTGCTGTCTCGTTGTCATGGCGAGCGCTGAAGAGGGCTCACCTGATTGGAGAACACAGACTCGGGAATCTGCGTCACGGCGAGTTGCCATCTGCCGTACACAAAAATATATAAAATATATTTTATATATATATATATATATATATATATATATATATATATATATATATATATATATATATATATATATATATATATATATATATATATTTACATTTTTGGTGCTGTGTAATATTCTGGGATGCAGTAGAATATGGAGACATATGAATATAAGTGGGTATATGCCGAGCTAGTGTTGTTCCCATATACTTATACTTCCCATATACTTATACACATTTACTTATAAACTTCCGGTGACCGGTTATTGTGAGTTTTTTCTATTGTAAACAGTTCCTTTTACAGCATTCATGTTGTAATGTAATTAAAATACATACAGTTAAATAAACTTAATAAACTTAAATGAACTAGCATTTATTTAGTTGTTCAAGCGTAAAACGAGACAAATGGCCTTTTACTCGCACTCGCCTTTAGAATCGGCAGGATAGCGCAGAATATACTGGGGTAAAATAAATGCTCATATTATAAAGTCATGGCGGGGAAAATGTAATTTAATGCAGTGCTTCTAGTACAATCTGAGACCCACTTCATATCGGATATCACTCAGCCAGTGGAGATCGCTGATTTGTAAAGAAAACAGACCTTAAAAACGTGCAGATTTTTCCTTTTGCATACAGTTCGCCGGAAGCGCTTAACCCAGGTTACTGGCAAATTAAAAGTCCTATTAGCATGCTTCAGCATATACCCTAAAATCCCAGAATGTCTTTCGAAAAAGAATACGGGTTTAACCCCGGCATCCTGGCCAAATTTACCAACTGGCCTCTGTCCATCATCATGGCCTCCTAACCATCCTGTGGTGTGCGGTCTGGTGGAAAATGGCTGCTGTCGCTTCATCCAGGTGGATGCTGCACTGGTGGTAGATGAGGAGATTGCTACCCAATAAATACCAAACTAGCTAAATTTAATAACAAATTTAATAATGCTCATTTTGTACTCAATATGATGAAACTCTAAACCATTTATTTTATGGTTTATTTTTACTTATTTCCAAACTTCTGTATTTCCCCAAAAATTTTATTCTTTGGTTACTCTCTGAGTGTAGATCCTTCTCATTGTAAATTTATTATTGATTTATTGCTTCTTTTTTAAACAAAATTTTACATCCATAAATGTAAATTTTCAAAGAAACACCCTTACTTTTTTATTTTCAGAAAGGACTTTGAAATTTATGTGAACTCAAAAGACTCTAACAATTACACTGCATTTAAAACGCTTTCTAGGTGTAAATCATTTAAACTTGTTTAATTTGCTGAAATTCTATTTATGTAACCCTCTTTGTCTCTTTGTTCATATTATATCTTTGTAATGTTCCTTCTTGCATTAAAAAAAAAAGAAAAAGTAGATGAAAAGATTCCCCCTATGTGTAAAGCGCTTTGAGTGCCAAGAAAAGTGCTATTAAAATGTAAGGAATTATTATTGTTATTATAAAGCACTGTTCATCATGATATAGCCATTCTCATAATTCAATTGCTATGTTATATATTTTAAAATATTTAAATGTGTGTTCTGAAGGTTGGAACGAGGGGGGTGTTAATAATTAATAACAGAAAGAATTTTCAGTTTGAGTGACCTTTATCGAATAAAAGCAATATCTACTATCTATTACAATATCTAATATCATTACTCAAACCCATACCCAATAATGCAAAGAAACTTTCAGCAGTGAAATGTGGACCACACTGAACTGAACTTCAAGTCTCAAATCTGGACTTTACCAGAATATGTTAAGCTGCAATCTACATTGTAGAATTGCTATATAAATAAACAAGAATTTAATTTAATTGAATAGAAACTGAGGATATATTTACCCTTACAGTTTTTCGTGGTCAAAAATGAGAATCATATTTTAGTGTTCTTGTTAAATTAAATTTAAAAAAGTAATTTTATGTACGCAATCTGCTTTAATGTTTCTAATCACACTAAAATAATGTCAAAATGTTTTGTGAAAGGTACAGTATGGTGGCTCAGTGGTTAAAACTGTCACCTCACAGTAAGAAGGTCGCTGGTTCGAGCCCGGGCTGGGTCTGTTGCCATTTCTGTGTGGAGTTTGCATGTTCTCTCCGTGTTCACGTGGGTTTCCTCCGGGTTCTCCGGTGTCCTCCACACTCCAAAGACATGCGCTGAATTGGATGAACTAAATTGCCAGTAGCGTACGAGTGTGAATGTGAGAGTGTATGGGTGTTTCCCAGTACTGGGTGTGGCTGGAAGAGCATCAGCTACATAAAAGTTATGCGGGATATGTTGGTGGTTCATTCCGCTGTGGCGACCCTTGATGAATAAAGAGACTAAGCCAAAAGAAAATGAATGAATGTTTTTAAAATAAGCATTTTTATGTAAAAAGGTAGTTATTCTAACCTGTACACATGATGTAAACAAACAAAAAAAAAAAAGTGATTCTAATAAATTAAAAAGGATAAACACAAAAAGGAAAACAAATAAATCTAGTTTTAAGAATGAGTATTTAAATCATAAAAAAGCATGATGGTCATTATTTTCTGCTAAGAAATGAATGCATGACTCTGCATTGCAAACTGCATCATTTAGACTTCAGTTTGGCATCACATGAAATCATTAATTCAATAATTTTTCTTCAGCTTAGTCCCTTATTTATCAGGGGTCGCCACGGCAGAATGAACCACCAACTATTACAGCACGTTTTACGCAGTATATGCCCTTCCAGCCACAACCCAGCACTGGGAAACACCTATACACATTCTCATTCACACACACTCTCATACACTATGGCCAATTAAGTTCACCAAGTCTTTGGACTGTGGGGGAAACCGGAGCACCCGGAGGAAACCATTGCCAACACGGGGAGAACATGCTACAGAAATGCTAGCTGGCCCAGCTGAGAATCTAACCAGCCACCTTCTTACTGTGAGGCGACAGTGCTAACCACTGAGCCACCATGACGCCTGCATGAAATGATGTAAAGCGTTTTTTTTTTTTTTTATTCAGCTAAACGAACACAAAATCACTGCACTTCAGTTGTATTCAATCCCAATCCTGCAAAAAGAACATTCAGAAGCACCCATAATCGCAGTACACAATCAAAATCATTTTATTTTATTGACACAAATCCTTTGTACAAGTTAAACAAAACAGTTAATAAAGAATTTCTCCAGGTTTGCCCCGATTGGACAAAACCTTCAAGTAACTTTAAATAAATAATCAGATTGACGTGTCGTCTGTTTGCTAACAGAGCACAGTAACATAGGGAGGGGGAAAAAGAGAGGAGAGGAATATGAAACACTGTTTCCTCAGCAGTAGTTCACTGGTGTGTAAATCCTGCGGTCTTCATGTGTCCATTAACACCACTAACACTGGCTCAACTTCAGAGCAAACACAACACCTTCCACAGGGGTGTGAGAGCATGTTTTCAAGAGTACATGATGTGGGTGAACATGAGATGATGCGTCTCCTAGATACTTGTTGTGTTTGTGCGTGTCATTTATTGAGATGACCACCAATATACAGTCAACACTGACAGAGCGAACTCTTCTGAATACTGATATGATCCACAAAAGTTATGAAGGGACGCAGAAAGCTGAACAAAAACACACCGTCATCGTAAGACTAGAAGTCTAAACATTTAACACACCACTCGAGAGAAAAGAAATGAAACAAGGCGGAGTCTAAATGGTGGAGTTTGAAGTTCGGGAGGAATCAATCCACACTGTTTGAGATGAATTGTACTCAGCCTGGGTGTGTCCAATGTCATTTAGGGGAGTGGCCTAAAGTTTGGGAGGGGCTAATGGGATTCAGGAGGAGACCATTGTGGGTGGAGCCTGGTTGATGTGCATATATTATTTAGGCATATAGCTTAAAATGTGTGTGGCTACTGCAATTCAGGAGGAGTCACTGTTGTGGGAGGAGTTTAAAGCCTGGGTGTGGTAAATATATGCCATTTAGGGGAGGGGCTAATGCAATTCAGGTAAAGTGCTGTAAGAGGAGTTCACGGCCTGGGTGTGGCCAGTATTTGTCATGTAAAGGAGTGGCTTGACATTTCAGAATTCAGGAGAAGTCTGTTGTGGGAGGAGTTAACATAACGGGATTGGTCAATGAATGTAATTTGGGGCGTTAATTAAAGTTTCTTATGGGCTAATGCAATTCAGGGGAGGTCACTGTTGTGGAAGAAATTTAAAGCCTGGGTGTGGTAAATATAAGCCATTTAGGGGAGGAGCTTGAAGAGTGGGAGGAGCTAATGCAATTCAGGAAAATAAAGTGCTGTGGGAGGAGTTTACAGCCTGGGTGTGGCCAGTATATGTAATTTAGGGGAAGGGCTTAAAGTTTGGGAGGGGCTAAAGTAATTCAGAAGGAGAAAGCGCTGCAGAAGGAGTTTGCAGACTGAGTGCGGTGAGTAAATGTGACTTAAGGGAGGGTCTTGACGTGTAGGAGGGGCTAATATGGTTCAGGAGGAATAAGTGCTGTAAGAGGAGCCTGCAGACTGTTTGTGGCCAGTTTATGTAATTTAGGAAAAGTGCTTAAATTTTAGGAGGGGTTAAAGTAATTCAAAAAGCGTAAGTGCTACGAGAGGAGTTTGCAGTCTGGGTGTGGTGAATAAATGTGATTTAGGGGAGGGGCTTGACGTGTAGGAAGAGCTAATATAATTCAGAAGGAATCAGTACAGTGGGATTATCTTGCAGGATGGTTGTGGCCAGACTATGTAAGGGAAGGAATTAAAGTTTGGGAGGGGCTAAAGTAATTCAGGAGACAGTGCTGTAGGAGGAGTTTGCAGTCTGGGTGGGGTGAATAAATGTGGCTTGATGTGTAGGAGGGGCTAATATGGTTCAGAAGAAGTCAGTGCTATAAGAGGAGCCAGCAAACTGGACGTGGCCAGTATATGTAATTGAGGGGCAGGGCTTAAAGTTTGGGAGGAGCTAAAGTAATTCAGGAGACAGTGCTGTGGGAGGAGTTTACAGACTGGGTGTGGTGAATAAATGTGATCTAGGAGAGGGGTTTAAAATGTAGGAGGGGCTAATATAAATCAGAGGGAGTCAGTGCTGTGAGAGCAGCCTGCAGACTGGTTGTGGCCAGTTTATGTAATTAAAGGGGCAGGGCTTAAAGTTTGGGAGGTGCTAAAGTAATTCAGAAAGAGACAGTGCTGTGGGAGGAGCTTGCGGAATGGGTGTGGCCAGTCTATGTAATAAAGCAGAAGGGCTTAAAGTTTGAGAGGGGCTAAAGTAATTCAGAAGTGCTGTGGGAGGAGTTTTCAGACAAGGTGTGGTGAATAAATCTAATTGTGGGAGGGGCTTGAAGTGTAAAAGAGGCTAATATAATTCACAAGGGATCAGTGCTGTGGGAGGAGTTTGCATAGTAACATTTGCAGTCTCTTTCCCTTCACTGTTGACACATGAATGGTTGAATGGATGAGGCAAATGTTCATGAATCTGCTGGACAGGAGAAGCAGAAAAGTATATGAACAATAACACTATAGGTAACTGTATGTGGCGACTATGTTAAATATGTTCTAGTGTGTGTGTGTGTGTCTTTATTTGTGTGACGATAATTAGAGGTATTCGTCCTTCTGAGGTATTGTGTAAAAAAAAAAAGTTTTATTACTAATCAGTGCTTCGCGATAATCCTGTTATAATGTGTCTGAATCGTGTGTGTATGCGTTTTAAAAAGGCACCGGCATTGGCTTTAAGCGGTGTGGTCTGTTTACATAATAATCGTCCCTCATAATTGTACAATGTCGGCATGCATGTGTATGAGCGTACGAGAGTGTGTGGCGGCAAACCATCACACGGCCACTTTCTCCAGAGAGCGTATGGGCGGAGTTATTGCTTTCAGGCCGTTGCCAGGGCAGCTGTTGCCACGGCTCAGAGCATGTCCTGGTGGCCCTGCATTGTGGGAGTGTTCAAATGGCCGTGGCAGGAAGACGGGACATGAGCGGGTGCGAGCGTGGCCTTTGTGGCCTCCAGCGTGGCAGATGAGATGGCTTACTGTGTCCAGCGTGGAAAGTGTGTGCTGGTGCGTGTGTGTGTGCGTCTGCTCCTCGCGACGCTTCAGCGAATACCAAGTGAGGAAGATGAACAGGAAGCCCAGGAACTTCAAGCTCGCTGCTAGACCAAAGTAGACGAAGCGGAGGGAAGTGACATCGTACTCCCAGCAGGACCCATGGAAACCACAGTCCTGCTGCCACAGCATACAGGTGGTGTCAATCACAGCTCCAAAATAGATAGGAGTGGGGATGTAGGCTGCGGAGACAGATAAAGAGAGAATTTATTAGCCCATATTATGACTATCCAAGCATTTGAGAGTGAGAGTTCACGGGCTGACTAATTAATGCCTAAATTATTATGCATTTCCTTTTCATTTGAGGTACAACATTATAAAGATATTGAGTAATAAAATGTCGGGAATGTGCATGTAATCGTCAGTAAACAATTTATTTGTTATGGAAACATACAGAGCAGCCCAAAGCATAATGATAGTTCATGATAGTTGCATGCTTTTATTGGTTTATTGGCATCATAAGTGTTTAAAATATTTTATAAACCCGTCCAGTTAAAGTACTTACTGTTTGCCACTTTGCCAATAGACTAAACTAAACGTAAAAAAAGTAAACATTTACAGGCTATTTATTAATTTATACAATAAAAAAAAAACATTAAATACAAAAATATAAAAAAATTAAATACAAAATAAAACAAAATAATTAAATAAAACAAGAAAACAAAATAAAACAAACAAAAATAAACAAATAAATAAAACAAAAAGATTTAAAAAGAATTATATTTATTAATTTATACATTTATTCATGGAAAATAAAATACAAAAAAACAAAACTAAATTAAACAATGAACAACATAAATAAATGATTGCAAAATAATTAAAACAAGAAAACTAAATAAAACAAAACAAAAAATTTATATTTACTAATTTATACATTTATTCACAAAAAATTAAATAAAAACAATAAAAAAAAAATAAAAAGAATAAAACAAAATAAAACAAAATAAAACATCTCATTCTAAATGTATACCTTTATTCATGGAAAAAAAAATAAAATAAAAAAATTTCTATTAAAAAAAGAAATACAAAATAATTAAATGGAACAAGAAAAAACTAAAAAAAAAAAAGCTAAAAAAAAAAAAAAAAAAAAAATATATATATATATATATATATATATATATATATATATATATATATATATATATATATATATATATGTAAAACATTTAAATTTAGTTTATACATTTATACATGGACACAAACAATACAATTAAAAAATTTAATAAAAAAATGTAACTAAATTAAATTTAACAAAAATTTGAATATAATTTTTAATGCAAAATAAAATGAATAAAAAGAATTAAATAAACAATGAAAACTAACTAAAACTAAACAAAAAATAAAACGATTATATTTATAAATTTATACCTTTATTCATGAAAATAAATTAAATAAAACACATAAATTATATAAAAAACAAAAATGAATAAATAAATAAAATCAAACATACATTTCAAATAATATTTTTATTTAAAATAAAATAAAATAATTAAATAAAAAACTAGATAAAACAAAACAAAAATTAAAAAAACATTTATATTTATTAATTTATACATTTATTCATGGAAATAAATAAAACAAAAAATGATAAAAATAAATAAATAAAACAAAAACCAAAAAGTAAAAAAAAATAAAATATTTTTATTCAGAAATGTATACCTTTATTCATGGAAAAACAAAAACAAAAAAAATACAATTGAATAATAGTAAAAAAAATAATAAAAAAATAAAAAATATATATCTAAATAAAACAAAACATTTACAGGCTATTTAAATATATAAAATCACATTGCAAACAAGCACTGTTGATGATTTAAAAATATAAATATTAGTGCACCAGGACCAGTAAACTGACTGCAGCAAACTTTCATTTGCATGATTCCTCTAAACACACTCCTCCCATAAATGTAACGTCTGAAAGTGAATCTCCTACTAATGCATATGCAGTAAGCTCAGCTGCAAAAACAAATGGTGTTTTATTATAAAAAGGAGGCTTTTTTATTAAATCCAGCCCATTGGTATTCAAATAAAGTTATTCACAAACAAAAACCACTTCGACATAAAGCTCAGTTTGCATATTCAATATATTGCACAACCTTAGTGGACAGACCAAGAAGAATTGAATAAAATCCACCCAATCCTACCAAGAGTCCTGAGAAGAACAAACTGCATTCCCAGAGCAAACGGCCTGTCCTCTTCATCCACTGACCTGAGCCGGAATTAAAAGAAACAGGTGAGTGGAAATATAGTGAAAATTCATAGACATCAGATTCAAAGATTTTTTTAAATCAGTATTCATTTTAAATTAGGATCCTTTGTAATTCACACCATCCGCATATTTAGCACCATAAAAGTAATTCCTGTACTTCACATATCTTGTGCACATAATATTTACATTAAAACTGTCATAGTAATGATGATTTGAAGATCACTTTTAAAAATGTTGACTGTTTTAAACAGTCATGCTTAAAAAAATACTTTAATAAAATTTGTCGAATGGGTTTCTCAAATAATGATAAAATGTGCATTGTCATAGATTTAGTACAAGATAAAAAGTTTTTTTTAAATTAAACATTTCTCATTTTTTTGTCAGTTTTTGGCAGCAGCACAGTACAATTGTTGAAATAACACCCTAAACTTTCAATTCAAGCACTTTCAAGAAGCTGTGTTTGTTATTGAGCACTTTTCTGGGCTTAAATTCATGTCTGAAATTCAAGTATTTTCTAGAAGCGTGGGAATCCTGACCCAAATGTGTCCCAGATGATGACAATAATAATACTGTGTGAGGAGGTGCAGAGAGCAGACCTGAGCGTAACAATGATGACGGAGGGCTGAGCGCAGGCGGTGATGAGCGTGACGATGAAGAGGAAGATGAGGAAGGTGATGAGAGTCCCACAGGTGCGTTCACACTTTCCCGCCAGAGCGAAGCCGTTCTCGTTTAGGTACGTCTTGACGATCACCAGCTGCAGCTCGTGGTTTCCTCCTGACGGCGTGATCACCTGACGACTCTGAACGCATGCGCAGTCCGAATAGTTTCTGATCTGCCCGGGAGAAAAAAAAACAGGAGAAATGTCAATCATATTGCATAATACTTTGTAAACAATTAACGTTTTATTTATTATTAAAATGCTTAAGTATAAAAAATTTAAAATAGAGCTAAAATGCCTTGTCTGATTTAAGCAATATTGAGTCAAGTAATTAAATTAAATGACTTTTCAAATTTTAACAATGTAATTACTATTTCATTACTTTTTGAAGTAATTCACCCACCATGCACACATACACGAAAACAACAGCTTATTAATTCATCAATCTGTAAACAGGTGACATCAGGCCTTTTTATAGATCAGCTAAAACAGATGCAAGACTTTTCAGATGATTAATGATGATCATATTTTTGTTGTTTCGTCATGTCTTGGATTTATATTTTCTGTTTTTTATTATTTATTTATAGAAGCTATAAATACAGTACAATGATTCCACTTAGGAGAGTTTACATTTCCCATCGCTAAACATTTATTTTTTTTACAAATTATAAAATAACCGAACACAATAAAAATAAAGAAAAGTTTCATCAAATAAAATAAATAAAAATAACAGTAACAATAAAATGATAACAAATAATATCAATAATAAACATACAAAGGTCAGAGAGGGTCAAATCTTTACTCACTCAACTTCCGGTCATAATCAACTGTAAATTCCTAATCTGAAGAGAGGATTAAGAGGGGGGAGTGCAATGGGTTTTAAATTAAAAACTGTTTGTTCTGTGGATGGGAATTAGATAGTAATTTTTTTATATTTCTATGAAGATTAGTTTATTAGTTTATTGCCATGTCAGCTACTAAGGCTATTTTCATGGCAAGAGCGTTTCAGTAATTAACAAACATCAACAGTAAAAAATAAATAATTGAATATACAGTTTAAATAAGATTTTTCTGCTTAATACATGTTAAAAATTCTAATACTTTTTCTGGAGTCACTTTGTTAAAAATGTCCTCAAGAGAGTTCTCATCATAAAAAGTCTTTCTGGAGTCATTAAAAGCAGGGCAGTCCAGTAAAATGTGTTTTACAGTCCATGGGGTTTTACAGTGTAAACATTGGGTAGGGTCTTCATCTTTGAGTAAAAAGTTATGTGTTAATCTTGTATGTCCAATACGACATCTGGTAAAAATGACTTGATCAGCTCGTTTCTTAAAATGTCTTATACCTCTGTGTGTAATTTCAGGCTGGATTTCGTGTAATTTATTGTTTTTCAGAGTATCCCACTCCTCCTGCCACTTATTTAAAATGTAATTATTAATAAAAGGTCTCATCTCAGATGGAGAAGTTTGACATTTGTTTACAGCTTGTCTATGGAGATTAGATGGAGTAATCTGATGTAATCAGTCCACTTGGACCAGATATTTCTAAATCCATTATTTTGAAGTCAAAGGAAGAATGTAATTTTTTCCCCATCACATAAACATTATATACTATTTCTAGCCATTCTTGGGTTGTTGGGGATTTAGGAAGTGTGGAAATAAAAATTTCTATCATCTAATTCCAAATGGACAATAATCTACGTATAACTGAAAAGTTATATTCTTAGGTTTTTTAATTATATTATTTCATTGACATGCCAGCTAGGAGGGTCATTTAACCTTTGCCTTGCTGACTACAGGCTAAGCCAAAGTGATGCAATTATCAGTTTCACAGCATGGGGTGTCTATTGTTTTCTCTTTTCGATCAAATGGTCAGGCGGTTTCTGTCTCCAGAACATGATGAGATTAGACCTGAAAAAGCAGTTTACCCTGCCGACCACAACTCTTAATTTGCATGCTTTGTTTAGCCAAATCCCCTCCTCCTAAGAACACAATATAGACATGAAATCTTTGTCTTAAATCAGACTTGTGTGAGACTTGTGAGAGACTTGTGAAAGAACTTGCAGACTGCGGACCTCTAGAAGGCTCTTGCAGACACATGGACATCTTAAAGACGTTGTATGACTGCAGATTAACCAACACGTCTCAATAAAGGAATTCTGCTTGTTTCGAGTCTCCTGGACTGGGTTCTCTCTTCTTTTCACTCATTTATTTTTTTACAACAGAAGTAACTGCTTTTCTGGCTGCGTCTATTAAAATATCAATATCAAGATTTACTAATTTTGATATCAGAGCAGAAATAAAAAACCATGAGTTGAAAGGGTGGTGTAATATTAAGTATGAGTTCTATTACTCCATGTACTTCTATAGAAAATTGTTTTATTACCGTGCATTCCCAAAAAATGTGCCAGCGATTAGGTTCTTGAGACTCACATAGTCTCCAGCACTTAGTGTCCTTTCCTGTGGCGTATGCTCTTTGTTTTGGCGTGATGAATAAGATTTATTCTTATAGTATTTTTTGTCTTGAAAATAGGTAAAATGTGCATTGTTGATGAAAAGTTTTACACATTATGTAATTTATTTAAGAAAAAAGGCTACTGGTAGCACTAAATTGAAATGTAAAAGTTTGCAAACATTATAAACAAGCAATTGATTTGGTGGAACCATAACAAATCCTTTGAATCTGACAATATACTATTCAAAAACAAACCACAATTTTAGTTATTCACTATAAATGACATTTATTTCACATGTCGAACAATTGTATTTGAAGAGTGTGAAATGTGCCGACAAAGACTCAAATACCATGTTTCTTTTCACATTTTTTGGCTTGCATTACATTAAGTTGAATAAATGTGCTGTGACTTGTATTACAAAGTGATTTAAGATAAAAAAAAACTTTATTCCAAATAATAAAGTGCAATCAGTAGTTTCAACCCTGTTTTTTTTTTTTGGACAGATGGGAAAGGACTCACTCCTGAGGTGTGGTTGGCGATGTTGCTGCATCCAGCCAGACAGGGGTTGAAGTATGTGATGCCGTCAGAGCCGCAGACGGGTGCGTATTCATGAATCTTACAGCCACAGTTCACATTACAACTTCCCGTCAGGTTCCGGTGAGACAGAGTCAGTGTGGGCCTGCAATACACACACCAAACATCATTCACATCAGATACATTCATGTGCATTCCTACACTAAAACTAAAAATACAAACAAAATTGTAAAACAATAAAAGTCTTTATAAATAATATTTAAATAACATTTCCAATATTAAAAATACTATCTTAAAATGAAAAACAATATTATAAAAAGAAAAGAATTAAGACAATCAATTAAAATACGGTCATATTGTAAAAAATAGGGTATATGACGAAGCATGCTAATAGGACTTTTAATTTGACAGTAACCTGGGTTAAGCGCTTCCGGCGAACTGAATGCCAATGCAAAAACCGGTGCATTTAAGGTCTGTTTTCTTTAAAAATCAGCGATCTCCACTAGCTGAGTGATGTCCGAATTAAAGTGGGCCTCAGATTGTACAAGAAGCACTGCATCAAATTACATTTTCCACCTCTGTGTCTTTATAATATAACCATTTATTTTACCCCAGTATATTCAATGGAGCTTCTGCGCTAGCCTGCTGATTCTGACGGGCGCGTGCGAGTAAACGGCTTTTTCTCCCGTTTTACGCTTGAGCAACTAAATAAATGTCAAAGTTTATTTAACTGAATGTATTTTAATAACATTACAACATCGATGCTGTAAAAGGAACCGTATACAATGGAAAAAAGTTCACAATAACAGGTCACCGGAAGTTTATCAGCATGGGAACAGCACTAGCTCGGCATATACCTAATTGTTGTGGCGTGAGGACAAATTAATTATGTTATAATGTTGTTATCCCTAATTTAAGCTTACAATGCTTATAAACCAGCATTTTATTTACATAATATATATAATATAAAAGTATATAAGTATACAGGGTTCTAACACCTTTTTCAACTTCAAATTCCAGCACTTTTCATGCATTTTCAATGTGCAATTTTTATGCTTTTCCAGCACCTAACAACCACGGTAAATTACAATTATTGTATATATGCTGTATGTACTTTTTCACATTTAAATCCATTGTGCTATTTTAAAAAAACACAATATGACATTTCAACTTAAAGTGTTGAAAAATGAGCTTACAGTCAGATTGTGTTTGGGTGTAGAACCAAACTTTAATGACCAGTCGTGATATTTCATGTGCAATGCTTTTCAAAATTCATGTAACAAATTAAATCCTTATGAGAACAATTTTATGCACTCGCACAAATGCTCCCAAATATATTTTTAGCTCGCATAGCTAACATTTCAGGTATATATGCAACCAAAACGGTCAGATTTTCGAGCCCTGCAATTTCAAATTTAAGCACTTTGTCCAAAATCCAAGCACTTTTCTAACTTTGAAAACACTATATTAAAAATTATCCAGGATTTCCAGCACCTGTGCGAACCCCAGTATAAAAAACCGAAAAAACATTTTAAAAATAAGTATAAAAGCAAACAGAAATGATAGTGGCATGACAAATACTTTCAATTTGGCAGTATACGGAACAGAAAAACGTAACATTTTTCTGAATTAAAAAAAAAATATGTATAAAGAGAAAAGAAACCATAATTTAATTTGCTACAAGTAATAATTTGACATGTTTAACTTAAACAATAATATTTAATGCGGAACATTTAGCACCATACATTTTCTAATTTTATGCTGTAAATGAAGTCGCATTAAATAACTAATTCACTTAAAACATATGCACATAAACATATTTTCTCTAATACCCAGTGGTGTAAGGGATGTTGATTCCACCGAGGTTGATGCTTTCGCAGCCGACGATGAAAAGCGTGGAGAAGCAGAGCAAAGACACGCCGCTGCAGATCATGGCCAACTTCGCAGCTTCTCTTGCGCCCAGTTTGAGTTTCTTAATAATGTAACCACCTAAAAATATGCCAACACCTGCACTGGGTACGATGATCAGACCTGCACATGCAAACACACAATTAGGTGAATATTATGATCGGGTCAGCGCATGTTTGTGACTCTCTGTGTGTGTGTGTGTGTGGTTTACCTGTGTAAATGCTGGCACTGGATGCTGGAACACCAAACTGAGATTCAATAAATTTGGGGATGAAAGTGATGAAGGCTGTGACGATGGCACATTCTGCTGTATACGACAAACTGACGAACAAAAACGTCACGTTGCTCAATATGCGCACGGCTGCTTTTGGCAAATCTGCAGAAAAACAGACAAATTCAGAATTATCTCAGCTGAAATGGATCATAAAAATGTGCTCATTATCGGAAAAAACTGATCTTGAGATATTTTATTTTTATGCAATATATATATATATATATATATATATATATATATATATATATATATATATATATATATATATATATATATATATAGAGAGAGAGAGAGAGAGAGAGAGAGAGAGAGATGTGCGCGAGAGCTTAAAAGCTAAAGTTTCCTTGCACAAAACCATGCCTGGAAAATGCAACTGGTGCAATCATTTCTCTTTAAAATAGATTTTTTTAAAAAGCGGTGCTTGTGCACCCACTGTCCTGCTGCTTTTAAAATATCTCTGGTTTATTTGTATGCAGCAGCTGTTGCCGCTTTCGCTTTTACCATTCTTTGAACAGATTATTACTGGGCCTATCATCCTTTCACTATCGCACACATAATGTTTTTCACCTGCTTACTTTTGTTTGCACTTATTTTTGCTAAAATGGTTTAATTATCCTTTACAATAACATTGCTTTATTTGGAGATTAACTCTCTATTTCTCTATAGTTATCTGATGATCTGGGACCTTTAGTCTGGACAAACTACCGTGTATAGTTTTAAATAAATGGGAATACTTTTTTTAAATGTCAGTTGTTGTTGTTTTTTAGAACATGTTTGTTGAATAAAAAGTGTATGTATATTGCTATATTTAGCTTGTTTTGACGCATTTTTAAAAATGTTTGGCAAGGAAATAATTAGTTTGGTGTGGCCAGAAAAAAAAAAGTAAATGCTTTGTGTTAAGCCCTAAAAAGTCATGGGAAATAAAAAATAAAAAAGTTAAAGAGGCATGTTAACAAAACACAATTCAAATCAAGAAATTTTACCATGCCAATGTCAAATTTATGAAATATCTATGCATTTTTTTCCCCCAACAGCAAAATTTTGGATAGTAAAAAAGGCGAGTGGCTAGTAATGCTGGAAAACTACCAGCCACAGTGGCTAATGATGATCAAAAAAGTTAACGTCAAACCCTGAATATGTGTGTGTGTTTGTGTATGAATGTATGTATGTATGTGTATGTATATATATATATTACGTTGTGCCTTCAATTTTTTATTATCAGTATTTCATAAAAAATATGTAATTTTATTTAAATTTAACTATATATAAACCTAAAATTTTATATAAATAAATATATATAAATAAATATAAATAAATATATATATATATATATATATATATATATATATATATATATATATATATATATATATTAAAAAACAAACACAGGTTCAAAGAGAACCACAGGTCAACAAGGAGATTGAAGACCGGCTTCTGCTTTAAACTGGATTGACTGATTATGTACTATGAAATATATCCTATTCAAAAATATACAGACAATTATAAAATGCAGTAAAACACCCTAAATCTGTTGAAATGCATCGATCTGATGGAGGTTGAGTTTACAGCTGGATATTATTGGGAGATCGTTGACAGTAACAGTAAACATCTCCAAGTCTGACGCTCATATGCAAGGTTATGTTACATTCTATGGCAAAAACACCATTGAGCCCACTAGATCCTCTTGTATGGCCATGTGTCCGTTATACAACACTCAAGGGGCATACATTTGGACAATTGTGCGGATATATTAAATAGTTCACGCAAAGAGAGACTTTCATTTTTACTTCATTCATAGTTTGTGGGGGAAAAAAACACTCCCTGTGCATATATCCTATTACAGAGAGGACGAAAATGATCAAGTTTAATTACTTTTTCTGTTGATTAACTTGCACAGATTAATCGTTTACCTTAAGACAAACAATGTGTGCAAACAAAATAAACTTTGCAAGTTTTGATTTCATACAGACTTTAATAAAGCAAGTTTCAAATATCCAAATCCAAAATATAAATATTGTCATAAAGGTAAAATAACAGAAAGATGCTATACTTTCAGACATCTTCATTTTCAATTAAGACTTCAGAAGAGTTAGAAATCAATATTTGGTGAAACAATGCTGATATTCTGATATAAATGTTTTTCTAAATAACAATGTTAATTTCAATGATAGACTTTAGATTTAGGTTTTTAAAAGACTTTGAAATATTTTTTTTTATTCGGTATTTGATGTAATCTCAACTGAAAAACGAAGAGAGAGTGGGACATAGAGTAGATCCTCCCTTTTTATAAAACAGCCAGTTGCGTTTAGTTTTATTACCACTCTGCCAGTGAGAATTGTTGAGCTCAAGCGCATTAAATGAAAAGTAAATGAGAAGCGTCTTGAAAGTCAGATACTAGAGAGCATATGATTAATGAAAAGATTTGATGAGAAACTAAAGTATGCGGTGACGTGAATAAAACCTTAGGTCCATTTAGGCGGAAGTGACAAACTACCAGCTTTACATGTTCATATCTTCTAAACGCAAATTGTGTCACTGTTTTGGAGCACATTAGCTTATAGATCTCTGAAAAAAACTGATACTAACATCCATTGTTAGTATCAAACATTATCTTATTTTAATTTTAAGTCCAACATAATGTTTTTACCTTTGATATTTTTGCCGAAACCCATAGAGGACGAGACCGCTTGGCTCTTCTCCTTCATCATCTCATCGTCGCTGGAGACGTCACCTGCACCCTTCTTCACACCTCTCTTACTTTTCTTTTGGCGTGGTGGCAGTTTTTTAGGGAAGGAGAACATGGGGAAGATGACCAGCAGCATTGCCACGGCACACAGCAGAAAGCCACTCCACCTGAGAAAGATAAACAGCTTTAACATCGCTGTAGAGTACTGATGAAGAGCAAACAAGAGATGAGTGTTTCCTCACCAGTTTCCTACAAAGCGCGGGTCACCCTGGTCAATATTGACAACAGTACCAGGATCGACGTAGAATCCGATCAGAATGCCACCCAGAAGATACCCAGCAGCAGGTCCGAGAGCGCCCATGACATACATAATGGCTAAACACACACACAAAAAGACGATCATCAATGTTCTTGAGCTGAACAAGCTACTTTGCTTGATACATCAATCAGTGGAAAGCCATTACAGACTTTTGTCACACTTTACAGTGATGTTCCATTGGTTAACGTTATTTATTAAAAACAAACGAAGAAATATAAATACCTGTACAGCATTCATTTATCATCATAACACATTATTAAAATCCAGAGTAAAGTTAGTTACATTAATGTGCCATGGGTTAACATAAACCAATGATAAACAACTTTAAATTTGATGAATTTATATTAAAAAGGTGAATAATACTGTAATAAATGTATTGCTCATTGTTTGTTTATCTTAGTAAATACATTAACATTACTAATAAATCCTTCACGAAAAACACACACACATACACACTTGTGATTGTTGAGATTATCGCCATGCGCATATGGCTAATTAAAATAATCTAAAGTATTCAGATTAAAATTGGCCGCATATTACACATTTTGGATACAACAGCCAAACAATATAAATCCCCAAAAGTACTTTTCACTGGAACTAGAAAAAAAAAATTCAAAAATCAACTTTTTGAACTCAACATCCGGCTCAGTTCACATCAGATCAGGTCAGATAAGGTTCCTGTTGCACTTCAGTTTCTGTGGTGTTGCTTTAAACTAAAGATGTGTTTACAATTCGCAGGTTTGGTTTGATTATAATGAATTCAACACACACAAAAAAGCATCTAACCGTTTAAAACATAGACTGTGATTGATGTCACACAATGTGACCATCAAAAAAAAATTAATGCTCAAGCATACCTGATTTTTCAAATAAAAAAAATCAGTGTGCTGCATAATAATATACTTTCTTACAGTAAATCTCCATTTGTCTGTGTGATGGAGGAATTCGTTGCCACTGTTGTGAATTCTTTAGACATTTTTAAGCTCTTCACTAGGCCTGTCACAATAACCAATACATTTACTTATCGTGCAGTATTTGTACAAGACAGGGCTCAACAATAAGGACTGCCCAGTGGCCCAGGGCCAGCGTGAAAGACGCTCAGGACAGTGAACAGGATTGTCACTGGCCCCTGCCAGTAACGATGAGCATGTTATTTTTTTCCGTAACTAAACACTAAAAACTGAACTAAACTGTTCCATTTACTATGACCATTTATGTGAAGCTGCTTTGACACAATCTACATTGTAAAAGCGCTATACAAATAAAGCTGAATTGAGTTGAATTGAATGTTGTGGGACTACTTTAAAAGAGGTATTTTTATAATAATAATACTCACAATAATAATAATAATAATAATAATAATAATAATAATAATTCATTACATTTATATAGCCCTTTTCTAGACGCTCAAATCGCTTTACACATGGGAAGAATCTCCTCATTCACCATCAGTGTGGAGCAGCCACCTGGATGACGCGACGACAGCCATATTGTGCCAAAACGCACACCACACACCAGCTGATTGGTGGAGAGGAGACAGAGTGATGAAGCCAATTACGGTATGGGGATGGTTAGGAGGCCATGAAGGACAGAGGCCAGTATGCAAATTTGGCCAGGATGCCAGAGTTCAAAGGACATCCTGGGATTTTTAACGACCACAGAGAGTAAGAAACTCGGTTTAAGGTCTCATCCCAAATACTTCAGTGAGCAGTATAGAGTCCTCTTCATTATACTGGGGCGTTAGGACCCACACAGACCGCAGGTTAAGCGCCCCCTGCTGGCCTCACTAACACCACTTCTGGCAGCAACCTAGCTTTCCCATGTGGTCTCCCATCCAGGTGCTGATAGGGTGCAGCTTTGCTTAGCTTCAGTGGGAGACCATGTGAGAGTTGCAGAGAGCTAGCTGCCGGCTATAATTGGATTATTTTAATCATTAATTTATTTACATGATAGTAAAACACGAACGCATTATGAATGCAATAAAACATATGATTGTTTGTTGTAAAAATTCGTAATAATGACAAAAATACTAATTTGTGCACCTTAATTCCATGTGCAGTGCTATAGATGGTGTATTCTGGGACATTTTCGTACTCCTTGGTTTTGAGTGTGGTCCTGAAAAATCTCAGTTTCAAGGGCTTTCTAGCCCCTCCCCTTATCAATATGCCTTCAAGCTTAAGATAATTGGGACAGCTCTACCCCGTCAAGTGAACGCACAAAATGGGAGGTAGGGGTAAGGGGAAGGGCTAAGGGGTAGAATTTGGATTTGATTGGATTGGCCTTATTTTATAATCTGTGATTTATTAGACATTTTCCTCATGTCTCCATTTTATCAATATTTCCTGGTATTGCTATACTTGTGAGGTGTGCTACCTGTGCTATACTTGGTATACTTGTCCCCACACATAAGGAATAAAAGGTACACACACTTTTTTTAATAAAAACTTTACATCTTTTGAATAATCTTCTAAGTTTTCCAGAAATGTAAATTGCATAATTGTATATATACAGAATTTACATATTTTCCCAAGCCAAATTATACTATGTTAAGCTCCAATATAAATTTAAGCATTTTAAACATAAAAAGCATTATAAAAAGAACTGAATTAATATTCTGGCTGATGTATGCAAATCTACATTTAATATGCTGAAGGTGTAAAAAGTCTGCTTGTGTGTTTGCAGCCTGATTAAAGCAACACTGTTATTACCTTATTGTCCATAGTTCTCTTCTCCTCCTCTAATGTCTGTCTCTCTGGAACAGAAGCAGGACTATTGTTATAAATGTTCATCTCCGCATGCTTAAGTCATCACGGCTGCTTGAGATGGCTTTACCTGTCACAGTTGGGATGGTTTGAACAGTCTTTTGAGTGACTGAAGGACTTTCCACCTCTTTCTGTGCACTGTCTTCAGGGGTCTGCTCCTCTGAGTAGCTTTCAGGCTGCTGGTCCTGATATTGCACATCTTCTGTCTCATCTTCCGGGTCCTGCTGTGTGTCCAGGTCTCTGGGTGTTTCTGCCTGACCGGCCTGTTGATCCACCACCTGCAGAGCATCTGCGATGAGGACAGCAAGCTTATCCAGATCCCCAGACTTTAAACTCTTCACATCCACACTGTGCCGGCCCACGTTTCGCAGAACTTTCCAGATAAAGGACTCTGTAAAAAAGAGAAGAGTAACATCAGTTTTTTTCTTTCCCACACAGCAAAATGTGGATTATTTAAATTCACTACATTTATGTAGTTTAGGAAATGTGAAGTTACTTGCAAATGAGGACAAAAGAAGCACTTCAAATCAGCATTATTAAAAGATGTGGTATCAAAATAAGAGCTGAAAAATCTATTAATTTAAATCTAACCTGGCTATCAACATTTATAAAAATGTACAAACAAAAATAAAATGAGTTATGGAAAATGGAAAAACTTGCAATGTAAAACAACTTAGCCCTCTTTTGCATTGGAATATAAAAGATAATAAAATGTTAAATATAGTATTTTTTTATTTTATAATTACATTGAAGATTTTTAATTTTATTTCTCCTCTGTATATCTCATTTATGTTAATTATTTCAAAAGGAGTTATCAGTTTTTGCAAATAAACTCTTCATATACATGCTGCTGCTGTCATTTAATGGGAGTCTGGAGTTTTTGATCAAACTGTTTACTCTGAAGTATTATTGTATATTTGTGTCTCATATACTTTATTGTGCCACTGGCACTGACTTCTTTAGAGAGACATCTTTCCTCTTCATTAACTATACAGTGAACCTGCAGATCAATTACTCGCATTTGAAACAGCCAATGAACTTTTGTAAGAATTGCCACTGTAGGACTTATTTTAATGTCATTAATTATTTTCCTGGCATCTACATCAGTAATCCATCTAAAACTACTATTATTTTTGCAGTATACTCCTTCTTCCAAGATGTTTTCAGTTCTTTAACTGGAAGACTCTCAGTTTACCCTCTGATTGAACACCAGGGCCCGTTTTTCAAAAGTAATCCATTAGGATTTTGCATAACAGATTGTATCAAATCTTGAAAATGGGTTTTTTAAAAGAAAAAACAGATTACAAAATTGGATTAGATCACGCAATCCAAAGCAGTAATGCGGTTGATATACCAATCTGTTGGGGTAAAGAAGGAGCTGAGCTGAAAGGGTCATGACCAAAATGACAAGATCTTGGATACAAGCGGCCGAAATGAGTTTCCTTCTCAGGGTGGCAAGGCACACCCTTATAAATAGGGTGAGGAGCTCTGAGTAGAGAGAAGAAGTCAGCTGAGGTGGCCCGGGCATCTGTTTCGGATGCCTCCTGGATGCCTACCTAGGGAGGTGTTCCAGGCATGTCCCACCAGGAGGAGACCTCCGGGAAGATCTAGGACACGCTGGAGGGACTATGTCACTCGCAGGCCTGAACATGCCTCGGGATCCCCCCGGAAAAAGTGTATGGGGAGAGGGAAGGCTGGGGTTCTCTCCTAAGACTGCTGCCCCTGCGTCCCGGGCCCGGAAAAGTGGTTGAAAATGAATGAATGAATGAATGAATGAATTAAGTTTTTAGTAATGATACCTTAAAAATCATTTCGCATAAAATCACAGATTTTTTTGTAAAATTCTCTGCAGAAATAGTAAAAATTGTCTGCAGATTCTGTCTGGCCCTACTTATGGGTAAAGAAGCTTGACTATTCTGATATTCTGATCTTCTTTTGCTTTGCACACATGAAAGAAAATCCTGCAGATTTTACATACCATGAATAAATGAAGATAATATCATACCATCAACAGGAGTAAGAGGGTCACCAGCAGAAGGCTTTGCTGGTCCATCTTTTAGGAAGATCCGGTCTGCTCTGGATGTTTCTCCCACATCAGGTTGTTTGGTCTTGGACAGATATTTCTGAAGAGCTGCTTTGAGCAGGTCAGATTTCTCCTCCTGCAGGGGAGCTTGTGTGGCATCACTCTGGTATCGGCTGAGGTCCGGGTAAGACTTTGACTGATACGGCACTTCAGGAATAAACTCAGGTGGGGAGGAGTCACTTTCAGGGCGTGGCTTTCCAGAGCGATAGTACTGAAGCTCCGCCCCCTACACAGGATGAGCATTGAGATGTTATCGGACTACAAACAAGGTGTGTGTGAATCCTATGACTCACCCTTACTCACCTTGTGCAGTGCTGTTTTTGGTAGCAGTAACAGGTGCTGCAGGTATTTCAGTGTGTTTTTAACCTCAGCATCTGATGATGATTTCATTCTTCTGTCTCCAAAAGCAATCTCATAACCCTTCGGCCTGTCAGATTAACAAGATATATGCATTGACCACACAGTGGTAATCTATATTGTTAAAAGCAAACACATTTAGAAATCTGATATTTGCAAGTATATGCAAATCACATATATTAAATACAAGTTTATATTTATTTAGAAATGTAATTTTTATGATACGTCATATATGCCATATATATATATATATATATATATATATATATATATATATATATATATATATATATATATATATATATATATATATTTTTTTTTTTTTTTTTTTTTTTTTTTCAAGACACTTCAGCTAAAAGTGACATTTAAAGGCTTAAGTAGGTTAATTAGGTTAACTAGGCAGGTTAGGGTAATTAGGCAAGTTATTGTATCATGATGGTTTGTTCTGTAGACTATCGAATAAAAACATAGTTCAAAGGTGCTAATAATTTTGTCCTTAAAATGGTGTTTAAAAAATTAAAAACTGTGTATATTCTAGCCGAAATAAAACAAATAAGACTTTCTCCACACTCTCAGAAAAAAAGGTACACGGTGGTATAAATAATGTTCCTTGAGGGCTAACTTTGCACCTTTGTAAAAGTTGTACCTTATATGGTACAGAAAAGACCTCTTATGATACTGTTCTGTACCTTTTATGGTACAATTCAAATGAAGGTACATAATTGTTCTCATAAAAAGGTACACTCTCATCCTGGGTATATTTCCTGTCAGCCCTCTCTTACAAAGCAAAGAGGTCAGATTCATAAACATGTGTATTTTACAAGCTAAATGTATTATTGCTCTTAATTGGAAAAATATAAATGAACCTAGAATAGGAAAGTGGATTAAAAAAATGGCATCACATGTCAATGAAAAAGATCACGTAAATTGTCAAAAAACAAAAACAAAATGTGTTTGAAGATATCTGGAGACCTTTTAATAACTTTCTAAAGTACAATGTAAATGTTGACAGTCTACTACAACTAGAACAAGCTTAGGAATATGGGAAGTATCATGGTCTAAACAGACTACCTGATTTAAACATACCCCCCCCCCCCTTTTTTTTTCTTTTTTTTTCTCTTCCCCCTTTTTTAATAATATTTATTTATTTGTTTTTTATTTTATCTATTTACTTATTTATTATTATTTTATTTATTTTATTTATTTATTTTTAAGGGAATGGGTTGTTGGGAGGGAGAATGGGGGGTAAAAAGCTTGCTGTGCCTTCATGATTATTGTTCTGTAATTGTGTAATCTGTTGTGATATAAATTGAAAAAAGTAATAAATATATTGTACAAAAAAAAAAGTACACTCTCAGAAATACAGGTACAGGAGCTGTCACTGGGGCGGTACCTTTTCAAACGGTACATATTTGTACCTGAAGGGTCCATAATGGTACTTCAGAGGTACTTTTTATGTACATTTGGGTGCTAATATGCATCTTTTGAAAAGGTACTCCCCCAGTGACAGCTCCTGTACTTTTATTTCTGAGAATGTACATAAGTGTTGGACAACTCCTTCTTTGTTACAATATCTATGAAAATAAATATTACTGGAAAGGCAAAGTGATTTATGAATGATTTCCATATTAAAACATGAATCATAATTTAAAAGCATATGTTTAAAGAAACTCATAAACAATAATTATTAAGTTCTATAATGAAATAATACACAACAACTGGTAAAACATTTCTATCCTTGATGAAGGTACATTTTGGTTTCCCATGGTATAAATCATGTTCTTAAAGGTACAAACTGCAATGGTACAAATTTGTTTCTTTGTCTTAAGGTACAATTCTGTTCCATAAAAAGGTACTGCCCCAGTGACAAGGGTTTGTATCTTCTTTGGTACAACATTGTACCATTTTTTCTGAGAGTGCAGAAGAACAAACATTATCAGACATACTGTGAAAATTTCCTTGCTCTGTTAAACATCATTTGGAAAATATTTAAAAATGAAAAATTTATTTATTTATTTATTTTTGTTTATTGTTTTTTTAGGAGTTTACGGATTTATTCACATACTTATTTGCAAATTTATTTATTTACTGTTTAATTTAGCAGGAGTTTTTGTAGCCGAAATAAAACAAACAAGACTTTCTCCAGAAGAAAACATATTATCAGACGTACAGTAAAGAATTCCTTGCTCTGTTAGACAACATTTGAGAAAAATTTGAAAAAGGAAAGAAAGAAAAATCGCAGCACGGCGAAAAATTCTGACTTGAACTGTATATGTTAAATGACTGTCAAATTAATATTATTTTAAATTTTTTTTTACCTAGGCTCCGGTAACGGAAGGGAAACTCGGCGTAGTTTGGAGAACTCATTCGATAAAATCTGCTGCGTGACATCATCCTCCCAAGACAAACCTGCAGGAACAGAATCAAGACCTGTGAAATATGTGAAAGTGACTCATCACACACACACACACACACACACACACACACACACACACACACACACACACACACACACACACACACACACACACACACACACACACACACACACACACACACACACACACACACACACAGAGAGAGCCTCTGATTTGATCCCAGAGCAGCCTTTATAACCATGGTGACAATGATGTGTGCGGTTGCTGTGGTGGCACTAATGCACCCACCTCTGTGTGCCAGTCTCTGGAGCAGGTTTCGCAATCTCTGCACCGTTGCGGGAGTGACGTCATACGTGTAGACGTTTGTTAGAGGAGCAGCCTCGCAGCGGCCCAACATGCCATCTACAGAGAAAATCAACAACCACTTCAGAATATGTGCACAACTACACTTCATGTTGTGTGTGTGTGTGTGTGTGTGTGTGTGTGTGTGTATTTTTAGATCCTTTGAGAGTCTCTGCTTATTAAAGTGTAGCTGAGGGCAACTGAGACAGGAGCAGCTGGAGTCCCGACACCTGCCTGATAGTAAGGTTACACCGATTGTGCGTATGCATGGTAAATTACATTCACGTCTATATTTTGTATCCAAAAGGGAAATACATTTAAAAACTAGATCAGTGATATGTAATTCTGTAATATGGCTGTGTTTTAATGGAGCATGGTTTAGTATCTCATATGTTTGCACAGATGTTGGCCAATCATCACAGACTTTACTTGCATGAATCAATGATGAGAGGTCCCATTTTAATGTCCCGAAAAAATGTATAGTGATAGAAATCATATTTAATAAATTATGGGTGAAATAATGTTTCATTGTCTTTCAGTGTACAGGCCCGTAGCCATCCTGGTGAAAAGGATAGCTGTTTTTTTCTCAAAAAGTGGGTCTTTTTGCAGTTATTCGCCTTATGTTCTATTTAATTATAAGGTTTAAATACTGCATTTTAGCACTATTTTTAGCTGGATTACCTTGTCGTATCATAACCACATTTTTTGATGCACCAAAAACATTTGCTGAATATTTAGAATAAAGAAATCTGAAAAAAAAACTACTTATTTTTTAAATACAAATTTATTACATTATATATTATTGGAAAAAATAGTTTAAAAAAAAATACTGTAGCCTATTGTCATCTATTGGGCAAATAACAAACTGGCCAGCACATTCAACTTGCCTTAGTCAGAATTTGGCCATCTGAATAATAAAAATTTAAAACATAATAATATTAATAAGGTAGAGCTTGACAATTTTTTTTTAAAAAAAAGTACATTTTGAAAAGTTCATAAATAACAAAAATAGCCTAATTAGTATTAAAACGTACTTTAATATGGGCCACTTTTGGTGCTTCAAACCTTTGTCTTGGTATTTTTTCTTTCAAGAATAAGGTCCAAGATTCAGAATAAACGTTGTTCTACTTGTAGTAAAAGATGACTTCATCTTTCGTCATATGGTTTTCTTGCACAGCTGCATGTCGGACTCAGGAAAAATAATTGTTTGCCGTCATTGAAAGCCTTCTTTGTTGAGTTATTTTCACAATTAATGATGAAACAGCAGTCAAATTAAGTCAAATGAGCTCATGTATGGGGCAAATTCTGGACCTTTTATCAGTGTGGGGTAGGTCTTTCGAACCACCTAAATCCCCCCTGGCTACGGGCCTGGTGTAACACATATTTATGTAAAAATAAAAATAACATTTCATGCTTATTGTGGCCTGTACTTGTGCATGAAATTAATTGTATTACTTATCAAATGCTAAAACAATTCTGACAAGCAGGTAAACCAAGTGGTTTGAAGGATAGCAAAGAATGAAGATTTAAAGTATTTTTGTATGAAGTGACTATATTTGCAAGGCAAGCCAAGTTTATTTATATAGCACATTTCATAATCAATGGAAATTCAAAGTGCTTTACATAAAGAAGAATAATAGAAACAAGAAAATAAAAATGACTGAAAGAGTTAAAAATGATTAAAATGCGTTAAAACGGGTTATAAAAGAATGAAAAAGAAAAGTAAGACATAATACTGCGATCTGTCGAACGTAGCACAGTGCTCATTTAGTAAAGGCACAGCTGCACAGATGTGTTTTCAGTCTGGATGCGCCTTATGTTGGAGCACATCTGATCATTTCTGGAAGCTGATTCCAGCAGTATGGGCGCAGTAGCTGAAGGCAGATTCACTCTGCTTTGAACAAACTCTATTTTTTTCTAATTTACTTGATACCAATGATCTAAGTGATCTGTTAGGTTTGGATTTAGTGATCATATCTGTAATGTATCAGGTTCCTAGGCCATTAAGTGATTTATAGAAAAGTATTAATACTTTAAAATCTATTGTGAATGTAACTGGGAGCCAGTGTAAAGACCTGAGGACAGGTTTGATGTGCTCTGATATTCTGGTTCTGGTCAGAATCTTGGCTGCAGCATTCTGGATAAGCTGCAACTGACTGACTGTTTTTCTGTGAAGGCTGGTGAAGAGTCACTTTAATCAAATATAGTCATCATAATCACTATTTTGGGGCTGGATTATGAATATGCCTGATAAAATGCAAGACGCATGAATTTAAATACAGAAGTCATGTCAGTCATGGCCAGGACTTGTGATGTCATAGTAGAGGAAAATCTGAAACAGCTCATATCCAAACTCGGATTTAAAGTAATTATATTTTAAAATCCCTTTTGTACATTTATTTTGATGTGGACTCCAAAATAGGCCATCTTGCAGCTCATCTATGACCCATATTTAATTGAACAATGTGAATATATTCTATCAGGCCACATATTCAGTGCTGTTCCTTTCACACAAAGATACTGAGCAGAGCTGAATGAAATTATGAAACACACACACACATCCTCACACCAGATATGAGTAAAAAAGTAGGTTAAGTCTGATTGGCTGATATCGCCTGACCTACATGGGAATGATGATTTCATTCATATTATGTTCTCATTGATGGCAGGTGAGTGTGGGAACACATCGTGCCAGCAAAAAAAAAAAAAAAAAAACTCTTAATCTTCAACCTATGTGGAGAAGAACAGTTGCTAAGCAACACAAAAGATGATATCAAACACAGCACGTGTGTGGGTGCGTGTGTGTTTGTTAGGGATAGAGTCAGTATTTGTTGTGACACATTCAAAATGTTCAAATGTATTGTACTCATAACGCAGATGGCAAAAATGAGCGCTTGATCAAACAGCATGATGCATGAGATCTACAGACTGCAGTTCCCCAAGCGTGTGTGTATGTGTGTGTGTGTGACTCACCATTTAAACAGACTTCATATTTCAGACACAGACCATCCTCAAACAGGCAGCCTGAAAGAAAAAAATAGAGAAAGAAAGGTAGAGATTATTTTAAAAAAATAGAAGAAAAGGTTGGTTCACACCAACAGCAGCTCTTATGTTTTATTAGGGATGCTCTGATCGATCAGCTGGAGATCGGTATCTGCGGATAATCACATTCTAGCTCTCTGCAACTGTCACATGGATGCCCATTGAAGGTAAGCAGGGCTGTGCCCGGTCAGTACCTGGATGGGAGACCACATGGGAAAGCTAGGTTGCAGCTGGAAGTGATGTTAGTGAGGCCAGCAGGGGGCGCCCAACCTGCGGTCTGTGTGGGTCCTAATGCCCCAGTACAGTAATGGGGACTCTATTCTGCTCAGTGAGCGACGTCTTTCGGATGAGACGTTAAACCAAGGTCCAGACTCTCTGTGGTCATTAAAAATTTACGATGTCTTCAGAAAGAGTAGGGGGTTTTACCCCGTCATCCTGGCCAAATTTGCCCACTGACCTCTGTCCATCATGACCTCCTAACCCTACCAGTATCATCATAATTGGCTTCATCAATCAGCTGGTGTGTGGTGTGCAGTCTGGTGCAAAATGGCTGCCGTCACGCCATCCAGGTGGATGCTGCACACTGGTGGTGGATGAGGAGATTCCCCCCTATGTGTAAAGCACTTTGAGTGTCCAGAAAAGCGCTATAGAAATGTAATGAATTATTATTATTATTATTATTATTATTATTTAATGATTCAATCGGTACTCATTGATCTGGCCAATCTCATGAACCAATCGCAGAAGTTGTTTACGAGTTTACGCACAGAGACGAGAGTAAATTAGGCTCGATGAAGTTGTGTTTTTGACATTATTGCAAGTTCACTAAAATCTGGCTGAAAAAAAACGTTAAAGAAATGTTTAAAACTTAAGTTTTAACTTCTTATCCATCAAATATGCACTCCAAACATTCTGAACATTTGCATTTTTTAAATTTGTTTAGGGACAACATGAAAGAATTAAGTTAACTTAATAGTTTTTACAAATTCAATTTTCCCAAAAGAAACTCTCAATAATTGGGTTGTTTCAGCTCAATTTATATACGGCACGTTCAATTTAAGATCAATGACTGCAATAAAAAATAGACCTGATGATAAATATTTTAGTGCCCACATTAATGAATAATTTTGACATTAAAATGTTTAAAAAAAAAAAAAGTTTAAAGCTGCTTTTATTGTAGCCAAAATAAAACAAATAAGACTTTCTCCAGAAGAAAAAAATTTATCAGACATACTGTGAAAATTTCCTTGCTCTGATAAACATCATTTGAGAAATATAACAAATAAATAAATAAATAAAAATCCAAGGGGGGCTAATAATTCTGACTTTTACTGTATATTATTGTAATATTAATAAATTAGTAAGCTACCATAGACACTTTAATGTAACACAGTTTGGTATATTTAGCTTAGGCCCACCACCCTTAATCAAGTTTGGATTTTGGCCCTTCAAATGAAAAGGTTTGGGCACCCCTTTTCTAGATTAGTTTTGCTGTTGATAATATTGCCATATAACTGCACAATTATTAGTCCAGGGATGTGAACAGCTCTGGACAGAACATCACGTGTTGTCATTTTTAATTTACTTTAATTGAAGCATGGCATCAATACACAACAGACAAATAACTAACAACCTTTTACAGCCATTTTAAACTGCTCCAGTGCTTCATTATTCACTCTCACAAACAGCTGAGCCACTTCCTTATCAATCCAGCTGAGACAGACGGCGTACCTGTTCTCATTTCACTTGCATAAAGAGCAAGAACAACTACAAAAAAATAAAAATTAAAAATAAAAACGTCCCAAAATTGTGCTGCTGCTTGTTAAGTCTGTCAGACCAGGCTGTAGCCTACTCACTGCAGTGGTTTGACATTCACAAATCCATCATTCATAGTAAACTGTGCTCACACAAACCTACACACACTGAGTGTCTCCGTAGAAAATAGCTCTGAGTGTGAGTGTGTGTGTGTGTGTGTGTGTGTGTGTGTGTGTGTGTGTGTGTGTGTGTGTGTGTGTGTGTGATCAGTATCCATTTACTGAAGTGTGATTAAACAAGCTGTGAATCGCCTCTTCAGGCCTTATTTAAGCCTTATTCTGCACTCCATCTATTCTGATCTCTGTGTAGGACTGTCAGAATAACACGGTAAAATGTGAGTTCTCCTTTAAATCATTTCAATTTAGCAGTTACAAATAACCAACAAGTAACAAAATGAAAAGTGAGAGTGTGTGGATAGTTTTTCTGTCAATTTATATGTTTTAATGTGTATTATTTAGCCGTAATACATATAAACATTAATATCCCACACACATACAGTACATTGCTAAAGCAGATATTGATCAAGGTTTGTTGATGCATGTTGAATTAATAGTTGAATGAATCCCATTTTGGTCAGGCTTTATGTTTCTGTTTGTCATTAACAATTTTAAACTAAATGACAACAATCAGGTTTTGGTGCTATCATGCTATTTTACAACATATGAAAACATATGATTTTTTTCAGAATGAAATGTAGTTACATTTCAATAAAACAAACAAACAGAAAACCTGCCATGTTTCCAGACTGCCATGTTTACTTTTCAACAACACGACTGCAATGATTTAAAAGAATAATCAGAGATTAGAAATCAATATTTGGTGCAACAACCCTGATTTTTTTGTCACAATAGATGAAAACATTTGTTATCAAGACCAATTCTCATTTTGTCGAGTTCAGACTGCATGATTTTAGCCCCAATTTTGACTCGCCGACAGTTTTTTTTTAGAAGTCGCCGACAAATGAAATCACAGGTAAATCAGTGCTCGTGCACATGTGTAACAATCACATAATGTGAACTATCAAAGATGTGATCTGAGAGATTCGCAGATGCCTGTGAGATATATGACATGCTAAATATCTTGAGCTGTCGGCGATTCAAATCATGCCGTGTGAAATGAGTTTTGACTGAAAATAACATCGTGATCGTCTACAGCCAATGAGAGAGCAGCATTCACTACCTGCAGGTCAGCGGGAGGTTGGGGGAGAAGTTAAAAGCGCTCTTTTTCAGTTTATTTGGACCCAAGAAATGGAGCAGGAGCACCAGTGTCTGTTTGACAACTGAGCAAAATCACAACCAGGTCGAACAAGAAAAAGTTTAGGAGAAATTGCTAATTTTCTTAAAACCCAGCAAATATGAGCATTTTCTACCCATTAAAGGCTTCTTTCTTGTTATGTATTTAATAACAAAAGATATTCTACATGTTTTTGTTTGTGAGACATAGTTTGGACGAAGTTGACGGCGATTCTTACTATTGTAAAGCAATGTGAAACCCCCTGTTGCCGATCCATCTTGCAGTGTAAACTAAGCAGCGACAAAACGCTAGCCCAGATAGTCATGCAGTGTGAAAACATCTGTGACACGACTACTTTAAAAATCATGCAGTCTGAACTCGGCATTAGAGATGTAATGATTCACCTGACTCACTATTTTGTTATAGCAGAAAATATATAATATATCTTCTGCTATAACCAAATTGCATTTGTATTGTATTTAGTTTAAATTGTTTAAATTGTATTTAATATTTTTTCTCCCCTTTGGGAGTACATAAAGAGCTCTCTTAAATTAACACAGCATCCTTGTCATTCATTTACAATTTTTGTTATAACCTACAATTAAAGACTGCTCTAAAATCATGTAATTATATATATATATATATATATATATATATATATATATATATATATATATATATATATATATATATTTACCTATTTATGTTTTTTTTTACATTAATTTCTTTACTTTCCATTCTCAAGACTGTACACTCTCTGTAACACGTTTATACATTTTGATGTTAATATTTTGTGAATGTAGGCATACAATAAAAAAACAAAAAAATGTATTTAATATTTAAAAAAAAAAAAAAATAATGATACAAACTACAGAAAACTCGAAAATACAAGCAAACTAAAGTGGTGATTGTGCTGGGATTTTACATTTCTAAAAAGAAACATCAGCATGTCTATGTTTTCTGGCATAAGCTGAGGTATTTGCACATTCACAATGTCCCCTGCTGAAACTAGAGAGCAGTGTGTACAGAGGTGGTTAATAGGCCCTCTGATGCAGGGGACTGGCATAAAGAAATAGTATTATATAGTAGGACAGAGACATGAGTTCATAATAATGAAGGTGAATAATTAATATTAATTGTATAATTAATTAGTAGGTATCAGTGTGAGATAACCTTAAAGATTTTTAAATATTCAATAATTATCAAATTATTTAAATATGTATAAATTCTTTTAAAAAACAAAGGGTAAAATAATCTAATAGCTGAATCTGTAACAAAACAACTTTCTTTTTTGGTCTGAAAAATATCTTGACACTTTTGTTATGAAAATACTGATGCACCATGTGATCTCCATAGCACTCATCGAGCAAGGAGAGCTGCAAATCATCCATTTTTGTGTATAGACATCTGTGACAGTAGTTTTTCACTGTGCTGATGGTTTATGTGCATCATATTCATTGCTCTATTAGTACAAGTAAACATCTTTACACTGTATTTGCACACAGTTTGTTACGTCTAGCGCATCTCACGGCTGTGATTTTACTCTGCCGCCTCACCTCTTGATCCGCTGATGTGCAGGTAAAGCAGGCTTGCAAAATATGCATTGTGATTTGTTCAACATTTCTATCGGTTTGAATCGTCACAAATTTTAATCGATTTCAAGGGGCTCACGGTGAATCATTAAATCCTTAATTCTCATTTTTTGAAAAAATAAAAATAAATAAATGAAAAGTCTAAATTACAATTTTAAAGAATGTTACCAAACCTCATCTAAACAGCTAAAACACTAAATATTTTAGTCAAACCCAATCCTAATAAAATTTAAGTTTAAAGGTTGTTTTTTTATTTTTAAAGGAACAATTTTTGTCTTGATATAAAGAACATTTTCAAAACCTAAAAACCCTATTTTCACTATAAAAAAGTAGAATTGAATAAAACATTCCAAGTTAAAGGTTGTTCATCGAATCATCAATGCCAATAAATATAGCCACACATCCATATAGCTTGACAATCCATAAATACAAATATATAACATTAAAACTTTTGTTCTCAGTCCAACCGGATTCGTAAATCGGCACCCACTCAACACTCATCATCCACAGATGCAGATAAAAAACGTCATAATGCATGCTTATCTTTTTATATTTCTGTGAAAGCCTCTCTGTTACTATGGTGAGTGGTTTTGGGGGAGGCGGGTGGCGTGAAGCTGCGGTCACAGATCATCAGAATGATGGCGGACAGACTGTCTCCTCACTGACATCTACATCAACACAAACCATGAGCTTCCTGTGGGACCATGATGCCAGCTTCTCTGAGTTCAGATGTGTCAGTGTAGATTTATGACCTGTTTCTATGAGTACATGTCGAAGATGAATGGATGATCATAAGTTATGTTGACACTGAAACTGTTTTCTTTATGAGTGCGCAGAACTTCCTGTACTCTGTGTTCCCACGCTAAGCCAAATGTCAAATTCCCTGACTTTCACTGATTAAAAAGCTGAATTTCCATGACCTATAATCAGCACTGAGCAGACAAAAAGGTAAACGTCTCTTTTAATTGCATGCCGTCACATTGTTTGGGACATAGTAATCATCAGGCACCACAGGATTTCAAGCAAGATACAGCCTGATGACGGCATTGACCGATGACAAACAGGAAAGCAATAAAAAAGCATTGAAAAATAGCTTATAACCTTAATAGACAAAACACATGAACCAATGTGATGGACAAAACGGAAGAAATTACATTTTGATTGGAATGTAAAATGTGAAAAACAACGTTAAATTCTTCTATTCCATATATATTATTCATCGACTTACAATGTCTGGGATAGACCTTTAAAATTAATGGATTTTTACCATTTTAAATTGTATGACCAGAGTAAACCCTGTGTATTACTCATCATCTTCCTTTTTTATTGGGAATTGTTTATAAAAAGTGACTTCAAAATGTGTTTGTATCATGGTTATTATAGTTAAATAAGCCATTTTGTAAATAAAATAAATGTTAGTTGTAAAAAAATGAACAGTTATGTATTTTATGATGGAAAAAAGCAGATTAATTATAAGTAAAATTTAAAAATAAAATAATGTAGACACATTTTGAAAAACTCAGTTGGTAGCACGTTCGCCTCATAGCAAGAAGGTCGCTGGTTCGAGCCTTGGCTGGGTCAGTTGGCGTTTCTGTGTGGAGTTTGCATGTTCTCCCCATCTTGGCATGGGTTTCCTCCGGATGCTCCGGTTTCCCCCACAAGTACAAAGACATGCGGTATAGGTTAATTGGGTAGGCTAAATTGTCCGTAGTGTATGTGTGTAAATGGGTGTGTATGGATGTTTCCCAGGGATGGGTTGCAGCTGAAATGGGCATCCGCTGTGTAAAACATATGCTGGATAAGTTGAAAGTTCAAGAATAGAATAATAAAGGGACTAAGCTGAAAAGAAAATGAATGCATTAATGAAAATGCTAAAGCTGTAATAAATATTTAATAAAAATATCTGGAATAAACAAGCAAATTGGATGGATGGATGGATGGATGGATGGATGGATGGATTAACTATTGGATAGAAGGGTGGACTGATGGCTAAATTGTTGGATAGATAGATAGATTGATGGAAAGATGGATGGACTGATGGATGCGGTGATGGATGGATGGGTAGACTGATCTAGAGTCTAAATTGTTGGATGGATGGATGGATGGATGGATGGATGGATGGATGGATGGATGGATGGATGGATGGACAGATCGCTAAATTGTTGGATGGATGGATGGATGGATGGATGGATGGATGGATGAATGGACAGATGGCTAAATTGTTGGATGGATGGATGGATGGATGGATGGATGGATGGATGGATGGATGGATGGATGGATGGATAATGGATGGATGGCTAAATTGTTGGACAGGTGTATGGATGGATGGATGGATGGATGGATGGATGGATGGATGGATTGACTATTGGATAGACTGGTGGACTGATGGCTAAACTGTTGGATAGATAGATAGATAGATAGATAGATAGATAGATAGATAGATAGATAGATAGATAGATAGATAGATAGATAGATAGATAGATAGATAGATAGATAGATAGATAGATAGATAGATAGATAGATAGATAGATAGATAGACTGATGGGTGGGCTGATGGATGAATGGGTAGACTGATGGCTAAATTGTTGGATAGATGGATAGATGGATGGATGGATGGATGGATGGATGGATGACTAAATTGTTGGATAGATAGATAGATAGGTAGACATAAATTTGTCGGTTTTATTTCATTTATTTTATAAAACAAAATTCAGTGAGAAAATAGTTTTAAAAAAAATCTATCTGGCCCTACCTATGATAAACTATTGTGGCAGCTTATAATGCAACGCAACATGAATATAAAGGAGGGCGGTGTGTGTTGTGTTTCATTCATGCGCTTTGGAGCAATCAAGTCGATATGAAATTACCATGCTGCAACCTGTTGCCATGGTTACAGTTGCTAATGACTGACAGGATGACCTTTTTTTCAGGGGCTGGCTTTATGAATCACACACAGACCACGTATAAACTCTATTATTGTGGCTCATGCTGCGAGCAGGGGCGAGCTGTAATCTGTGCTGCTTCATTTCCTGTGCTGCTGCTGGCAAACTACATACACAAACCACTATCACATCCACATATTTCAATAATATAAATAGTAATAACATGCACTCATCAAGAAAATCGAAAGACAGGCCGTGCGTCTCCAGACCCAGTTATGTAATACCAGTGTATGTATAGCATACAGTCCTACAGCCCCATCCTCACGTTACTCAGCCTAAAATGATCATTTTTGCAGAATATTGGGCTTGTTTAGATGCTAAAGCTGTTATATATTACATTTTGTCGATTTTTAAATGTTACTCTCTCCCTGTTTGCTCCATTTATTAGCTCAACAAGGAAGATTTAAGCATCCACGCGTCATTCAGCCTTCGTATAACTGTATAAATCATAGTAAACGCCGCCGAATGGAGACTTTCTGTGTTTATGTCAGCGCTCTTTAGTATTATAGGAGCAATATTGAGATGGCGCTCGCTTCATCTCGCCCATTCCTTACGGACACGGACAAGCACACGCACACACACACACTACAAAACACTTACCGAATTTGTGGTCGGCCGCGGGGGCGAGACTTGCCCGAAGCGCGAGGATGGCGAGAAACAGGTGAAAAGACTCCATCCCTCAGATCAGGCGTCCATCTCAGCCGCGAGTTTATAAATCCATCCCAGAGGAGGGCTTCCTTCTTTCTGCGTGGTCTGAGGAGAGGAGATGGGGGATGGAAGGATGGATGGAGACGGTACGGAGATAAATGAGAGAGAGAGAGAGAGAGAGAGAGAGAGAGAGAGAGAGAGAGAGAGGAGGAGACGTCAAGCGTACGCAAAACCTGTCAGCGCGCGCCGCAGTCCTACAATCAGCACTGAACAGCAACCCGCCGCTGACGTCACGGACGCGCAGACTTTTTTTTTTACACAGGGCTGTGTAGTTTTGGATTTAGTTTTTCCTTGAATTTTCTTTATAAAAGCTTCATCTCGAAATTGCATGATGTGTTTACTTATGTTATCCTATAATTTGTTTGATAATTTGCAACATTAAAGGACACATGAAATCAAACTATACGTATAAACTTTGTTAGCATACATTGCTAATTTTGTGGTAAAAGATTCATTTGTTCATGTCATTAAAAAATAGTTTGCTCTTGTAATGTAAGATTAAAATATGAAAATGCTCTTCCTGTTTGTTTTCAGTAAAAGTTTTCATTTTTTTAGGGCTGCGCATAGATATATCAGAAGTCGCCTACCCTGTTGTTCTGTATTAGAAGGAATGCGTCAATAGAGCCGCCATTTTGGAACAGGGTAGCGCTCCTTTGAAATAAATGCGGGACCAAGGTACAGTGGAGGATGTGGCTATCCAAAGCCAGAGATATACACATATACACATATATCTACGATCGGGAGTTTTCCTGGATGTTAGTATGCAATTATTTTTTTTTAATTACGAAAATTTTAAATTTACATCACTTTTCTACATTGATGGATCAGTGATCGCACTGGCATTCCCGACAAAAAGCTTGTGTGATGTACTATCCACCCTCCCTCCATGACTGTTAAATTTAATCTAATCTGTGTCCTGAAACACATCTCTTCTCCTGCTTTTACTTCTCATACTCGCTTGTGAATGAATCCCCCGTTATGAACGACTCGTTCACTAGCCAACAATAATACAAGTTTCTGGCACAGCAGCATCTCGTTGTCATATTTCTTTTGCATTGTTTGCTCATTTTATTCAACAAAACTAGCAAAAGCTGAGTATTTAGTGCGAGTTGGAGCTACTTTGCCTTATGGTAAAGGCAGTAAGTGACTGTATTATCATCAAGGTTACCTGTTGAACACAAAAGTTCATAACATACAAAAACGTAAAAAACTTAATCTTACCTATGAAATGTTCTGCCTTTGTGCTTTGATTTCTTTGTTTGCTCGTTACTACATCCGTAGACAGCCCTAAAGTTCCGCATCTTCACGTAATAACACTGTGTTGACTGGTGCGGTTGAATGACATTTGTCCTGGGAGCACTGTACCAATGTGGTGGCGCTATTGACGCATGCTCAGGGTCCCTATGCGATATCTAGTGTATATATCTATGAGGGCTACGTCTGAAATGACCTATGCCTACTACGTCATTAGCTATTGCATTTGAATTTAACCGTACTACTCGACCATTAGAAAGGTACGTTCTATACAGTATGAATGCGAGTAGTATGACCAAAGAGCTTAGGATGACCAAGAGGCGACACTCTAGAGTAATTTGGGAAACAGCCACTAGAGGGCGCGGCGGCCATTATGGAATGAATACTCCAATAGAACAGCATATTAGAAGTCTGTAAAATGAACTATTAAAAGTGCTGATGATTATGATAACAAATGTTGCATTGTCGTCTTTCAGGTTGTATCTCGGCTTTAATGCGCTTTTTAAATAAGTAAATAAAAAACAAAGCAGTTGCTTGCCATTGCGAAAGTAAAGAGATCCTATAGACGGCCGATAACTTTCACTCCAAAATGGCGGAATCCGGGGCTGTTGCTGGGCGGTGCTGTTACAATGGAACGTTCTATTGAGTGTCGCCTCTTGGTCATTCTAAGCTCTTTGGTATGACTGAAACACGTACATACTACATCCGCCATTTTTGTCATGATCATGTGACCGACCGGCTTGAGTTGCATCACTTCACTCCCATTCACGAATTCTCTCACAGGGCGTCATGGGAAAGTGTAGCATCCATCCGATGCATACTTCAGAATTTCAATAGAAATAGTAGGTCATCTGGGTACTTTTCGTATACTGATTTTTGAATTCGGACATACTACTTGGCTCGCAAACTGATTTTAGCGTACTATATGGTTTTTATAACGAAAAAGTGCATTCGGTGTGAACGGACTGTAAAACCAATGTAACTGCAAGTGTTGCCTTTATTTATTTTATTTTTTAGCAGTATATTTACACTGTGTATACAGTGCATCCTGAAAGTATTCATAGCGCTTAATTTTTATCCTACAGCCTGATTCCAAAATAGATTATATTCATTAATTCCCTAAAAATTCTGCACAGAACAGCCAGTAATGACAATGTGAAAAAAGAGTTTTTGAAATTGTTGCAAATTTATTTAAAAATTTGTCGCCCCAGTCTGAGGTCAAGAGCACCCTGAAGCAAGTTTTCATTCAGGATGTCTCTGTACATTGCTGCATTCGTCTTTCCCTCTATCCTGAATAGTCTTCCAGTTCCTGCTGCTGAAAAACATGGATGGTATTAGCCTGGTGTTGAGCAGTGCCTGGTTTTCTCCAAATGTAACTCCTGGCATTCACCCCAAAGAGTTCAATTTTGGTCTCATCAGACCAGAGAATTTTGTTTCAGATTCCTTTTGGTAAATTCTAGGCAGGCTGCTTTGTGCCCTTTACTAAGGAGTGGCTTTCGTCTGGCCACTCTACTATACAGGCCTGACTGGTGGATTGCTGCACAGATGATTGTTCTTCTGTTAGGTTCTCTCTCCACAGAAGAACGCTGGAGCTCAGAGTGACCATCGGGTAATTGATTACCTCCCTGACTAAGGCCTGTCTCCCTGATAACTCAGCTTAGATGGAGGCCAGCTCTAGGAAAAGTCCTGGTGGTTCACTTCTTTCACTCAGGGATCATGGAGGCGACTGTGCTCATTGAAACTTTCAGAGCAGCAGAAATTTTTCTGTAACCTTCCCCAGCCTTGTGCTTCAAGACAATCCTCTCTCGGACGTCAACAGACAATTCCTTTGACTTCATGCTTGGTTTGTGCTCTGACATGCACTGTCAACCCTGGGTCCTTATAAAGACAGGTGTATGCCTTTACAAATCATGTCCAATCAACTGAATTTACTACAGGTGAGCTCCAATTAAGCAGCTGAAACATCTCAAGAATGATCAGTGGAAACAGAATGTACCTGAGCTCAATTTAGAGCCTAACAGCAAAGACTGTCAATACTTCTGTACATGTGATTTTTCAGCTTTTCATTTTTAATAAATTTGCAACAATTTCAAAAACTCTTTCACATTGTCATTATGGGGTATTGTGTGTAGAATGTTGAGGTAATAAATGAATTTAATCCATTCTGGAATAAGGCTGTAACATAAAAAAAATGTGGAAAAAGTGAAGCGCTATGAATACTTTCCGGATGCACTGTAAAAAACCCAAGCTAACATATAACACATTTTTAATTCCGTAAACGAAATGAAGAGAAAAAGACTAAAACAATATTGCAATTAACAGTTTTGTGACTATATATATTTGATAATATAAATTTACTCTACATTTACTCGTCTTCAAGTGGTTTCAGACCTTTCAGTTGAACACAAAAGAAGATATTTTTGAAGAATGATGGAAAGAATTAGCTATCAACATCCATAATAAGATAAACAAATGCTACAGATGTTAATGGTTACCATTTTCTGACCTTCTTCATAACTTTGTCTTGTATGTTTAACATAAAAAAACTAAACAGTTTGGAACAACTGGGGAATGAGAGAATTTTCATTTTGGGGGAACTATCCCTTTAAATAATGCAAGATTAGTTCCAAATTCAGCCTTTGGTACAGAGTAATCTAAAAAAAAAAAACAGATTTGCACAAATATAACATTGTATCACATTTAATAAACTTTTAACGTGTAAACTATATAATCATAATAAAAAAGTGGGACTTTAAAAATCTGGAGATGCTCTCCTTTTCAAAACTGTATAAAAGTTGCACAGACATCAACACAAATAATTCCCACTCCACCCGCACACTTTACTTGTACAGAAGCAACTGTTTATTGAAAAGAAAACCTTGGATATCATCAAATACAGAGACTTCACAATCCTGTATCTGATGCCAAATATCCTCTAAGGCAAGTATATTGTTGGTCATAAGGCACAGGAAATACATACATATATATATTTATTTATATATACATCAATAAGGCAAGCTCAGCAGAGAGAGGTGCTCTGACTGCATACGTCTGCATTAATCATAAACAATAATAAAAGCATAATAAAATCTGACATATTATACACAATAATTTATCGAATAAAAACACATTCTTGCTGACAGGAATAAGGTCAGAACAGTTTGAGGTCTGACCGTCTGCATAGCACAAGCTCAGCTCAGTGACGCTACAGAAGACCAAACCGCAACCTTCACTTTAACACCAGACTACACACGCAAAAATACTCAATGAGTGTAGAAGCACAGCGGGAGTACAAGGGCTGAGAGGTGAACGGGTGTTTCTGGAAGAGGAGTGAATTTGTGAATTGAGTGTTACACTAAATATTATTCAGAGCTATTGCAACGTTGGACAGTCATGGTTATGTGACATGGTTATGTTTTGTGCTGTGCTGCACCACACAAGAGAACGTATAAACACACAATTATTTATATATATGTGAACACTTGGGGGTGCAAGACATGGTAACACTTTACAATACAGGATGGGGAGTTAATGTTTGCTGATGTATTTACTAACATGATGCTCGCACAGCATTCACCAATCATAGATCAACATTTACTAATGGATTGTTTAGAAATAACATTAGTTAATGCACTGTGCGTTAAAATAAACTAACAATAAATGACTGTTTTCATTTTCTAACATTGACAAACATGAATCCTTTATTAAGATCTTTGCTCATGTTAGTGAATGTTAATTAACATTAACTACAAGTCATGAATTATAAAGTGTTACAAAAACATGTAGGTGCCTATTTGGTTTAATTAGAAACTCACCAAACTTTACATCGATGAGCCAAGCACTTCTTTGGTAGATCTGTCTCCTAAAAGGAGCATCTGTAGACATTGACGGAGATTATAATGCATAGGTCTCAAACTCGATTCCTGGAGGGCCACAGCACTGCAGTTTTGCTCCACCCCTAATCAAACACAGCAGATCCAACTAATCAAGGTGTTTAAAACTACTAGAGACTAATAAGCAGGTGTGAGTTGGAGGTGCAATTATGCAGAGCTGCGGCCCTCCAGGAATTGAGTTTGAGACCATTGTTATAATGTATAACACTTTCAAAGCAAGCGCGAGTGCTTGTTTAACAAGAACTCTTCGGGTTATTATTAATCAAACCTTTCCAAATATTAGAGTATTTACTATTTATTTATGTATTTACAGTCTGAGCTCAGTAATAGATGCATATACACACACAGCTATGGAAAAGATCACATAAAAAGTTTTTCTGGATTCATTAGAGATGGTCTTTTTGAGTAAAATGTTAATATCTGTTTGATTCTGTAAAGTTTGAGGACTTTTCTTTCAAACTTCAAATAAATATGGTCCATATGGTTGCAGGAAATGATAGTCAATGTAATAAATTCATTTTTTAAAAATAGTTTAAACCCTCAAGTGCTTCCAAACCTTTACAAATATTTTCCCCGTTGAACACAAAAGATACTTTGAAAAATGTTAGAAGCCTATAACCAAAACGAACAAATACTATAGAAAGTCAATGGTTACCAGTTTCCAGCATTTTTCAAAATAACTTTGCTCTAGGGAGAAAAAAAACTCAAACAAGTTCGTGTCCTTTGAAATTTGACAGAGTTTTAACTTCCCAGAAGTTAAAACACTGATATTATGTTGCTTAAAAATGTAAAACCTTATTTTAAAAAGTAGAAGAAATGTCATCAGTGGCTTGCAGAAAAAAACAGCATAACCATAAATCACAAATTCAGAAAAAAGTTGAATTTCTAAGCATTTTTTCCCCCATAGCTGTATATTTTATATAATCACTCCACCATTATTGCATGTTTGATGGATGCTCTTAGAGTTTTTCACTCTTGCTTTAAAAGTCTTTATTGTGTAAACAACAAATCAAGGTAACACTTTATTATGATGGTCCATTTGAGTATTAGTAGACTGTCTGCTTAATATCAGCTAATACTGCTCCTTCAACAGACATTTAATTGACTATAAGTAACTTTGCAAGTACATGTCAACTTAAACTAACCCTAACCCCAACCTTAAAGTCTACTTATAATCTAATGAGAATCAGTTGGCATATAGATGCAATGTAACTTAAATTCAACAAACAGACCAACAAAATAAAGTGTGACCCAAATCAATCCAACAAATGAACTATTTCCCTTTAAAACTTTCTCTTTTACTCTTGCCAAGTCAGTGCACATAACAGCAGTAGAGTTTTTTTTCTCCTTTCCTACTACAAATCTATTAAAAGTGATTCAAGAAGTATGAATTCTGCCCACAGGCCAAAACACATGGCTTAAACATAGCTGAGGTTTGGAGTCTTGCGCAGGGATTTGTAGTTTTTCTTTTTCTTCATGTTGTAGTTTTCTATGATTACGGTGATGGTCGCTTAAATCCGTCCACTGAAAGCTCATACCTGCCAAACACACACATTCACCTTCAATTTTATGAAGTTATGGTCACATATTTTGCATAACAATGAAATTCGTGTAGTTAATTTTGAAATGCCATTTTCAGGAAAACTGCAAAATGTAAGAGTTCATATGATTTGTGATTTTACCATTGCGTTGAGCTCTTTGATGGGTCCTCGAGGTTAAATTCAACTATCACCTGAAACACAAACACAATCCAAATTTCCAAACAGTTGTTTATGAGGCATAGACCTACAATATTTCTGATATGGTTTTGAAAAATAATTGTACAAATGGTTTGTTCTCCGGGTGCTCCGGTATCCCTCCTAAACGTCCAAAGACATGCGGTATAGGATAAAGATATGTTACTTTTCACTTAAGCTGTTCAGTAATACAGCTAAACAAAAATAAATAACAATAAATACAAAAAAAATCCATAAATATTAGGCATTGCAATCCAAGTCTTCTGAAGAGATAGGATCATTTTATATGATGATCAGAGTTTATTTAGCCTTTTATTCACATGAAGCTATTGGTCAGCAAACCAACTCAAATCTGGCCATCGAGGCTTAATTTTGGTGCTTTACAAGAATTAACAAGATTCATTCTAATGTCAACAGGCATGGGACGATAACCGTTTTCAAGGTATACCACGGTTTGTCAAGGTTTTAAAACCGGCCAATTTTTCTGTAATACCGTTCCTAAGGTATGTGTAAGATATTACCTTTTTTTTTTTTTTTTTTTTTTTTTTAGGACAACAATATCTCCAGGAGAATCAGCAGAACAGATCTCCAAAGATTTAGTTTTAATTTGTTAAGAAATCTGTGTTTTTGAAACTAATGAAGACAGCAGAAGTCAATGTTTCATTTGAATTAGTTAGCCTGACATGTTTACAGCTACAAAATATATTAAATGTTTCTCAAAATGAAGTATTTTGTGTTCAAAGGGCAAAAAAGTTTTTGTTTTCTTCCCAGACATTTAAAAAATAATATATTTTAGCACAGTAACCACAATACCGTGAAACCTTGATATTTTTATTCAAGGTTATCATCACCGTCAGAATCTTCAGAAACGTCAGCACCAATAGTCTCATGGCCAGTGCAGCAACTGTGCTTTGGGCACCCCAAGATCCAACCCTTTCTTATAGGATATCTTTCCTATCCCAATAAATGCAACCCCTTCCCTAAAACAGCAAAAATAAATCCATATCATATAATTCAATATTAGTTATTAATTGAAAAAAATAATAATAAAGATCCACAGCCATATCACCATGCAGGCCAAGACCAGTTACTCACTGAGACTAACCAGGGCTGAGCCTGGTAAGAACCTGGATGGGAGACCACATTGGAAAACTAGGTTGCTTTTGGAAGTCCATGGGGTCTTAAAAAGTCTTAAATTTTCAAAACAACATTTTAGGCCTTAAAAAGTCTTAAATTCACTGAAATATTGTTTAGGTCTTTGATATTTTTAAACAGGACTTTAATTTCCTCTTTCCAAGTAAAGCTACCAAATCGGGCTGAGATCCATGCAATCATCAACAATCCAGACAGAGCAACATATCCCTATAACAAAACTACTTACAGAAGTAAGGGGGAGTGTTAATAAATAGACATGAAACTTAAGGTTTTATAACAGAAACACATTAGGTTGAATCCATTTGGACCAAAAGCCAACAAATACTGTATATATTTTTGATTAATCATGTAATTTTCTCTGTAATATACTTTCAGCAATGTTAAACTTGTCATTAAAAAAATAAACATTAGGGATGTGACAAGATCTCGTATAGAAGCGTAAAAAGTAGAGGTGTAACCCTGGTGTCCTAGCCAAATTTCATCCATCGGCCCTCCCAATAATCCCCATCCAAAGAATGTGCTCTATGAATGTCTCTCCACTCCACCAATAGCTGGTGTGTGGCGAGCGCACTGGCGCGGTTGTCCTGTGGCTGCAGTCGAATCATCCAAGTGGATGCTACACTGGTGGTGGTGTAAAGACACCCCTCATGATTGTGAAGCACTTTAGGTGTATGGCCATACACAATGAATGTGCTATATCAATACACATTACATTACATTTAAATAAAATACATTTAAATAAACATTTTTAGATGCACAGATGTGCAACAGAAGGACAAAAATCTCACATTTCGCTTCAATATTTTTTATTTGAGAACTGAAAAAAACATCTTATGTGTTTAGAATGATATGATGGTGAGTTGATGATGCAAAAATGATCAATTTGGGGTGAACTAATTCTTTAGGAAACTGGTGAGGTTTGATGAGAAATGTAAGATCAATATTATTAAGAGGATTTGGGAGGTTGTATATCATATAAATCAGAGTTTCTCAACCACGTTCCTGGAGGACCTCGAGCTCTGCATATTTTCAATGAAAAAGTAACCAAACACTCCTGAATCAGATCATTAGCAGAGACAGAAAGACCTGAAATGGGTGTGACAGACAAAGGAGGCATCCAAAACATGCAGTGCTGGTGGTCCTCCAGGAACATGGTTGAGAAATACTGCTATAAATGGTGTGAGGCATGTTACCTTTCCTAGCAGCCCTCTGTGTTTTGCCAGTATTCCTCCTCCATTCTTCACGGCCACATCTAGAGTTCTCTTCTGCAACTCCACGATGGACACTGTGAACTCAAACCTACACAAACACACGTGCAAGCTATTTAATCACATGAAAAACTTGAATTGTTCATAATATACTGCAATCATAGAACATACTGGGAGGTAAAAAGCATTAATAAAACATTTGGTGGGAAAAGGAACTGACGTTTGATCAAAGACGGGGTTCACTGTTTTCTTCGCTGTGCTTGTTTTTCTGCGTCCAGAGCGCCGCTTGTCAGGTAGTAAATACAAACGCACGTATGGATCGGAACCATTTTGAGAAGCAGAGATCAGATTTCTGCAAACAAGAAAAATTCATGCATTCATATTACAAACACCAATTTTTAAATGAATTTTCAGAATAATTTGTACACACAGTAATGAGTAAAACATAAACAGTATAAAGTATTTAAGGGAAAAAAATTGTCTAATTCAAAACAATATTACAATACCACAGTGTGCACAGTTAAGGATAAATAGTAGACTTCTAATCAATGCCAAGACAGGTCAAAGGAATTTCCCAAAGCTTCTGAAATGACTTAAATTTTCCATTTAACATAAGTCCAATCTTTTCCATAATTAAGCTTTCTTTAATCAGTATCCTCCAGTCCTTGATAAGAGGGGTTTCTGTCTTGACCCATTTATTCATAATTAATTTTCTCCCCAGCATCAGCAAAGGTGTTAATAATATCTGAATGTTTAAAAAAAAACATTCGGGGTGTGTGTGTGTTCATGTATTATGGACAGTTCGTCACAAACACCATTTCAAAAATCAGCAATCAAAGAACATTCCCAAAGACAATAAAAGAGATACTATTATTGCATTTTAGACACTGAGCTGAAACAGTGTTATTTGGGGATTTTTAAGCTCAGTGTACAATATTATACTGCATTTCTTTAAATCTGTTGCAGACTGAAATATTCAAGGGTAGTCTGATAATATCATCCCAGACATTTTTGTCAATGTCGCATTTTAAGTTCTTACTCCATGTCTTCTGCAATGAAATCAGATTATACTGGTTTATCATGGAGTCAAATTTTGATATAAAGTGCTTAACTTCAGTATTCTGAAGGTCAAATCTATCCAAAAAGAAATGAGCTATTCAAGGTGAGACTGCCATGTTTAGTAATAAAACGCCTTATCTGCAGATATTTTTTTTACTTTACTTTCTTTATTGTCCGCAAGTGGAAATTTATCTTTGGCTTCACCACACAACCACATCAGTGTTTACATTAAAAGCATCACAGAAAAAACAGGCACCACAAATACATTCAATGTCATCATATATATCACATTAAAAACTCTATTTAAAACCTATACATACTTAGAATCCAGTATTTGAAATTCTAATGACATTTTTCTTTACTTGAGGTTGCCATAAAATGTCTTTTTGATGGCAAGAGCTGAAATTTTATATTTAAGGGATGGGAACAATCTTCAATAATGACGTGTGCTTTCTGCTTAATTCTCATTGAATAAATTTAGTTTGGTTGTCTTTGTGCTTTACCTACAATTGCACTGCCAATTTTTACTACTCGACAGTTTTTGCTTTTCCTTAATTGGGAACAGTCCATACCTTGCAATCATGTTAAAACCCACAACACTTTCAACCAAGTTCTTGTATACCATCTTTAGAACATCTTGACTTACACCATATTGTTGTAACCTCCTAATAAGATATAATCTCTGCATTGCTTTTTAAAAATAAATGCACTGTGCATTTGCAGCAAATGTTAATCCGCTATCAATAACTGTTCCTAAATATTTAAAAACATCCAACTGTCTCCATTTCATGTCCCTCATGGATCAGAGGTTTCAACCCTTGACTAAGGACTAGTTTATTTCTGCTAATTATCATCTCCTTGGTTTTATTAAAATTGATCTCCAGTGAACTCCTTTTACACCAATTTTGAAGCAAATTTATATAATTATAGTACAAGGGATCTCCTTCTGTTCCTGTTATAGTTAACCAGCCAACAAGTGCCATATCATCTGCATATTTAAATAAGTTAAAACCTAAATCCTGGATCTTAAGTTCATTTGTGTAAATGAATTACGCTTTAAATGCTTTAAATGTAACTTCTCAAATGACATGAACAAAACCTCATGAGAGAGATCAGATATCCAGTATATTGCCAAATTAATCCAGCAACCAAATTGAGAGCCCATATAAATATGGTAAAAATTTGTATTACTGATCAATGTGGATAAAATAGGCAGGTTCTGATTGTACTTAAGAGATCTTCTGATCTGCGACCAGGTTTTGATAGCTCTGATAATGAGTGGGGGTGTTGTGAAATAATAAAAAAAAAAAAGATTATAGTTTCAATCTGTTAGTTAAGGATATTTATAATCTAGTTCTCCACAACAGTGACAAAATTAGCATTTAGAAAATATAAAACTGATATAAACATTCAAAGCTTGCAGTTTGTCACTTTCTCACAAATGAATCGTTTTTTCTCCCTTCATACTTCAAGTTTTGCATCGACTCTTGACCAATCAAATACTCTCTAGTATTTAACATGCCCCGCCCCCTTCTCATTTGTTTTTCATTTGATGCGCTTGATCTCAATCACTCTCACAGACACAGCTGTGATAAAATGAAATGCTATTGGCTGTTTTTTAAAGGGGAGGAGCTATTTTATTTCACCCGGTTTCAGTTGAGATTTTGTCAGACATCAAATAAAAATAAATGCATATTTCAACGCACTTCATGGTACCTTTAAGCAAAAACATTTAAAATCTGCATTACATGTTTGTTTACCTGCATTTGTGTACCACGACAATCAGCTTATTTCTTTGGGGACTGTGTCTGATGGTTAGCTCAATTTCACCCAGAGGAGCGAAACCCGGTGAAGCGCCGCTGCAAACACACAGATTACATTGTCAATGTGAAGCTTCCTTCATTTATATTTTAAGACACATCAGCAGCATTGGCTATACTCATGCCAACACTTATACTAAGTATTCAATGCATAATATACAAACATAACTGTTTTAGTAACACTTTAAAATAAGGGTCTATTAGTTCATGTATTTACTAATGAAAACAAAGTATGAATAATTTTGTAAAGCAATTATTAATTATAGTTCATCATTAACTAATGCATTATTAGCCTGCAAAGTTAACATTAGTTAATGCACTGTGAGTTAACAGGAACTAACGTTATTTGACCTCAATAACATTAACTAATGTTAACAAAGATGACTAAATACAGTAATAAAAGTATTACTAATTGGTTGTTTGTTAATCAATACATGAAATAGCATTAACTTATGGGCCAATATTTTAAAGTGTTACCACTGTTTCTTAATAGTCATGCACTGTACAAAAATCATACAAACAACAAAACTTAAAGTCATAAAAAATATTTCAATTTGATCGATGATAAATATTTTAAAATTCCTCCAGAAGACACCCTTTTAAACATTTCCCTTTAAATATTTCTTGAATAAAAACAATGAAAATAGAATGTAAATTCTATTAAAATATATATGATTAAGTGAAAATATATATAGCAAGTTACAAATAGATTTCTCTTCTCCTTTCAGTACATATGAGTGCCCAATTCTACATCTCGTATGTACAGCCTGGTCATTTGTAAATTCAAAACAGTTATTATTTCTTGGACCTTCCTTGAAATGATGTACAGTAAAGTTAAAAAAATTTATTGTTTTACTTCTTTTTCCAAATATATTAAGTGCTGTTTGACAGAGCAAGGAAATGTTTACAGTATTTACTGCTTTTTATTCTCAAAGAAGTCTTTTTTGTTTAGTTTGGCTGGAATAAAAGCAGGCTGTACATTTTAAATTAAAAATTATTAGCCCCAGAGAAACATGTCTATTTTTTTCAATTGGCTACAGAACAAAACCACATTTACCCAGTGACTACAAATAGGTTTCTCTTCCCCTTTCAATAAATATGAGTGTGTAAGTCTTGACACTAACCAGGCACTTTATTAGGTACACCTGTCCAACTGCTCGTTAACACAAATTTCTAATCAGCCAGTCACATGGCAGCATTTAGGCTTGTAGACACTGAAGGGCTACAGCAAATAAAAGATTGGAAAAACGTTGCCTGGTCTCATTTCTGCTGCGACATTCGGATGGTAGGGTCAGAATTTGACGTTAGCAACATGTAAGCATGGATTCATCCTGCCTTGTATCAACGGTTCAGGGTGCTGGTGGTGTAATGGTGTGGGGGATATTTTCTTGGCACACTTTGGGCCCATTAGTACTAAATGAGCATCGTGTCAACGCCACAGTCTACCTGAGAATTGTTGCAGACCATGTCAATCCCTTTATGACCACAGTGTACCCATCTTTTGATGCCTACTTCCAGCAGGATAATGCGCCATATCCTATAGCGCGAATCATTTCAGACTACTTTTTTGAACATGACAATGAGTTCACTGTACTTAAATGGCCTCCACACTCACCAGAGCTCAATCCAATAAAGCATCTTTGGGATGTGATGGAACAGGGGATTTGCATTATGGATGTGCAGCCGACAATTCCGCAGCAACTGTGTGATGCTATCATGTCAATATATACCAAAATCTCAAAAAAAAAAAAAAAAAAAAAACATTACTAGTACCTTGTTAAATCTTTGCCACGAAGGATTAAGGGACCGATCACACCGAACGTGATTTTTGCGTTGAGGGGTGCCTTTTTGAATGATTTACTAATGGCTGCAAGCATTTTGCATGCTGCTTATGCGCCCTGCGCGCCTAGCGTTTTAACCACCTGCTGCACCTTGCGTCTTTGCCCTTGCGTGCTGTGTGCTCGCTTTTGAAAAGAATTAAACTCTGAGCGGAAAAAGCGTGTTACGTCAGATGTGTCTCTTTCAATCTAAAAATCAACTAAAAGTAGAGGCGGGGTTTCTTTTGAGGTGCCTGCACTGTTTGTGTTAACAAGATGGAGAAGACACTTGTGGTTGCTGTTTTGAGTTATCCAGAGCTGTATAAAAATTACAAATGTTGAATATCACAATATTATTAAATATTAAACACTCTCGCTCAATACCCAGCTGATTCATTCATTGCCTAGCGAAAATGCGCGTTCGGTGAAATCAGTTCAAGGCAGTTCTGAAGGTAAAAGGGGGTTCAACCCGGTACTAATAAGTGTACCTAATAAAGTGGCCAGTGACTTTTCATTTTCCAATTGGCTATAGAATAAACCATTTTTATTTAACTTGTCTAATTAACCTAGTTAAGCCTTTAAATTCCACTTTAGGCTGAAAACAACCATTATGTAAAATAACTACAAAAATAAATGGTAAATATTTCAAATAAAATGAGTGATTACAAATGAGTTTTTAAAACTATTATGTTTAAAAATGTGTAAAAAAATGTTCTTTATATTAAACAGCACTTGAACTGAATTTCACAGGAGGGCTAATAATTCTGACTTCAACGGTACATCGCCTGTTTAACTCGACTATTCAGGAAAAAAAAAACATTACAGTATATCATGGTTAACTTGAGATCATATTCCTAAATGGCAGTAAATTGGCCAGTCTATTAAAAACATTTAGTTCTGCATTTGCACTGCCTGAGACAGAAAGACGTAGGCCTGTCATGATATCTATTTTTTGATGTGCAATATATTGCACCAATATATATATATATATATATATATATATATATATATATATATATATATATATATATATATATATATATATATATACGATATTAATATATAACAATATTATTGTAATTTTATGCCACTCATTATATAATGCCAGAATGACAATATAATATCATCACAATGCAAGTACACTCCTCCAAAGAACACATTATATTTTATCATTAAGAACATTTCATTTAATTATAGTCATTTTATAAAATTAAGTAATTTTGCATTGGAATCAGGATGTGAAAACGCATATCCTAAACTAGGGGTCCTGAGGGGCTGGTGTCTTCCATAGTTTAGCTACAACTTCCTTTAACACACCTCCCTTGAAGTTTCTACTATACCTAGTAAAAGCTTGATGAGCTGGTTCAGGTGATTTTAAACGAGGTTGGAACTAATAAATGCAGGACACCGGCCCTCCAGGACCGAGTTTGAACACCCCTGTCCTAAACAAATGAATAATAATAAATGTTAACAAAATGGTGCAAAGTAAAAAGTAACAGAGGCTGCGATATCTGCTACCAGATCTATTTTCAGTTGTCAGACAGCCACATGAAAATATACTATAGAATTTTAGAGTAAATACTACAGCGTTTCTTTTTAACCATACTGACACTAACACCGCCAACAGAGATAGAGATGTTGTGCAATCAGCTAAAATGTTGCTAGAATTGTTTTTTATGTATGGATGATATATATTGCATCCCCAAAAATGATTGAGCTCATGTCCATGTGTTGTGCGATAAGTCGATATATTGATTGTCGTGACAGGCTAGAGAGACGTATAGATATGAATCAACTTCATTCTTTATAATGGCTCTATTTTAGTGTTACAAAAAGTGAATTCATCACAGAAAATAAACACTGATGAAATAAACAGATGCCTATTGCAGTGGTCAAAAGAGTGTAACTTGATCCTTCAAAATAAATAATCTATAATTATGATGTTCTGCCAGTTGGTGGCGACAGGCAATTGCAAACAAAAATATATAATACTACCAAATAAGTTCAAGTCATAAAATAGCGAAAGAATGATCAAGGTTCTCTTATAATTTCAACTAAATCAAAAAACCATGATTAGACAGATATTTAATTGCTGAGACATGCAGAGTTGCCTATTCAAAATTGTGACACGATCATGATTAATATTCTAAACAAAAAAATGATGTCTCCATATTCACCCACAATGCTGCAGCTTAGCCAAAACATGTTAAAAATGTGAACACGTACTTATGTAAATGCTGTATGGTCTTCTGGAGCTCCTGTGTGGCGGCGAGATTGGAGATGTCTGAGGCGATGCTGGGCGTTTGCTCTTTGCTGTTCAGGTGGAGATTGGAGCCAGAAATGGCCAGGTTAGACATGCTCTTGCCTGATTTAGCCAGATGTGGGGGTGATTCCTCCAGCGGTTTGCGGTCTGTTACGGGTTCCACCCGTGGAGAGGGAGTTGGGGTGGGCTGGGTTCGGGGTGCAGGTGCGGGCTGCTGGGTTTTGGATGTTTTTGCAGGCTCTGAAACTGCAGGCCGCTGAGGAGTAGCGTTGGATGTCTTCCTCACAGAGCCGGCCCTGTGGACCTGAGCTGAGGACGGTTTATCTGATGCTGCCAATTTATCCAGAGACAGAATCTGAAATGTACACAGAGATGCCTTGATCACCGATTGATGTTATGCAAAATCATTCAGGGTTTGTTTCTTTTCAAGTCATGCGAGACCGCATTTGTCACAGATGCCACATTGAAGCCATTTATATTTTGGAAAGCGCTATTAAAATAAAACAGAACAAACAACTTTCCAAAAATTCCAAAATTTTTTTTTATTATTTTTTATTTTTTTATTTTAGTTTCAGTTGAAGTATAACTTTATAATTCAGGAATCTACATAGTTAGAGCTACACACTAGTGCTAAAAGAAATCCAACAAAATTCCTTCATTCATTTTCCTTTGGCTTAGTCTCTACTTCAGTGGTCGCCACAGCAGAATGAACCGCCAACTATTTCAGCATACGTTTTATGCAACGGATGCCCTACCAGCCACAACCCAGTACTGGGAAACACCTATACACACTCATTCACAATTTAGCTTACCTAATTCACCTACACTGCATGTCTTTGGACTGTGGAGAAAACGGGAGCACCCAGAGGAAACCCAAACAAACACAAGGAGAACATGCAAGCTTCACACAGAAATGCCAAATGGCCCAGCCGGGACTCGAACCAGTGACCTTCTTGCTGTGAGGTGATAGTGCTAACCACTGAGCCAATGTGCCACCTTCCAAAATAATTATATATATTAATATATGTGTGTGTAAGCGGTGTATATTTATTTTGTATACATAAACACAAAAATGTATGCACATATTTGTGAAAATGTGTATTTATATTTAGATATAGAATATATAAATATGCATGTATATGATAGAAGTTAAATATAAATGTAAATATCTATGTGACAAAAGTTTTGTATAGTTTTGTTTTTAGGCATGTGTGTGTGTGCATCACGTATACATTATAAATATATAAAACTACACACTCTTTATCTTATGTAAAAAGAAACTTTTATTTTGGATGTGATTCATCTGTATTGCAAAATTACTTGAATTTGAACATTTGCTTTTTTTATCTCGATCAATAAAACATTGATTTACAAATTGTTGATCAAAGCAAAAAAACTTTTTTAAAAACTTAAATTTTTTTTTTTTAAGGTTAAAATAGTTAACAAATAAAATAAACATTACCTTAAATATTCAAATTTTCCTTTAATTTAGCCAACTATTAAAACAAACCAAAACTAAAGCAAAATGAGCAAAAACCCTTTCATTAATGGTCATCGAAACCACAAAAAATGATGACATTATTATTATTATTATTACTAGTTATCATTTATTATTTGAATCTTATAACTATTATATTAAATATTAATAATTATTCATTTATCTTCTTCAAGTTATTTATTTAAAAAAATGTGTGTTTGATGTTTGTTACCCTAAGTGCCATCTTCATTTTAAGTGTAGAACCGGGTCCTGAGTTCTTGAGTGGGAATCTCTGACTCATCGTCATCTGTTTCTCCTTCAGCAGCTGAGACAGAGGAAGAGTGATCGTCCCCAGAGAACACTCGTGTTTCTCATCCTTTACCTGTACACGCACGCACACGCACACAAAACATCAGTCTGTGACTCATATCAGAAACATCACTGTGTGTTTTGAGCACTGCAACTGTCAGACCACACTTTATATCGCTATGATGGAAACAAAAGAAGAGTTTGATTCTGTTTCTCTGGATTAACAAATTATACTTGTTCATTAGAGTAAAGCATCTTTTTTTTTCTTTATATAAACTATGGATGGCAATTCTTTTGACATTAAAATATAAAAATTTTTATTAAAATGAGAAAAGATGCCGTGTTTGTAGATGGCTAGTTTTAAACAGCACAATAACAATGTTATTCTGACCAGTTGTCGTTTTCTGAAAACAAAACAAAAAAGTTCATAAAAGAAATGTTATCAAACATAAAAAACACAATCATAACAAAATTACAAACATAAAAATTACAAAATTACAGCAGCTATGCAATCACAATAAAATAACACTTTGCTAGATTTTAGATTTGAACTATTGGAAAATAAGAAAAATAAATACAAATTAAAATGAAAAAGATACATTTAAAATAAATAAATAAATTATAATAAATATTTTATTATATATATATATATATATATATATATATATATATATATATATATATATATATATGGTCAGGAATTTATATAATTAAATAAATATTAACATTTAACATGTAAAACCAGATAAATAGAAGAGATCTTTTCTTTTTTCCCATAGGTGTTTACAGTACACAGCTAGAATGTTTGTGTGTGTATGTGTTAATACATGTGTGTGTGTGTGTGTGTGTGTGTGGTTTACCTCGACTTCGAGGTCTTGACACTTTGGATTGTGGATGAGGAATGTGAAGGTCTCCTCCCAAACCGGCTCAATTGTTTTAAATCTTGTCTGTAATGGAAAGGGAATGTGAAACATTCAGCCGTTAAATATTTAGCAAAAATGAAAACACACAGGCTCTGTTACAAGAATTATACAGCAGTCTTACAAAGACAATTTAACTTTAAAATTAATTTCCTGCAATTATGATTTCCTAAAATTAACTTATGTGAAGGGGGGGCAAGTTGGGCCCTTACCATCATCCTAACTGTCCCACCCTAGCGGCACCCCTGCCTATAAGTATTACTTTTTGCGTTTATTATCGGATCAAATTTCTGCCAAAAGAGAATTAAGAAATTAAAAAGGTGTATAGTATATTATAATGCACAAAAACAAAAAATTAAATGCTGAATAAGACAGTTCACAATGTGTGTAAATCAAAAAATAAAAATAAATAAATTATAATTACAACGCACAAAACTGAAACCATATTTATTATAATCTTAGTGGTCTGCTTGAGGAAGGTCAATTTATTTTTATGCTTTTGATGATGTAGCATTTAACTTATGAGCCCTTTAGACCATGTGCTGGACCGTTTCGCTGTGTTTTGCTAAGTCTTTAAATAAATAAATATTTAGGGCTATTCAATTATTCATGTATTATTTATGTACAATAATTAAGACTTAAAATGAGAAAGTAAAATAGAATGAAAACTGTAAATGAAAGCATAAATGAAAAAGCTTATTTATTGGCTGCCTTAGTACTGTCACTTTAACACCTCTATATTTAGGCTAAAACACTGCTTTATTTATTTGTTCATTTATTTATTTATTTATTTATTTATTTATTTATTTATTTATTTATTTATTTATGTAGGCAACTATGTAGGTTTGTACTTTCATTTTAGTTGTGTTTTTTAGATTTACAAGTTTACAATAATAATAAAGCTTTTTAATGATTAATGAAGGAATTATAATGCTTTGTTTCATTATTTTATCTTCATTTACAAGTGGTAGGGTATTTACAGCTAATATATTTCTGGATTCCGGATTCCTCAGTTCCGCGGCAGTGCCACACACCGTGGTAATAATCCTTTTGAAGTGTCACCCACTGTTTATATTTACAAATGGTAGTTCCACCAAAGCCCCTGAGGTGAAGGCGGCATGGGAGGAGGTCCAGGGCGTAGGTTTGCTCTTTGGTGGGGACCTATGAACCATCTATGAAATTTGACATGCTGGCCTACTCTGAGAGATTAGGAGAACTGACAGGGATCAGATTATTTATACTTTTACATTTAGCAGCTTATTGTGCAGTAGTTTTCAGACCATATTATTTACAGACTACATCAGCCTGTTATAACATTAGATTGTCAAAGTGGGGAAAAAACACTATCATTAATGTTACCATTATTGTGATGGACTTTTTCAGTAGCAAACTTGAGTATGTGACTTACACTTTTTTAAAAAAACTGCCACCATCCTTACTTCTGTGCCACCCACCTCACACACCTTAATCTAGCACAGGACACCTCCCCTGCACAGTTTTGGTGCAGTTACATCACATGTTACATGTCACAGCAGGAAAATTGCAATGTTCATATTGAGTTTTGGGGGCAGAATGACTTGAGTAGAGAATGTGATTTAACCCTATGGCCAGGATAATGTTGACAGCGTGATTTTTTTAAAGTGAATTAAATCATTGGTGGAGACCTTTCAGTAGTCGGTGGATATTAGTGAGGAGATGTCCCCTCCGTCCATGCTTAATCTACGCCCCTGGAGGCGATAATGGTTTTAATCCTTTAATTTTTCATATTTCAATATATTTGTGTATTGCTGTACATGTGTATGTGCGGTTTGACAATGCATAGGTGCATAACTAATTTGAACTATGCTGCCATTGACTTTAGGACAGCTTTTTGATAAATGATGTGGTCTATTTCAATTGACTCAAAATAGCAACTTGCCAACAACGTGCCTTAACACACCTCCTTTTCAGACCAGCACGCCCACGAGTGTACAATGTGTCGGAAATGCATTTGCTATATAAAAATCATATAAAACATAAAAATGATACCTGCGCTGGTCTGAAAATAGCAAAAAATAACTTGTGCCAGAGGTATAATAGGGCCCATAATTTTTCAAATTGCAATATTATTCACTTTTTTTGCCACATTCTGCTCTTGCATTTCCAAAATATACCATTTAAGTTTCTTTAAATCACAATGGGCTTCAGCATTGTCATTGGTCGACTAGTTGAGATTAACAGCAGCTGCTCTAGCCAATCAGTCAAAAGGGGAGTTGACGTCACTCAGACACCCATCCATGCTTTTTTTTTTTTATTTACGCTTGTGATTTTGTAATCTGTGACTGCAACTTTTGGCAGAAATTTGATCCCATATATTATTAGTGCTGATGAAATGAAAATGCTGGATGTTTGGTTTCTAAAACACATTCTGAGAGTGGTTGGCCAATCACAAAGGACTGGGCAATCGTTTGAGTAGAGTAGACTCTCAGAAAGAGGTTTAAAAAAACCAGAGGCTTAAAAAAATGCTTTAGACCCTGAGAGGAAAAAGCTGAAGCAGAAATGTACATTATGCAAAGATTTAAGTATAGTTTGACTGAAATAATTAAAATCTATAGTAGGAGAACTCCAAAACTAAATAAGGGAAATTATTATGCCCGAATTAGGCAACAGCATAACAATTTCAATGATTATTTTCCATTGTTACATTTGGACCTGTAAAATTCACATACTGTAGTATGCTATTCATCGCTGAAATGAAAGGCAGATGAAATTAAATGTCAGAGAGTTTACCTTGCTTTCAAACGATCTGTGTCCGACAGTGAACTGGACGAATGGATTGGGCACACTGGTGACCTTTTTTCCAGACTGAAGAGAACAAAAACATTATTGAGAACACTTCCACATGTAAACGCACAGTACTAAGAAGAGTATTAACCTGGACTTGATTTAAATCAAACAATCAAAGTGTCAACGCAAATATGTAACCAGCTGGAATACATATTTACCTACTAATGACTTGAAATTATACTATGTAAACATACTCAACATCAGCTTGCTGTCAGTTACTATATAATACACTTATAAAGGAAAGTTTACAAAATGTTTATTGTGTGATTATCGTATAAACAACATATGAACTTCACGTTTTAGTTTTACTTTAAAATATTATAGGTGTTTATTTTGCTAATAAAAAATTCTTTTAAAATGCTTTTGATTTTACAAATACAAAAGAATCAAAATGATTGACTCTGGTAATCAACAACTATAGAAAAGATATAGAAAAATGTCATTAAATAAATGCTGAAATATTTCAAATATCCCATAAATGAAAATAAAAAAACAGAAGCATCTTCCTCTCAATAAAACATCATGAACAATATTAAGATCAGGACTTATGAGTCAAAGAGATGTGGGGGTCTGCATCAAACAAAATGAACCAATGTGATTTTTTATAGATATAAGAATATTCATAAGTAAGGATATTGAATGCAAGCGTAACATTCATTCAGTGTAACAGATATATTTATGTAAAAATCAAACAACATACTTATTCTGCCCTATGCTTATTATATAAAATATACAAAGGAATAAGCAATGAAAATCGTATTTTATTTGAAATTCAAATGTTTCTTGGTGACAAAAGTATAAAACCCAGAGATTTGAAGGACTGTGTCAAAGTATAAAGATTTTGAGTGACAAAATAGTATATTGAATGTGACTTTATGTAAGCTTATAACAACTGTTATTAAATGTCATTCGCTCAGTTATTCATTTCTTTCATTCATCTAACTCTGTTATGTCATTATAAATGCAAAGATGAAACTGTTTGTTATGACAACTTGACGTTAAAGACAACATAATTTGTTATATATGTGTCATTAACATGATTGTCATGAGGCATTATAATTGTACCATGAATATTCTGATCATATTGGAATAAAATGTACAGGTATTTGTCTTTAAAATGTCTCAGTAAAAGTGTCATTTACTCTAATAATAATAATTTTATAAGAGCATTATTAATATTTAATTACATTTTACAGACAAATTTAGCTTGTGCCACTGTAGCTGAAGTAAAAAAATATATATATTTATGACAGTGTTATGAAATTCATGATACGTTTATAATGGCTTCATGACAATTATGTTTATGGCAGATTTATGACAAATTCTGTAATGTCAAGTTGTCATAACAAAGACAAAAACTGGTTGTCATGTATTTGTTTATGTCATTATAAACAACAAACAATGTCATCTTTGCATTTAAAATTATATAACTGATCGAATGACACTTTAAGACACGTTAAAAGCATACATAAATCTCATTCACATTCATGAGGTGTCATGTCATGATTATAAAGGATCAATGACAGTCTTATGAACACTCCAGGTAAAGCGTTTGAGTCAAAAACATTTTTTTTGGTTGGGTGGTGGGGGAGAGGTGTAGCAATATAAACTATTGTTCCACTGTAGGCATCTTTATGATTGTCCTCAGTAAACCATGGTACTTTTACACCTCTTTGTAACAGAAATAAACAAAAATCTATGCATGTAAGATCATACGTATACAAGTTTGATTCTTCAATTTCTCGAATCAAACGTAATCAATGCAGATTTACCAAAATGAGATTGAAAAGCTGAGATTTAAATGTGCCACACACAGGTCTGCATGCAGTTAATCAAAGCTCAAAGGCAGCAAATAAAACACACTGCAGTCCTATCTTACACTCCAAGGGTCCTTCTACTCTACATCTTTCTTTATGTATGTGTGCATGTAAATGTGTGTTTGAATTATGAGAAAACTGGTTACCTTTACGGCTTTATTGACTGCACCCTTCTTCAGACCTGCACTGTTGAATTCTAAAGGATTGCGCTTATTTCCCCAAGCAGAAAAAGATGACACAAACACACACACACACATTCAAATACAAACACAGGCAGGATTGTTAGAAGGATTCATGCAGAGTTAAATTCATAATAGCACAAAAAAACACACAGACATCCTTCCTGGATTAATCATTCATTCATTCATTCATAACACAACAACACGAGTGATGATGGTTACAGAATGAATGCCTTTTTAAGTTGATGACTTTATAATATGAGTTTATCCAGGGTTTCTACAGGCTTCACAATATAAAATTTAAGACCTCTGAAGAGCTTTTAAAGACCAGTATGAGGGACAGCTTAGACTTATACAGGCCAAAATGCTTTTTCTAATGGCCAGTGGCAAAGATTTTTACCTGCCCCATCAAAATAATTCAAAATTTAGTTACTTCGTAGTTACTACATTTTAAAAATTAAAATAAACTAAATTAATGCACAAGACATTTTAAGACTTTAAGATCCAGAGGACAACCTATTATATATAGGAATGTTCAAATGATGAAAGCAGATCATTCATTTGTGTGGAAGAGACGAGGACAAAATGTGTGAAAGCAAGTATGATGAAAATGAATTACAGAGAAATACAGAGATGGCAATCCAAAGAGAATCAGTCCAACTCACACTTCACTGAAAATCAATCAAACCGACTGTAAAAGTTGATTGTGGAAACACATACAGGATGCCGGCATTTACTTTATCACTCTCATCAACGGATGAAGATGATCAAATGAGGCATGAGCTGATAAATCCACTGTTATACAACAGTTATTTATGATCTTCAAATCTGATCTCATTTTATAAGGGATGATATTGAATAATAATAACACTGGGGCTTTTTATTGTTTGGTTCTCGTTTTGTCTGAACTAATTGTTTAAAAAATAAAACAAAAAGTTTATTATTTATGTCTTTATTTATAAAACTGTTGTATAAAAGCAATATGGTAAGAGACTGATCTCACAGCCATGCAGAACAGCACTATTGAGTGACGTTGTATCATTTGAATGTCTTTTATACAGTGAAGTGCAGAGTGGGACTCGTTCTATTCAACATGCGCCCAAAATGACTTTTATACACCTCTACCTCACACCTCAAAACACACTAATAATAAAAAGTTTTTTAATGCTCCTGAAATGACTTGCTGCATTTATTTGATAAAATTATAGCAAAATACTACATAAAATAAATAATATAAAATAAATTACATAAAAATAAATAGAAATAAATAAACAACCTAAAATTCTAAAGTAAAAATGAATAAACACATAATTGCAATGTAAGATCTAGAGTTATTACTATTTTGAAATTCAAAAATACAGTAAAACATTGCATAAAAAAATAATGAAATAAAATAAAAATAAATAAATAACCTAAAAACATTAATGATGAATTATTAAAATATGTAATCAAAGGTTATTATTAATATTATTATTTTGAAATTCAAAAAATAGTAAACTAATACATTAAAAAATTCAAAAATAATGATAAAATAAAAATAATAAATAAAACAAATAATAATAATCACAATGTAAAATCCAGAGTTATTACTATTTTGAAGTTTAAAAATATAGTAAAATACTTTATTAAAAATTTATGAAATTAAATAAATGCAATTAATTAATTAATTAAATAAATAACCTAAAAATAAAAAATAAATATAATGTATAATAATAATGTATAAAAATAATAATAATATATATATATATATATATATATATATATATTAATACGTGAATGTTTTGTCATGCCAATAAGGCAAAGGTAACTGAAACTAGCAAAACTAAAAATAGGACAATAAACAATTTACACATTTATATAAATTTCATCCAAAAAAAACAAAAAAACAAACTACTAAAAGTTGAATTAAAATTATTAATAATAATAATAATAATAATAAATTATTAGTAAAAACTACAAAGCTTTACAATACTTTTCTTAGTACTTATACGATACTAAGACAGCACTGACCAAACCTCATCTCACAATCAAAAAATCCAAATTAAAAACGATTGAATTTCATATAATTGCATGATTAAAATAAAACACTGAGTAAACAACCTTTAATTCACCAATTTGATCTCTGTCTCCTTTGGTATAATGTCATTTCATAATCCATTTTTGCATATTTCAATTATTTTTCTTCAACATATTTCAACATATGTTGTCATATCTACATGGAACATTATGATTTTGATATGACATAACCTCATTTTACACATTGAACAGGGCTGAAAGGCCACATTCTGCTGCTGTGTAAACATAACCCAAAAGATTTCCCTGAACTGCCTCTGACGCTCTAAATTCAAATGCCTCCTTTAAAGGAAAACGACGTTGTGAAAACAGCTGCACACCCAAAAAATGACTGCATTAACACCACTACACACTAACTATTTATATCAATGCAAAACACAGGCAGGGCAAATCTGTAAACACTAGCATGCTAACAGGAAGAGCCACACAACATAAACAAATACAAACAAAACAGTCTTCAGAGATCAAGCAGGAGAACAAGAAGGTTTTACATGCGAAAGGAAAGCCGAGATGTAACTATGAAATATTTGTGAATTAAGGCAAGACACTGCAGGTAAACAGGGTTAAAAAATCTTGAAAAAGAAAACATCACCATGCATCTATCTATCTGTAACAGGGCCAAATCTATTCAACTCTGAATCGCTCATAGATTACACATCACATCACTTCTCAGAAGCAAGTTTGACTTAAGTAATGCCAATAACCAATTGTGTTAAATGTAAGGTGGAAGTGGGAGACTACACCCTACTATTATGGAATTGACCTGTTGTTAGTGCTCATTGGTCAAAAGTTGCTACAGTTGGATCCATAGTCTTTGATTTTAGGTCTTCCAGTTAGACATTTGCCTGACAAAATCACTAATTGTTTATTTGGCACTTTAGCCACCAGGAAAAATATACAGATAAACTGGATCAGTGACAAACCTCCATGCTTGAAAGGGTGGCACAAAATTATTAGAGAAATGATTGCCTTAAAATTCCTTTCCTGTGTAATTCATATGTCCACTGAGGCTTTTCATTAAGTCTGGACTCCTTACTTGGAATTTACAGATGTTTCTTCAAGCTGTATTTTGAGTTATGGTATGTCATAATTGAATTTATTTATTTTATATTACTATTATTTTATTTGTATACATTTTACTTCACAGCAAAATTCTCTGAGTAAAATGTACTCAGTTCAGAGAGTATTTGGTTCCTCTTTAAATAAAGGCAAACTATTGGTAATAAGTAAAGCTGCTATTTGTGGAGTTGCTTAATGATCCTCTGCTGAGATTTTGAGAGATTCAATGTATTATATTCCAGCTGATTTCGTCTAAGGCTGTGACTGAAGTCAGTAGTAGTTTTGTGTTTCTGTTTTATAACAGTACGTGTTCATCATCAGTCCTCAATCATTACCTTATTAATCCTTTCATTGTCTTTTTAACTTGAGCAACTTTAACTTAATTTAGATAGGGACCAAATACTATCTAAACTGAGTACATTTTACTCATAGGATTTTGCTGTGTTTTGTTTATTTATTTACTTATTATTACTTTTTTATTATAACTATTTTATTATTTATGAACATGTATGTATAATTTATTTTTGCCTTTCTTTAGCATTGCATTGTTAAAATAAGCATTGTGTATTTGTTTGTTTCAATGTGTTTTGTGATCACTAGTTAAAATGTTAATAAAATATGCAATAAAAAAAGAATTTGTTTTTTTTTAGTATTAATTTTTTTTAAATGTTATGTTTAAATATGCAAATGAACTTTTATCACATCAAAAATGTGCTAATTTGCATACATTTCTAGCACAGAAAAATCTCAGATTCAAAATAGGTTTCATTTTGACAGATAAGCGTTTGTTTTAATGTTTTAGTATATCAATCAACATATTTTTTTCTATATCGAGAAAAAACAACAGCTAACTTTTAAGAAAGCTGCCATTAAAAGCATGTATTATAATTGAAATCTACAGAAACTAATTCATAAAATCCGGCAAAAGAAACACTTTTTAAAACAAAGTCCACGCTTTGCCATGTCCATGTTTGTTGATGTACTTACAACTAAAACGAAATATTGAGCAGGGGGTGGAACATTTTGCAAATCATTCCCTCATAGCAAACTAACAGTAAGAGGGTATTAATATGCAGTTGCTATGGAAGCCCTTGTGTCACCGTCATCTGAAGTACCATCACTCCAAAAGTGAAAGGAAATGATCAGACTTTCGTTGAAGATTATAAAAAAGTTATAATAATTTTAGTGGATTAACGTGCATGGACTAATTATTCGTCTTCATTTCTCCTTTACCTTTGTTCACCTTTAATTTCTTAACTCACCATTTCTCGAAGGTCAGCTGATCAGCTGTTCCTGATAGTGCCAAAAAAACGAAGAGTAACCTTAGCGAGGGATTGTGCTTTTGCTGTGGTAAGAATGATTTGCCTCTGCCCATTATGGCCCGTTTCCACTGAGTGATACGATACGGTACGGTTCAGTACAGGTCAGCTTTATCAGGCTTGTGTCTCCACTGCCAAAGGGTACCAATGGTACATTTTGATGGGTGTGGTGTACGACAGAAAGTTTTAGTCGACGTCATTCTCGCTATAGGAAATGTCTACAGTAAAGCTGTAAATGTCGTTCACATATCATATGAAGCACTTCTCACAACACAGAAGCTTTATACACATGAATACATGTGTATAAATGTTCATTACTAACTTTTCTAAGAACATGATTTGATTATAAATGCAGATCAATGATGTGTGAAATAGCCTACAGAAATTTCTGCAATTACATAAAATTAATAAATGCAACATACTGTATATAGACACAAACAGACCCTTACAGTCTCTGATATGTTACAGATTACAGGAAATCTACACACAACATACATTTAGTCCTAATTTGGGTTCAAAAACAACACAAAATATACATGTGCACAGTCAGCACATGTAACCTGTTAGAAAGTAATTCCGTCATTCTGAGTTTATAATAGTCCAAACGATGATGATAATAGTTAAACATGGCAGTTTGTTAATCTTTTAGGTTGCTAAAACAATCATTTTGGTCCTTTGTTTTTTTTTTTTTTTCAGGCTTCTCCTTTGTTTTTTCGTGCTTCACTCTCATGTTTGTCCGTTTCTGAAAGGATCAGATGTCAGAAGCACTAAATAAATAAATAAATAAAATATAGACTCGCACACAAGCTCTCTGGAGAAAGTGAAAAGCCTGTGCTTTTAGACAGCCTCGTAAACAACAACAGGTTTATTTGAGCTCGGTTCGACCGTGGCTTGTTATTATATGTACAGTTGAAGTCAGAATTATTAGCCCCCCAGAATTTTTGGCCCCTTGTTTATTTTTTTTCCCTATTACTGTTTAACGAAGTGATTTCTTTAAACACATTTCTAAACATAATAGTTTTAATAACTCGTCTCTAAGAACTGATTTATTTTATCTTTGCCATGATGACAGTAAATAATATTTGACTAGATATTTTCAAGACACTTCTATACAGCTTTAAGTGAAATTTAACTAAGTTAATTAGGTTAACTAGGCAGGTTAGGGGAATTAGGCAAGGTATTGTAAAACGATGTTTTGTTCTGTAGACTATAGAAAAAAGAAATAGCTTAAAGGGGCTAATAATTTTAACCCTAAAATGGTTTAAAAAAAATAAAAACTGCTTTTATTTTAGCTGAAATAAACCAAATAAGACTTTCTCCAGAAGAAAAAAATATTATCAGACTTACTGTGAAAATGTCCGTGCTCTGTTTAACATCATTTGAGAAAATATTCAAAAGAGAAAAACAAATTCAAAGGGGGGCTAATAATTCTGACTTTAACTATATTTATATTATGGTGTAATGTCTTGGCTGTGTTTTTAAAAATGGCTCTTGCTTTGTTTTCATTCTCCTGGCTAGTGCACGAGCTAGTGACGTACTGTATCTCTGTAAACCAATAGCGTTCAGCTGCGCATTTCACTCTAACTTTTGGTACCCTTTTGTCGTGCTAGGCACCCTTTGGAAAGGGTACCCAAAAAAAGGTTACTGTACGGTTTACTTTTTGGTACTTTTTGACAGTGGAAATTAACATAAAACCTTATTGTACCATACCACTCAGTGGAAACTATTCGTTATGAAACTCAGTGTCCATTAGTCAGGCCTCCTCTTTGTTTTAATTTAAATCAGCTCTTAAAACTTTTTTTTTTGTCCTTTGACTTCTGATATTACTAACTGACTATTTTAATTTCTGTGCATCTTTAGGTAGTTCAGCTATATTTTACCTTATATTTTATGTATTTTTTTATAATATTATTTAGTAGTATATTGTCTGTACAGCACTTTGGCTCACTTCTGGTTTTTTTAAAGTGCTTTATAAATAAAGTTAGACTTAACTTGACCTCATCAATGTGAGCTAGCAAAATTAACATAGTAAATTGTGATTTTTAACTTGTAACATTTTTTTTTTACATTACACTAAAAAAAAAACACGATGAAGAGACAAAAAGCCCAAAATTACAGAATTGACAGATACATGAATAAAAATGATGTTTTTGCCTGCATTGTTTTGCCTTTAGAAGTCAATGCAGTTAATGCAGATCAAATACAAGAAGCACACTAGAATGGGAAAAGCCAGCAGAGAAAGAGAGAAACTCACAAACATCGTCCTGTAGAGGGCAGAAGTGTTTTCACAGAACACCAGGCCAGCAGAGCGGCGCTCTCTCAGACACCCACTGCCCACCTGCCCCTCAAAAACACCCTTCACCACAGCAGAATGACAGAGAGAAAGAAGGAGACAGAGAGAAAGAAGGAAACAGAGAATCAAAGAAGAAAAGGTCAAAGCAAGAGTAGCAGAAGAAGAACTCACATCAACTGAAAGAGGGAAAGTGAAAGAAGCCAGACTGAAAGGAAGCTCTTTCTTTGTGTGTTTGTGTGTGTGTGTCTGTATGTTAAGCTCACTGGCAGATTTTTGGCTGAGTCCAGGTGCACTAGCAGTAATGCTGATGACAGTCCATCGTTGGCCTGTCCTTTATCTGCTTTAATGCTGCTTAAAACCTGAAAAGCAACCCATAAAGCATTTGTCAGTGCCAGCTGTGTCTGTGTCTGTGTCTGTGTGTGTGTGTGTGTGTGTGTGTGTGTGTGTGTGTGTGAGAGATTGATTTACATTGTGGGTATTTGCCTTTATAAAGAGGCATATTATTGTGATCCTTTACAAGCAATAAGTCAAACATTTGGGCTTAAACATTATTTTGCTGTTGGGATTTTCATTCAGCTATTTGACATTAAAAATTAAATTAAAATACATAAAAATAAAATAAAAATAAAAAATTATATTATTCAATTCAATTCAATTCAGCTTTATTTGTATAGCGCTTTTACAATGTAGATTGTGTCAAAGCAGCTTCACATAAATGGTCATAGTAACTGGAACAGTGTAGTTCAATTTTTTAGTGTTTAAGTTCAGTTCAGTTCAGTTTAGCTCAGTTCAGTGTGATTTAATCATTACTTTAATCATTAATCATTATTAAATTAATAAAAATAAATAAGTTAAAATAAAATAAAGAAATTAAATTAAATTTGAATTAAATTAAAATAAACAAAAATAAAACAAATAAATAAAATGTAAAAATTTTAATTAAATTTTAAAAAGTAATAAAATAAAATTAAGTAAAAATAAAAATGAATTAATTTAATTAAATTTAAAAAAATAAAAATAAATTATTTAAAATAAACTAAAATAAAAAATCTAATTAAATTAGAATAAAATTTAATCTAATTAAATAATTACAATTTAATAAAAATAAATAAAATGTAACAATAAAGTAATTTATTAATCAAACAAAAATAATTAAATAAAAAAATTAAAATAAATGAAAGTAAAAATATATACAAATAAATTAAATAAAACTAAAATGAATCAAAATAAAATAAAATAAATACAAGTTTATTGAGCAGAAAAAGTGATAATATTATAATTTCTAAAGGCTCATGGAACACTGAAGGCTGGAGTAATGTTGCTGAAAACACAGCTTTCACATTTTGTTTGTTTCAGAAATTTGATCAAGCAAATACTCTTTTCAGTCTTAAAGAATAAAAAAAAAATACTTACTGAACCCAAATTTTTGAACATTACAGTGGATTTGTTATCAGACAGAACTGGTCTTAACGAATAATCAAAGTCTTAACGAATCACTATGATGTGTATGTTGGGCTGTTTTGTTACCTCATCAAGTTTATCTGGTGTTGGGTGAAGAGAAAGCCATTCAGCCTTCACGTGGAGCTTTCCGTTAGGAACACCGATAAGATCAAACCACTAAAACACACATGCACAGGCACACACCCAAGAAAAAAGGGCAGGGATTTATATATAAATAAGCTTTAATTCAAAACTTGACACTTGATATTACCATTGCATTAATGGGATAGTGGAAAATGCTTTTATTCAGTAATACATCCTATGAAACCACATTTATTTAACATCAGTATGTTGTATCCATCATGCTGACCATTCCCTTGAAAATAAAAATAGTGATTGAAATCTACTATAGGTTTTTTCTTTTTTTCCACTGCATGGTGCACTAAACCTTGTATCACTTCAGATGAGGTTCCAAGTGTGCCATACGGTTACTAAAACATGACATATACATACATCTGATCATCGATTAGCCAGAAAGTATCATTAGATTTGAAACATGAGACATCAAATCTGCTATATTTGGTTAGTAGAAGCAGTCCACACTAGAGCCCTGCATTAGAGCCAATTCACGTCATAGCTAGCACGCATATCAGGCTTCAGGTCTGCATTAGAAAAAACTTTGATTGCATGCGGTCCGGAAGCGCAGGTTTTCAGCCACATACAATAAAGAACAACTGCCAATGGCGAGCTTAAAACTAGCAACTTCTGGTCAACTTCTTAAATGGTGACAACTTAAAATGATGAGCCAACTGATTATGCACAATGCACAACTTGTAAGTCCAGAGGTGCCAGCTGGATTTTATTCCAATTATGCATAGATCCAGCACTGCCTGCCTCATTGTCCCTTATTCTTATTTCAATCTCAAGAAACATTGATGCTTGTTCTCAAAGGCTACATTATTTAAGACTATTCGTTATGACATAATTTTTATTTACACACACACCTTTATTTACATAGTTTTTTGCTTTGTCAATATATTGTAGTGTACACCGTTTAATAATCAATTTAGATTATGTAATAAATAAATAAAGCTGCATTAATTCACGCCCTCTCATGGTAGGTACGTGCAGTGCATACAGCGGTATGACTGCAGGTGCCACCGGGTTAAATTGAGTAAACTTACTGTGGAGCACAGGGGTGGCCAATCCTGTTCCTGGAGAGCCACCTTCCTGCAGATTTCAATTGCAACCCATAATCAACACACCTGCCTGTAATTATCACGTGGTGTTTAGGTCCTAATTAATTGGTTCAGGTGTGTTTGATATGGGTAGCAACTGAAATCTGCAGGAAGGTGGCTCTACAGGAACAGGATTGGCCACCCCTGGTGGAGCACATACCGCTTAAAAAAATCTACGTCACTTAAACTAAATCCTACATTTAAGCAAACAAACAATAAAAACTATAAACCAGGCGTGTCCAAACTACGGCCCGCGGGCCATCTGCGGCCCGCAATCAGTTTTGTGGCGGCCCGCGAGGCTTTTTATAAATATCAATAGAATCTGGCCCGCTATACAAAAATGAACGTAATTCAATAAATAACCACCGGGTGTCGCTATTACATGCATTCAATTAAGCAGCAGTTCTTGTTATGATCTATCTATCTATCTATCTATCTATCTATCTATCTATCTATCTATCTATCTATCTATCTATCTATCTATCTATCTACACACAGTTGAAATCTGAATTATTAGCCCCTCTTTGATTTATTTCTTCTTTTTTAAATATTTCCCAAATGATGTTTAACAGAGCAAGGACATTTTTACCGTATGTCTGATAATATTTTTTCTTTTGGAGAAAGACTTTTGTTTTATTTCGGCTTGGATAAAAAGCGGTTTAAATTTTTTTATGAACCATTTTAAGGTCAAAGTTATTAGCCCTTTAAGTCTTCAGAACAAACCATTGTTATAAAATAACTTGCCTAATTACCTTAACTTAACTAGTTAACTTGATTAACCTAGTTAAGCCTTTAAATGTCACTTTAAGCTGTATTGAAGTGTCTTAAAAATATCTAGTCAAATATTATTTACTGTCATCATGGCAAAGATAAAATAAATCAGTTATTAGAAATGAGTTACTAAAACTAATATGTTTAGAAATGTGTGGAAAAAAAATCTTCTCTCCGTTAAACAGAAATTGGGGAAAAAATAAACGGGGGCTAATAATTTAGGTGGGCTAACAATTCTGACTTCAACTGTATATATATATATATATATATATATATATATATATATATATACACACATATATATATATATATATATATATATTAGGGATGTAACGGTATTGTAAATACCGTCATACCGCAATATTAATTTTTTTCGATATTACCGAAGTCGCATGACTCGGTAAAACTATAGGTCTTCTGAGAAAATTTGCTCAGGCGAATAAAGCGAACGGAAGGTAACGAAAACTACAATTGCCATCAGCCCATGCTTGACCATCATCCCTTGCGGTCTGTTGTTGCTACAGATCCAGTAATGCGGAAATGGAGTGTGCTGCTAGAAGCGGGGATGAAAAGAGCTGGAAAACTCTAAAGCAGGTCGCACACCAGAAGCGCCGCTCGGCGCCGCGACACGGCGCGTACATGACAGATTAAAGTATCGCACACCAGACGCGCACATTCGAATGATATTTAACATGAAACTAATCAGATGGCGCTCTGTGGCGCGGCTGAAAAATGAATTGCGTCCTGAGCCGTCGCCGGGCGCCGCTGACAGCCGCCGACTTGCGGCGCCGGAGTGTGTATCCTGATAGAAACCTATGATTAGAATTCTAAAATACGTGGCGCTGCGCGGCGCGCCACCGAGCGTCGCTTCTGGTGTGCGACCTGCTTTACACGCACAGTTCAGTCCTGCATTATCTCCGTGTAAGTTCAGACTTCGCAAGTTTGATCAAGGCTGCATTCTCTTCTTCTCAGTTTGATATGGAAAAGCAGATTATACCGAGGACACGGGTAAATCTTCAAAGGGAACAGTGTACTTTATAACTTCATTCACATCACCCTGGCTTCGTTGTTTCACTTTCTCAACAATAAAATGTAAACATGATTTAAGGAACTGCCTATTTTCATTTTAATATTAGCAACTTAGACAGCAGAAATGTTGAGGCGCCGTGCTGCATGAGCGTCATCTTCACTGTGTGGATATTTATAACAAAACGGAGCCGATAACAACTGCCTCCTTTCAATTTCAGTGAAAATACGAAACACAGCCTCTCTTTTGCTGAGTATCAGTTTTAAGAATCGATAATGGCCATTTTAAAAGTATAACATACAATAAGTTTTTACATTATAGGAAATAAAGGCAAGCGATCAGTCAATATACAGAATGTACGTGGTTACATTAATCATTAACTTATCTTTGCGCTCAGCCAAAACACGTTACCTGAGAACAAGTAATAGATTCCAATGCCCAAAGTCAGGGAATATGTCGTTAGATAAAGACAACAAGATAAATGAAATATCCCGTTTAATAAATATAGTGAGATTAGATCCAGCGGGAGATGCTTGATGAGAAGTCCGACTAGCAGAGCTCTCATCTGGGTAGATGGGCTGAGTGTGATTAAATGTTGAATGTGATGAGTTTTCAACAATACTAAATTGAAACTTTATTTTTTTACATGGTTTAATAATTTTTTGTTATTAAAATTGAAGTTCCTGTTTCAAAGCTTACAGATAGATGGCTAATTTGTATGTCATTGACACTTTTGGCACTTTTTTGGAGTATTTTCATAAGTTTTGTTTTTTCCTGTAAATGATTCAATAAATACCGTACCGTGACATTCATACCGAGGTATTACCGTACCGTGAAATTCTGATACCGTTACATCCCTAATATATATACATATATATATATATATATATATATATATATATATATATATATATATATATATATATATATATATATACACTTGTCTGTGTGATGTATGTAAAATTTGGCCCGCGACAACATTTGTTTTTTTTGCATCTGGCCCTCGGCCCAAAAAGTTTGGACATCCCTGCCATAAACGTTTCTCTAAATTACACTGATAAAAAAAAACAAAAAAAAAAACACCAAATTTAGATTAAATAAAGATCTGGTCTGTTTTAATGGCTGTAACATTATAAGTTTGTCGAGAAAAAAAACGGGCTTTGGGTCAGACTCGGGCCAGAAGTTTTGATGAGCTGGTGGGCCTGTGCGTCTCAGGCCAGGGCTAGGCTAGGGCTTAGATTTAAGGCCATTGCAGGGATTTAGTCCAGAAGTTCCTCTCTTTGCTAGTCAAAGAGCAGATTCAGCAAGAGCTGGATTATACCACCCGAAATAAATACGTTTTTCACAGAAGTAGAGGTGCAAGTAAAGTGATAATCCCACCCACTTTAAGCAGAACTAAACTGCAGTGGAAAACAAAATCAGGTTGAAGCGAGCCAAGACGACTGGTATAGTAGGACTGTGAGGGTGATGAAGTTTTCCCCACTGTTTTACTGACGTGTCTCAACACAGGTAATACCGGTATCACTGAGGGTGGAGCACTTTGAAATACTTTAAAAATCCTGCGTGCAGTGTACTTTCACTTTCAAATTAGTGACAATTGGGCATCACATGCTTTTATCGACAACAACAAAAAAAGAACAATAACAAACTGATATCATCAAGACTTTAAAGCTTTATTATTTATTTAAATCTGATTCTCAACAGCAGCCCCTCACTTTAGTCTCCTTGTTCTCTTACGCTGACTGTGTGCTCACCTGTTGAGTGTACTTACGAATGTACTCACTAGTATACTTGAGTAAAATACTAACCATATGATCAAAATACAGCGGCTGACATTAAAATACACCAGTTATGTTCCTGTTAGGTACCATTTAGATTTTAGCAAATACCGAATTGAATCCAAATCATAGCGAGTTGAGTCCTGCCATGTTTTCAGACACGCTTATGAATGCACAATGCAAACCATCACAGAAAAAGCTGACCGTTTCTAGTAATACCTTTTGAAAAACATATTGCAACACAGAATAAAATAATCCAACATGCAGACAACTTTATAAATGCTTTTTGTGCATTTGAGAAGCTGAAAATATTCTGTCTCCAGCGCAAAAGTGGAACTAAAGAAGCCGAGTACACTGCCTAAAATATATGAACCAGCTTACCCATAAGTGACAGGGTATCAATGAGCTGCTGCTAGAAAACATTTCCATATATGAATTTGTAGTGCGAAGGCCTACAGTTATCAGTGTATGCATGATACAGTAAAGCCATAGAGATCAATAGGAATCAAGCCATTCAATATACCAGTAACACAAACTATTGTGTCAAACCTACCGCTCTGTGTACTACAGTGGAAAAGCGACTTACACAGTTGTAGTCAAACATGATTAGCCTTCCTGTCAATTATTTCTTCTTTTTCAAATGTTTCCCAAATGATGTTTAAAGGTGAAGTATGCAAGTTTGACACCCAGTGGCTGAACTAGATATTGCACACCTGATTCAAAACAAACGCAAGCGCATGTTGCAGATTGACGACACCAACAGAAGTGTGTCTGACTGTGTAGCCTAAAGGCTGTTTTAAGGCTGATTTAAATCGTGTTCAACATAAAAGCAATGGCATGCGCCAGAAGGAATGTTTTTCCTATTAAAATTAGTTTTTGTCCTAACCAACATATGGAATTAATATGTTAGAAACGTCTTCTATTTCTCAATGATCCCCTCAGGCACACCTCATGTGCTTTTTCAGTGTTAAATGCTAATACTGTAAGTTTGACTGCCATTTTACATGACATTTATTGCCATATACTAAAAGCAGCAGCGGACGGTTCACCTCAGTATCTTCTGGAGAACTTCTTATTTCTTACATTTCAGCAATTTTTTAATTAATAAAAAAACAAACATTTTAAGGTCAATATTATCAATCCCCTGAAGCAATATATTTTTTCATTTGTCTACAGAAAAAAAAAACATTATTAAACAATGACTTGCCTAATTACCATAACTTGCCTAATTCAGGGGTTCTCAAACTTTACAGCCCAGGACCCCCAGAATAACAATGCCAATGACTCTCGACCCCAACTATTTTCGGAAGTGGTTATAATCATACATACATTGCACACAACACTCACACAAACCAATAGGTCTATATAAACAGAAGCATATTGACAACACAAAACAGTGCAACAGTCTAAAAATCATATAATTTTTTTTAATTATTATTTAATAATAACCTCACCTAATGAGACTCATGGGCACAATATTGAAGCTACATCACAAGTCTTTTCTTAGTTTAATTTTGGAGACTGCCACTTAAAGATCATCCTCCATGTTCAGTCGTGGCCTGTATTTATTTTAAATGTACGCAAGTGCTGTAAAGGTGTCCGAAAGTTTAGCTAGTGCCGTAAAATCAATCTGGTGCAATTGATGCTATTGAATACCCTAGGGGTTGCAATCCAATGTAAAAAAAAAAAAAAAAAAAAAAAAAAAAAAACAACCACCAAAAAAATGAAAGGCTGACGGCTTTTTGTTTGGATATTGTATTTTTTATGTAACTATTTTTATCTTTCGTAGGTTATGGATTAACAATGGTCATTTTAAAAGTTTATTCAAATGTATTGGATTTTTAGAATTCATCAAGCAACCCCCTCTCATTGTCCCATGAACCCCCAAGGAGTCCTGACCCCCACTTTGAGAACCACTGGCCTAATTCACCTAGTTAAGCCTTTAAATTGCACTTTAGGCAGAATACTAGACAAATTTCTTGAAAAATATCTAATAAAACATTATGTACTATTGTCATGGCAAAGATAAAATAAATCAGTTTATTAGAAAAAATTTGAACCCTATTATGCTTAGAAAAGTGTTGATAAAAATCACAAGAAAAATATAAAAGATTACAAATTTTACAGGAGGGCTAATAATTCTGACTTCAACTGTATGTGCTCCATAGAAGAATCATTTCTATATGGACATTAGGCTCAGATGTTCAAAAAAGCAATCTAAACAGATTTAAGGCCGAAAAAAAAAGTGTAGTTTTTTTTGTACCTCATCAACTTTCTGTTGCTTCTGTATCTCATCTATTTCCATGGTGAGGCTAAAAGAGAAAAGAGAAACATCAAATGATTAAAAAATAAAGTATGATGTCTTACGATTACAGAAGCTCTGACCGATAATCACATTCAATGACTCAATCGGTACTCGCTCATCTGGCCGATCTCATGAACCCATCGCAAATTAATGTTTATGCGTTTACAAGCAGAGGAAGATGCACTTGTGCACCTGGATTATACATACAGCAGCTACTGCATGCATTTAGGCCTTTCTACTACTTTCTACAGAACTGCAAGTGCTGTGTTTTTGACAATACTGCAAGTTCACTAATTCCTGGCTGGATATATTACATACATTAAACGTAATTATATATTTTAACATGAATATTTAATGATATCACTTCTTGAAATATACTTATTGCAATAAACAGTAGTTTATGGAACTATTTCCTTTTGGTAAGTAGTGGATTTATAGGTGTGATTTACAGGTTAACCTCTTTTGGATCAAATTTGCACTCCAAGCTTTTTCTTGATTGAGACATGTTGAATTCTTTATGATTTGCAATGTTTCCAAATTGCATTGTTAGTCAAGTTTCTTACCATTTTTATTTTTTTTATCTGTGCTACCTATTATGTTCTGTAAAGCTGCTTCTGACCATGACATGCTCACACCTAAATAGTTAAATAAGATGTGCTTAAGAGACTGTATGCAGCTTCCTTCAGTTATTCTCTTCGGTAAGGTTAGCTCTCCACTTAAGCATCATACTTAGGGTGCTTTCACACCTGTGAATTGATTCATTTGTTACAAAACAATAATTAAAATTGTTACAATGTTGCTCTTTGTTGTTGGTGTAGTTCGCTTTCACACAGCAAAGTTTCTAAACGGACCAAAAGAGCTAAAACAAGTCACTTGCAAGTAAACTCTCCTCACATTAGTCAAAGTTTCAGGGTTTATTTTGCAGAGTCCCGCTCAGTGTTCATACGTCCTTATTTTAATTTATGACGATGAGTAATAAAGACATCATAAGCGAAAAGCTGTGCTTTCATTTCGAATGGTGACACCCACAGATAACATGTTTTCATTTTCGTATTTTACATGAAAGGTCCATTTACCGGTAGGAATGACATTCCGCCCTACTCATAATTCTCTCTTCATATATCCGTATATGTGCCTATGACATATCCATGATACACTGCGATATAGCCGGGCTCGGATCGCATTGCTTTTTCACTACTATCGATTTGCTTCAGAGTTCGTTTCAATCGAGCTGAGACCACCTCATTCAGGCGATCCCGGAGTGATTGATTTGGCGTGGATCCAAGCGCGATTGCTGGATTTACATATGCCAAACGAACCGCACTAACTGGGCAAACGAGACAGGTTGCGAAACAAAAGTCTAGGTGTGAAAGTATCCTTAGAAGGAAAATGTGCTTTATGCATTATAAAGCTTGAAGCATCAGTATCGATACTTGGTATTGGCTGCAAAAATCCAGATCGGAGCATCCCTACTTATGATTATTTCATAATAGATTGATTTTAATGATAGATTACCTTCCCAGAAAATCATCATGATCCGTATCCTCATCAAACAGCTCTATGAACACAACCTGTCCTTGACCATCATACACAATCGCCTATAACACACACATAAACAACTCAGTTAGTTCAAAAAATTATTTCAGAAAGACACTTAGACGCTAAAAACCCACCTCGTATACTTCATTCCACCTAGGGTTTAAGGAATCTTTGATGATTTTGGATCTGAAGAGCTGATTGTTGATTTGAATGACTCCATACGGGTCTGACTTTCCTTTAATCAAACCTCCCATATACGTGTCCTTCGATAACAGGTCCTGTCCCTCCAGAAAGTGAACTCGCAGAATGCCCTGCATCAAACAAACACACACATATGATATGAGCGCTGTAGATACATGCATTGGTGTGAATGTGAAGTGTGTGTGTGCATCACCCTCGGCATTGGGAAGCGAAGTTTGCTAATGAGAGCATCATCTGCCAGCGGGATGGTGATTTTGTTTGGGTTCACAAGGCAACCGTTTATGATGTCCTGAATAACATTGTCACACAGAGAACTGCGAGAGAAAAAGAGAGACAATTACACCAAATTTTACATCTTTAACAAATACAGTAAAATTAAGGCATGTCTGGGAGAGTATGTATTAGTCTAGCATAAACACAGAGGGCTCTATTTTAAAGATCTAGCCACAAAGTCTAAAGGGCATGCGCAAAAGCAGTAAGGGTATTTTAAGGATGGAAAAACACAGGCTCTGTGATTGGTTGGCTTGGTAGCACTGATGAGTGTGGGCGGAGCATGGGTTTCCCGCCAAATTGGGTGGTTTTGAATATGCTCGTGCAGGTAAAAAATTACATAGAAAGGTAGGGAAAATTTGGCCGGTTTTGAAACGGCGTGAAACGGCCCCCCAGCCCCAGACCCCCCAACCCCCCCAACCCCCCCAACCCCATCCACCGATAATATAATTATTAGCCCCTCTTTCAATTTTGTTTTCTTTTCGAAATATTTCCTAAATGATGTTTAACAGAGCACATGAATTTTCACAGTATGTCTGATAATATTTTTTCTTCTGGAGAAAGTCTTATTTGTTTTATTTCGGCTAGAATAGAAGCAGTTTTTAATTTTTTAACACAATTTTAAGAACAAAATTATTAGCCCCTTTAGGCTAATTATTTTTCGATAGTCCACAGAACAAACCATCGTTATACAATAACTTGCCTAATTACCCTATACTGCCTAGATAACCTAATCAACCTAGTTAAGCCTTTAAATGTCACTTTAAGCTGTATAAAAGTGTCTTGAAAAATATTTAATCAAATATTATTTACTGGCATCATGGCAAAGATAAAATAAATCAGTTATTAAAACTATTATGTTTAGAAATATGCTGAAAAAATCTGCTCTGTTAAACAGAAAACGGGGAAAAAATGAACAGGGAGGCTAATAATTCTGATTTTAACTGTACATGAGGATAAAGAATGAGCCTCCTCCATTCGGCCTCTTTACTTTCTCTTACTTTACTTTTACTCCTTTACTTTAGTGGATAAGGAACAGTGTCATACGCACTAAAGACATCCATTAGTTTACATATTTAATTACATTTGTTAAGTGCAAATATTTGTTTCAAAACTATTTCTAAAATCAATTTACATTTTTTAATGTAGTTATTTTTATTTTTGTGTGAAGTCTTTCTTTAAATGATAGGCAGCAATAAAAAAGTACTTATAGTTTATTGCTAAAGAGACCACATTCAGAAAGACAAATGCAATGATCACCATGATATTAAATCAAACAGCCAAAAACAGTTATTATTTACCTTGGACAACAAAAAATGTTAGAAAAATATAAATAAAAAAATTACTTAACTTACATGGAAATCAGTCATCAAACTATTTACCTTAATCTAAATAAGGCCGTAATATGATTAAGTTGTTTATACGAGTTGCTTTTAGAATGTTACTTAAATTTTCCCATTTTACATGTTATGGTACATAGATTAACTAACATCATTATTTCAGTATATTTAGTGCTTTACAGTAGAGGACATGCTAAAATAAACAAACATTCATTAATCTTTTACAAAAATCACGTAAAGCATAAGTTGTCATTCATTCACCAAATGAGGGCACCAATTTTAGCCCTTTTTTAAAGATTTAAAAAAAGTATTTTGTGTCTCCTGAGTAAAGTCTCATTCTTGATCACATGCGATGATGAAAAGATCTTTTAATCCTAGTTGCTTTGTGCACGTCCTGTCTTGTTGATATGATTATACACATTACTACGAAGACATGTTAATACGCGGCTGTCAATCAATTCGGTGGGCGGGGAAACCACACTTCTACATCACATTGTGGTCGGCCTCAAAATCGGAGGGATTTGGATCCTATTTTAACATCAGGGGGGAAAAAAAAGAGAGACTTATTGTGTTTCTATCACCCCAATATGACCGTGGAAACACTATACCTACACACACTTCTGTCCAAACAGCTTACAAAAAGATGATTTTAGTACACAGTAGAATTTAAACAACCCCAGACCACATTCATTTGTTCAAACCCTGCTACTAATATGCTTTCAATGACTGATTGAAAAACAAAATTTTTTTGTAGTAAATATTAAAAAAAGTGAATCAACAAGCAAGCAAATGACGACTGAAGTGTTGTTACTTCTAATTCATACAGTATCTACAGCATTATTTCTCAATTAATTTGCATTTCCACTTGACTGATCCGATTTGACCTCAATTATCATGTCTGAACAGATGAGAGCATTAATTGATGAAATGTGACTCTTCTGTGAGGGTGTGTGTGTGTGTGTAAGAGGAAAAATACAACAGAGAACAAGATCTTAATCCCCACGCCTAAACCACAACACCAGTTCCACCTATAATATGACTATAAAAGGAGAGTCTAAGAGAGAGAAAACAGAGCTTAACAGAGCTAGAGATAGACACTCCTCAAGGAAAACCCATTAAACTCTACATTTGGACAAACACGCACACACACATTGAGGAGATTCTACAGCAGCCTTTCTTTTTTGATAAAACACACAAATTAAAAGTCCCCATGATTTCCCCTCCAGACGAAGCAGGTGTGTGATGTGGTTTGACAGGAAGAGCAGCATTTCTGAGACTACACCGAGTGTGTATTATGCGTGTGTGAGACTGTTATCTGTGCCACCTCAAAATAGGTCACATGACAGCTTGTGTGTGTTTTTTTAAAGGGAGCCTACTTGCTCCACTTTTGAGTTTTGTGAAACTGAAATTATATCATGATCACGTTTTCTATATGTAATGCATGTGTGTGACTCACTTTACTCCAGGAATGTCCAGCATATTTGTGAGACCCGTCCAATTAATGTCCAGAAACTGAAAGAGAAAGAGAGATAGACATATTAAACAGTGTTTAATGCATTTATGCAAATGTTGCAAACAGTGTTTTACATATATGCAAATACTTGAGTTTGAGACTTATACAACATTACATTTAATATCACTTTCTAATTTCTTTTCTATTATGTGTGTGTGTGTGTGTGTGTGTGTGTGTGTGTGTGTGTATGTGTATGTGTGTGTGTGTGTGTGTGTGTGTGTGTGTGTGTGAACACAGTTGAAGTCAGAATTAATAGCCCTTTGAATTTTTTTTTTATTCTTTTGAAATGTTTATAGTAGTTCTTATAATATATATTTTTCTTTTGGGGAAAGTCTTATTTCTTTTTAGTTTGGCTAGAAAAAAGCTGTTTAATTAATTAATTAATTTTCTTTTTTTTTCCCATTTTACTGAAAATATGATTAGCCACCATTAGTAATATTTTTGATGGCCTACAGAACAACTTGCCTAATTTCCTAACTTGCTTGGTTAACGTAATAACCTAGTTAAAGTCACCATGAATCAGAAGCTGTGAAATATTTTATTTTTTTTCATATGGTGACAGTTCCTAGAGAAACTGATTATTAAATGATGTGGGTGGGTGTGGCTTGCTTTTTGACTGCGAGCTGATTGGATGTAGTAAAGTTGGCATTTCATTCAGAAACATCTCGGGAACAGGGTTTGGGGAAAGCCACAGACTCCTTCTCCCCACCATTTCTGTTTGTTGTCAAAATTGACAGCTGGAGAACTGTGGGTAGATATGCTAGTCACATCAAATTCCTAAAATATACGTCATCTGAAAATTACAGATGAATTGTTCAACACAATACTAACAAAATCATATGGTTAGTTTTGATTTCCTGGAGACTTAAAGTCTTTAAATTGGACTATAATCTGAACACTTCTGACTTGACAAATAATTAGCGAAATATTATATACTGTCATTGTGGCAAAGACAAAAAAAATTAGTTTGAAAAAATATGTTGTAAAAAATCATCAATAACGCACGCACGCACACACACACACGCACACACACACACTCACACACACTCACTCACTCCCCTCACAAATCTATCTTTTAATAGGAAGCTATACAATATTATAGGTGTGCAAATAAATTAGATTAGTTAGTATTGAAGCCAAATCTGGATCATTTCTAACAAAATAACTTACGATAATGGTCCTAAAACTAGTACACCTAAATTTATGTGTTATAAAAAAAATATTAAATACAAATTTAAAAGGAAAAATCATAAGCAAAAGTATGTAAAAATTTAGTTTAAATTTTAGAGCTTGTAATTATTTTTTGTAATATTTTGCTTGAATTTAATTGTATTCTCTTTCAATTTCTGAATATGTTTGATGACTAAAATATTATTTTAATAAGTATATCTGTTTAATAAATCTCATTTGTTTAAATGCACCTAAATACATTGCCTATATTCACTGAGAAATGGAGAAAAATATTCATTTTCAAAATATTACTTTTCTATGTAACAAGTGAAGTAATGCATTACTTTTACAAATCAATTAATAATATTTGAGTTACTTTTTAAAAAAATGTAATGCAAATTACTTTTTAGCTTAATTAATTAGCTTATAAAAAATAAATTGCTGAATTAAAATTATCATAGTCACGTTGAATCCCGCACACAATGAGAGAATGCAAGAACTGACAGAAACGGAGATGGCAGAGTTTTACATTTCTGTAATGGAAATATTCTCATTATTTTGAACACATTGAGGAAAAGGGAAAGAAGATTATCTGAATAAGTAATTTAACTTTTTAATAATACAAAAAGTATTGTATATCCTCACCCAGGACATAAAAAACTAATGTATTACTTTTTTTTAATAAAAAAGTAACTCAATATTGTAATGCATTACTTTCAAAAGTAACTTTCCCCAACACAGTGTATATAAATATATATAAATATACACACACACACAAACATCGATATACACACATTTTCAGCATTATTACTCCAATCTTTAGTGTAATGTGATCCTTCAGAAATAATTTTAACATGGCTGTTTTTGTCTGGTGTGGTTGCATATTTGAAATTCTATATTAAAATATATGATCATATGCATATTTTTTTTTCTGGTTTCAATGTAAATGTTTTAATTGTTTAATCAAAATAATTGAATGTATATTTGTTGAATAAAACTATAAATAAAAAAACACCAACAGTCAATTAAATTTACCATAGAGTTTAAAAAATATATACTTTCAAGTGTATTTTTTGCTTCAAATTAAATTGTGAAAGGTAATATATGGATTTTTTTTTTTTTTGCTTTTAATGCATCAATTTCTTTATTTTAATTAAGCATTTAAATGTACATCCAGAACCAGAAAAGGTGATTCAGTAAATTCAGTAAGAGAAGAATGAATGAGACAACCTTAAGACTACACATTTAAATCTTTCAGTTTCCGCAAAGCAGGTCAGATCAGTATTTTGAGGAAACAAAAACAAGAAACTCTTTGCTAAGATACTAAGGTGTGTTTGTGCATGTGATTATTAAATCCTCATCATTCTTCATATTGTCTGACTGTCTAATGTGGGTGATGCCGGGTATGTAGTAGAAAAAAAATAATCAGATGCAAAGCATGTTTTCTTACAGCATGTTTGTCTGTGAAAATGTGTGAATGTACAGGTGCTGATTAACATACAGGTTTCTTGAGGAAGAACACAGACAGTGCGCCGACCAGAGGCATGTCTCCTAAAAGCGGCTCCATGATGACCCTCAACACCCCATTCAGCTGCTCATGGAGACAAACAAACCAAAGGTCAGCAAGATTGACAGTACGAAATGTCAGATGATAATATTTTCAGGGCTCAATGTTAAAAGCTTTGAAATGTGCTTCATTGGTCATTGCAGCTAAAGAGGATATTTATACAGGAAGACAACATGTATAGACCATTTTAATGTGGTTATGTCATTGACCCATGAAAGTGTCCTGCTTGCTATCAAACTATTTCATAACTGTAACAAGAGGCAATTCAATCGTAACTTTACGTTAAAACGCCTGCCATAGGATTATTTACCAACATTTGAACTTTTTTTGGATTCTCGGAGGCTACAGAAATTAAAAATGTAAAACAGGAAATACGCTGGGACTATAGTTATTGTTTACATCCCTCAAAATGGTCTATACATAATTCTCCCCCTTAGCCCTTCCCCTTACCTCTACCCCTGTTTTTGTGCATTCATGTTAAGGAGTAGAGGTGTCCCAATTCTCTTAAGCTTTCTAGATAGATAGATTCTAGATAGCTCTTAAAGCTGAGATTTCCCAGAACCGCACTAGAAACCAAGGGGTATGAAAATCTCTCAGAATAAACCAGCTATAACGACAACATGGCTGCACAAGCAAGATACACAAATTTATGTATCTTTTGACAATTTTTACAACAAACAAGCACATGTTTTTATATGATAAAATATCGTTATGATGACATGATATCAATTCCTTAAGTGATTTTCTGAAGATAAATGCCAAAAAATAACGCAACTGGAATAACTGCAGCAGTCGACAAATGATGACGTGTGCAGGTGTTGTAGTGGTGTCTCATTTCTTTTTTATCATTGGTTCGAAGGAGTAAATTTAAAGCCGTTCCCGTTCACACGCTATTTCAAGAGCCAAGGGGAAAGTAAAAAAAATTGAATTTGGATTGGGCCTTACTCCTCCTCCATTTGTTCTGAACCTGTTTGTGTTTCTTTCTTCTACACAAAGAACACAAAGAAGATATAATGATGAATGCTGGAGAAAGCAGCCATTGGCATCTATAATATTTTTTATTTCAATGGCTGCGGGTTTCCAACATTCCAACAATATCTTGTTTTGAGTTCAACAAATGAAATAAATGTCCTGTATAAATGCTTCTAACCACCTGAGTGTGAGTAAGAAAGTGTGTTATGTTTTAGGTGAACTATCCCTTTAATAAATTTATTAGATCAACAAATAACTCCTGGAGGGCCGCAGTTTTGCTTCTACCTATCAAACACAGCTGATCCAAATAATCAAGGTGCTTAAAACAGTAACGAACTCCTTCATTAGTTAGATCAGCTGTGTTTGATCAGGGTTGAAGCAAAACTGCAGAGCTGCGGCCCTTCAGGAATTGAGTTTGAGACCTATGATGTAGGGTTTGTGTCATGGCATACTTTTGTAATTGTTAATATTTTCTAATGTAATTGTAGTTGTTTTACAAAAAAAATCATTTCAAATGCCCTACTACAGCCATTTCGTTTCAGTCCTTATAGAGAAATGAGTTTTAATGGTCGAATGTTGGGCTTGATTAATGTCTGACCTCTAAAAAAGTTAAATATGCTGACTAAAACTTCAGTATAAAAATGTTTACTGATTTTAAACAAGATTTAAAAGGAACGCCCCACTTTTTGCAAATAGACTAATTTTAAAACTCTACTGCAGTTCAACAGTTGAGTTTTACCATTTTTTAATCCCATCAGCTGATCTCAGGGTCTGACAGGACCTGTTTTAGATTAGCTTAGACTACTGAATAGGATTAGACTATTAGCAATTAAAAGATCTGCAGCACTTGAAAATAGTCCAAAGCTAGCATAATAGGTAATATCATTGCGCCTGTTGCAGCCATGCTACGGGAGAAATTTTAGCTTAGCATAAACTGTTGAATCAGATTAGACCATTAGCGTCTCACAATGAAAGTGTGCAGCACCAAAAATTTGTCCCCAGCTAGGTAACATCATAATAGGTAATATCAGTGCACCATTTGCAGCCATGTTATAAGAGAACTTTTAGCTTAGCTTAGCATAAATTGATGAATTTATTGGACCCTTAGCATCCTATAATGACAGTGTGCAGCACTTGAAAATAGCCTCCAGCTAGTTAACTAGGTAACAGCTTAACAGCTAATATCATTGCGTCAGTTGCAACCATGTTGTGAGATAACTTTTAGCTTAGTTTAGCATAAATTGTCGAACTGGATTACACCCTTAACATATCGTAATGATTGTGTGCACTGTGCAGCACCTGAAAATAGTTCCCAGCTTGCTAACATCATAATAGGTAATTTCACTGCACAATTGCAGCCGTGTTATGAGATAACTTTCAGCTTAGCAAAAATTGTTAAATTGAATTAGACCTTTAGCATCCCGTAACGATAATGTGCAGCACCTGACAAATAGTACCCAGCTAGATAACAGCATAATAGGCAATATTACTACGCCAGTTGCAGCAAATGTTATGAGAGAACTTTTAGCTTAGCTTAGCATAAACAGTAGAACTGGATTAGACCATTAGCATACTGTAATGATAGTGTGCAGCACCTGAAATTAATCCCCAGCTAGGTAACATCATAATAGGTAAAATCATTGCATCTGGTGCAGCCATGTTTGGTTGATTATTATACTAGAATAAAAGTATAGCCCCTAGCCACATCAGCCAAGAAAATAGCTTTATCTTTCCACAGGTCTTCAATTTCTGTAACTACAGAATAGTCAAGCTTTAAATAAGACAATTATCAAGAGAGAGGTTAATGGTCTAATCCAGTGGTGTCCAAACTTGGTCCTGAAGGCTGGTGTCCAGGAGAGTTTAGCTCCAACCCTAATCAGACACACCTGAACCAGCTAATCAAGCTCTTACTAGATATACTAGAAACATCCTGGCAGGTGTGTTGAATCAAGTTGGAGATAAACTCTCCTGGACACTGGACCTCCAGGAGAGAGTTTGAACATCCCTGGTCTAATCTGATTCAATGATCTATGCTAAGCTAAGCTAAAAGTGCTAGTATAAAATGAACCTATTTTTTCAAAATAATGTGTTCCTTTAACAAAGTTTTCATCATAAAGACAGGAGGTCTAATAAACATCTATTATTGTTAACTACTTAAATAGGATACATATTTAAAAATGTACTAGTGACTTCCTGATACCACCACCTCTCCTATTGCTTCCTGTAACATATCCACTGTCCTCTCCAGTTATAGAAAAAAGCTTATATAAAGACATTATGCAGACATTATGGCTAATGACTGTAATCTAACAGAGTAAAGAAGCTCTTTGGACACACAGTTCAGCCTCTTCAAAGCTCATGTGTGCTCACTCTGATTCTTATCACTGTAATGATGACCAACTCAAGTATAAACATCTCACGTAAGCGGCACACAAACAGGCATGTCAACATATCACAAACTTGTTTCAGTGCTTTACCTGAATACTTTTGATTCCTGCACGGCAGTAGTATTTCTTGATGTCCACATCAATTTCAGTGTTTCCAACAAAACTGCACAAACATAAAAAACAGACAGTTTCAGTTTCTAGAGGTCAATTATGAGACTCGGGGGTTAAAGGGGTGGTCCAGGGTGTATTTTTAAGGCTTGGTTGTGTTTATAAGATGCAAAGCAATGTGTGCTCACGAGTCATTTGTAGAAAATCACGCTATTTTTTCACATATCTTACTTTGATTATATACAGCTACTCAGCTAACATGAAAATGACTGTCATATTTCCTAGTTCCTCCAAAAAAAGTTCCTCCTTAAGAGGCTCTGATTGGTCAGCTAACATAATGTGCTGTGATTCACAGATCCGCTCCAGGTCACCAGGAAAAGTGTCACCCCCCTACAAGCATGTGCTTTTGCGCAGTGTAAATACTGTCAGTCAGAGTAGTTGTTAGCACTATCAGTTTAAGACTGAATCAAACACAGAGGACACAGCTGAACCTCACGCCTGCTCTCTAAAATAAAATCTGACAAGTGTCTCTCACAAATATTTGAGTTATAAGTAGGCCCACATGGAATCTGTGCGCGCAGAATTCTGCAGATTTTCCGCAAAATTCTGTAGATTTCTGCAGATCTTTAGCCCATTATTAATTCTGTTTAGTTACTTGAGTAAATGTGTAAATCTAAATTTATTCAATTTTTATTCAGTAATTTATTACTTTTTATTTAATATATTAAGGTTTAAGTTATGATACTCTGCTGGATACTCCCAAAATAATTTCGCAGAAATCTGCAGATTTTTACCAAAACTTTCCGCAGAAATAGCAAAAAACGTCCGCAGATTCCTTCTGGCCCTGGTTATAAATAGGTGTAAGTAATATGAAACGTCCACATAACTTTTGCCAGTTCATTATTTGAAATGTAGAATGCAGGGAAAGTGTCCGCATAGAGAGACACTGCAGGGCTGTGACGAATAAATATGAATTTGTAGCTAAATTGTTGATGGTGCCAAACAGCATTTCCTGTGGTTTACATCCTTGTTTATGTCCTTGCTACAATATACCGTTAACATTAGACACTACGCATGTAATACATCAATTTTAACAAATGAAAATACTTGCAGGTTGTGGATCCCAATCCACAGCTTCTTCTTTTATGGTTGGAGCTGCTGCTCCTTTGAGGAGTTTTTAGCTTAATCCAGCACTGAACTGGAAGAAATTCTGGAAGCTGTGCTTTGTCAAATGCTAGCTATAGCAAAAGAAGCTCTGTGGAAATAGCAGTGTTTGGATGGCATTTTAGCTTTCTCTGTTAAAACATTACAGTATTACCCCGCCTCTGGCCACACCCCTTCGCTGTGCGGTGTATGGAGCCTTTGTGATCTCACTAGCCCGGATGTATTTTTTGTAGTCCCAAAACGTTAAACTGTAAAAGCCAATTTCTTCCTTTGCATTAAACTATGAGAGTATTATATTCAAGGATGTTGTTCATGTTCACACAGCTACATTACACATCAACTAAAGTTTTAAATATGATATCGTAGTGGACCACCCCATTAAATGTGTGTGTGTGTGTGTGTATGCTTTACTTGATCTGTAGGTCCATAATAATCTGTCGTTTATCGACATTCTCTGTATAAACTTTCACTCCATCCACCCTGAGAGGCTGCAAACAGATGAACAAACACGAAAAATATTAAGAACAACATTATAAATACTAAAACAATTTTTACAAATATTTGTTTAATGATTATGTGTTTAAAAGATATTGTTTAAATGTTACCTTTTAATTTGGCTTTATACCAAAGAAATGTTCCTATCTTTCATTTAGTTAAATTAAACTATAATAAAAAAAAAACTACAAATAAAAAAAATCATAAAAAATAAACTAAAAAATTGAAATAAAAAATAAATTACTGGAAACTGAAAAATACTATCAAAATAAAAATATATATTTTTATTAATTCTTTATTTTGAATGATGTTTGTGCAATATTTAAATGCCAAAAAAAAATTACAAGCACATTCAGGAACTGTGTTAGATCTATGGTATGTCATCATATAGAAAGATATGTAGGTAGCTAAGTAAACATGTGCATGTACCTTGTCCCCCATATCTATCTTGGAGAAGGTGAAAGTACTAAGGTGCGTGTTTGCTCCCTGCACAGCTGGTTCAATGGTCTCTTTGAAGATTTTCTCTACAAACTGACAAATATACGGCCACATCTGCTGCACAGTCTGTTAGTGGAAAAAAGAGAGAGTTAATACTCTTGAGGAAACATTTCTGGGTTAGCATAGATCTAGATCTATTTTTATAAAACTAGACACACACACACACACACACACACACACACACACACACACACACACACACACACACACACACACACACACACACCTTATTGAGCCACTCCACTCTCTCCACATCTGGAAAATGAACCTGAAACAATGGAAAAAAAAAAAACAGACTGATTAATTACAATGCTTTTTTGTAATTATATATGTTTTCATGGATGCTTCAAAAGCATTTAGTGAAAGCAAATCAATATTTTAAGCTTTATCAGAATGGCACATTGATTTTTCAATTATAGAGCATGTAGTGACAAGAGACACTGTTTTGTTACTTAAACTGACGGTAGGGCTGTGCAATCAATTAAAATTGAATCACAATTTGAAACATTGCAATAAGATAATCTCAAGAGGAAAATAATAATGAAATAAAAAAAAATTAAATAATAATAATAATAATTTAAATAACTAAAAATAAAATTACTTTTTGTACCGCATGTGGAGTCATGTGACCCCGCTTTGTTAAGGCTACTTTATACTTCTGCAATGAAAACATGGGTACAATCTGGCGGAGCTTTATGCGGTCGCATGCCCGTGCACCTCTCAAAAAATGTAACTACATGTCACAAGTTTGTAATGCAATAGCTACGTTTCCATCCACCTATTTTATGGGAATTTTGGAGATGTGCATAAAAAACTGGTTGATGGAAATGCCAAGATGCGCATCAATTCTGAAAATGAGCATAAAAAACAAATGCGCATAACTGAGTCGGACAAACTTTTTATTCGATAAGAAAAGATGCACATAAACTACGATGGAAGCACTTACCAAAGAAATTCCTGTATAGGCATTAAAAAAGTCATGTGATTTTGTTATAAGAGATCATGTGATGATAAAAATATGTGTGAATGGACAAACCAATAGGCTGAGCAGACTGTAAAACATCTGAAACGCTTTACCATTTCAGTATTAGTGTTATTGGTCCCACTTTATATTAAGTGTCCTTACCTACTATGTACTTAAATCAAAAAATAAATACAATGTACTTACTGTGTTTATAATGTATTTGAGAACACTTGTGGTGCTTTTGAGTTGGGATAGAGGTTGGGTTATGGACAGGTTTTGTGGCATGGGTAGGTTTAAGGGTGGGTTAAGGTGTAAGGGATGGTCAACAGTGTATTTACAAATGTAGTTACAGAAGTTAATTACAAATGTAACTACATACATGTATTTAATCAAGCATAAGTACACAGTAAATACATGTATTTACACAATAAGTACATTGTAACATTGTAACTGTTTAAGTACATATTAGTTAAGGCCACCTAATATAAAGTGGGACCGTGTTATTATTAATGACCTCCAGAATCAAGAGCGCCTGTGCTCCACCCCTTCAAACGCCACCACGTTCACTGCGTGTCAGGATTGCCTTCTGAGGTGCAAGTCATTTATTAAATAAAATAAAAAAGATTGACGCAGCTTCTCCTACCACAGCAAATTCCATTTTTACTTTTGATTTTTGGAGCCAGATAATCAGCAAGTGGCGATTTTGTTCACTTTGACATGTTGGAAGGGAAAACGCTGCTTTATTCGCACATCTTTTATGCGATAATCCAGTTGAGCTTAAAGTGAATCTGCATTTTTGGATGAAAACATAGCTACTAAAAATGATTGGAAGCTGCACCAGAGACAACATATTTTCCATTACAATAAAATTATTATTTACATTAAAATATTTGTTTACAGAAGATTCAAAATATGCAGTTTAAAATTTATACAGCATATGCAAGCTATTTTATTTAGAAGAGATCCTGCTTATTTTCCACTTTTAATATTAAAAATGTAACATAGAAAATAATTAATTTTGTTTCCAAAAGTGCAAGTTGTTTATTTTCACTTTTGTATAAAAAAGTGACTGTTTGTTTTATGCAGTGTGTTTTAATTTCAGTTGTTCAACATTGATGATCAACACACAATAATAGAGAGTAGATAGTGTGTGTTTCCTTCAATTTTAAAATCAATGCACTCTTCATTCAAAGATCTCTCACTTGTAATATGTGAACATATTTACTGCACAAAACTTGTTGCAGAAATAAATCAAATAATCGTTCATTAATTGTAATCGACTTAAAATGTTCAATTAATCAAGATTTAGATTTTTGGCGAAATTGCCCAGCCCTACTTTTTTTTTTTTACTTTTTTTTATACATTAAACCATTTTACAGAACAGAACATTCAGTGACAGCAGCGATTATTAATAGCGATTATAATTAATAAAAAAAACAACAGTAGCCACAGATGTAAATAAAAATAAATTACGAGAAAAAAAAAAAGAAAAAAAAAGAAAAACATACAATATTTTCAGTTTCAAAGGAGCTAGAAATACTATGTCCTATTCAGATACAACGTGACAGGTGCCCATCTTTGTTTAAAAACATCCAGTTTTAGTTGAAGTTGAAGTTGAGCAGTCTATATATACATTCAAGTTTTTCTATCCACTGTACTATTGTTGGAGGATGTGGCTTCATCCAATTTATTGTTGTGGTCTTTCTTGCACTTAGTAAAAGTATATGTAGTATATATCTCTGGTTTTTATTATATATATTCTGGGGTATCCCTTCAAGCAAGAAAAACAGGGGAGTAAAAGGTAGATCTATTGCCCAGCCCAACTCTAATGGTTTAAAAATCAGTGCAGAAGAAACTGAATTTGTATTAATATCAATTAATAATGTAGTTTAGCATGAATGTATTTACAATAGAAAATAAGTGCATAATTAACAATACAGCCTTATATACTTCTCTTTTTTTAATAAATAACTGTTAAAATTGCATGAAACAACACAAAGTTTAGGTGTCAGCATGTGCATTTCTTAAAGTACAAATAAAATCATATTGGTTTTGTTAGCTCACATTGCTAGTTTTGTGGTGAACAATTCATCTGTGCATGTCATTAAAAAAACTGCCTGCCCTTGTAATCTAAATTAGAAATCTGACAATGCACTTCCTGTTTGTTTTCAGTTAAATTCTTAGACTATGCCTGTCTGAGGTATATTAAGTATGTTAACCTGTTGTTTTGACAGCGCAATGCAAACAAACAGCAATCATGAGAAGGAGGTGTCCATGTAATAACTCTCCTGAAACCTGATGTTTCTGAACTTTACTACATACAATCAGCTTCCATATAGAAAATACAAGCCACAATCACATATTTATCAATTAATATTCCGTTTCTCTAGTAACTCCATCATAATACATAACAGTTCCCGTTTATGCAGTTTTTTAACTAGTCATTTAATCATTTATTCAACCGATTTGTTCAAACAATACATTAAGATAAGAACAAGAATGTTTAAATGAATGAGTCATTGAATCATTCACTCACTTGATTCATTCAAAAACATTCAGAAACAAAACACTGCTGTCTGGATTTCGGAAATGTCTCGTATTCATTTCAGTGATGCTGATATATTCAGAAAAAAACAGCACTCTTGTTCATAAAAAGCTCTTTAACCAAGAAAAGAAGAAAACATATTGCTTTTAGTATTAGTTTTTGCTTGTTAGATTGCAAATTGTCAGTCATGCTCTATTTAGAAAATCATTTCAAACTGATCTTAATAGGCCACATTTAATGTGATGCCACTGAATATAAACTTTGAGGGATAATCCATGAAAAATTGTTTTGTATTGATCGAAAAATTTGTATTGATCGAAACAGCTGACTTCTAGGCCATGGTTCAAAGATGTAATGAACCTCAGAGGTAGCATGAAGGTATTGTCAATAGAAAATGAGGGCAAAATTAATGTTTTAGCCTCTTAAATGTTTCTCTTTTTGAATAAACAAATGTTAAATGTTAAAACTTTATATATTTACGCATGACACTAAACAAAATTTAGGTGTCAGTAAGTGAATTTCTTAAGAGAGTCATTTATTCGACCGATTTGTTTAAATGATTCATTCAGATTGAAGAATATAACTGTCTTAATGATTCAATGACTCATTTATTGACTCACTCGATTCTTTCAAAAACATCCAGAAACAAAACACTGCTGTCCTTATTTTGGAAATGTCAAATATTAATTTCAGTGATGCTGATTTTAAAACAGCATTCTTAGTCATAAAAAGCTCTTTAACCAAGAAAAGTACCATGCTTTTTCTAGAACATCCCTTCAAACTGACCTCAGTATGCATATCATATTTGATCTGATGGCATTAAATAAACTATAAGTGTTTTACCATTGCTCAAAATAGCCAATCACTAGATTACAACTCATAACTTGCCGCTTCTCTAAAACTAAAAATGAACCAGTGTGATTCTCATTACTCATCATTTCCATTAATCATTATATGACCTCATTATAATGACACAATGTGGTTGTTTAACTAGAACATTAAGCCAAACTGCTGAAAATGGTGCAGCAAAACAAGCTCTCTCAATCTGTTGCACCATCCACATTTACATACATTTGGCTCATAATTCTGACTGATCAATAACACAAATGCTTAATAAAATGATTGAGTTTACGCTAGTGTATTTCACAAACATGAACACACACTGCATAATAAACATCCACATCTTTGTGCAATGATGCTCCTATTACTCAACCAGTAAAAACATTCCCAAAACAAGATGTCCGACCAAAGTAACAAGACAGTTTTGCTTAATATTATGTCACAATCCTTCTTATGACAATGAAAAAAAAAAAAAAAAAAAAAAACTACTAACACTTCCCTTCTTAGACTTTACAGACCTGAAACTTGCCTTTAGTACTTATTCATTGTTGCTCTTAGTTGTGTAAATTGCTTCCTTGTCCTCATTTGTAAGTCGCTTTGGATAAAAGCGTCTGCTAAATGACTAAATGTAAATGTAAATGACAATGTTTCTCATAGCAATCTACTGACACAAAAGTTACAGCACATGCACAAAACTGTCCAGTTTCAGTTTTCTGATCAAGTGTTTACATGTCCTATATGGAATAGAAACTGATTGAAATATCAATTGGTTTGCCCATTTTGAGGTGTTTACACAGAGAATTGCCATTCAGATTGAACCTTTAAACAGAATACAATATTCTATGTAAACACCACTATACTGAAAAAGCACACATGAGTTTTCCCATTAACAGTAAATCTGTCAACACTGCACATTCCA